CCTCGCGATGGAAGGATAGAAGATGAGATATGAAATTCGCCAGAACTTGTTGAAATGAAGGGTTGCCTTCCAGCGCGACACGAAATCGATCAAACCTCGACAAAGCCGCTGCAATAAGGGAATATGCTTTGATGATTACTTCAAAAGCTTTCATATAGTCAGAAGAAATCTAGAATGTCAAAGGATTAGAAGCCTTAGCATTATTTGCCGTCATAAAATCTCAAGATCGATCTTGAGGGCTTTGTTTCGGCCCGGTTGCCACTCGACCTATGTACCTGCAATATAAGCTTGATCGGGGCCCAAATCCAAGGCAGATATGGTGTCCCATTGCAAAGTACGTCTAGAGGCTTGTGGTACGCTTCCAATCCTCTAAGCAAAGGGAGGAGCCTCCTCATATTGCACAGAGAAGTTTCTGCGGCAAGTTTCTTTTCGATCATGACGGCAGCCGCTCTGACATCCTCCAAGGTAGTAGCACCGAAGCTTTCAGAATCACTTCGTGATATTGCCTTGTCGAGCTTCAGGAAAGCATCGCACACAATACTTCGCGCAGTGGATTCTGACCTTAGATCGTTAGACATCTTAGTGGCCTTGAATAAAAGTAGTCGTAGAGTTACGTGGTTGAGGTGACAGGTCGTAGCAAGATCGAGCGATCTTGAATATGGGAAAGGTGAGGTAAATGAGTCGGAGCGATTACCGAAGAAGGATGGGGGCTCGCTGGCCGCGCACCATTTGATAGTCTGAAGGCAATGCGTCTTGCAGCCTGATGTGGTTTCACCGCCATTCGATACGAGCCAATTGATGTTGCTACTTCTGTCACTGCCTTGAATCATCCGCCAAAAGGACGGTACATCTTACGCGCCCCATTTATTCATTGGTCAAATTTGTTCTCGCCAAGCAAAAGGCGGCCTCTCGGGGTAGACGCATTATCGATCTTTTGATGATGTCTGCCTTGTCTGGTTTGGGGTCGGTTGAGGGTTCTTCTTTCCTCCCATTTCATTTCATATGTTGCGATTAGAACACTCGAGATAACCTGTCGTCTATTTTCCAAAGGGTAAATTGACCTTTCATTTTCCGTTTCGGGCACCACTACTTCGGCGCAGCCTGACAACGTGAGTGTCGGCCCTCCGGCGGCGCTGTATCCGAACGCAGGTGATGCTGGACCCAAACCATCACCTAGAAGATTCCAACCAAGGTAATCCTATATGTCCCAACCGGCGCTGCAACCAACTTCAGAGCTAAGGGGCTTTGTCCAGGCATCGGAGCAGCAGACTAGTGCCCCCGTTTCATGTCATTTTGCAAATGGACATTACGACGGGGAAGGTGGGACGCAAGCTTCAGGAGTCAATCTACCCGCAGATCAACCTTGGATTGGGAACAAATCTCATCATCGTGCGGCAGCCTCGGAATATGCAGATCCTGGCTATGGGTACATCGGAAGGTCCAATTTCTACTACGGCAACCCAAATTACTTTCCAGAATTTGCTGCTGCAACTGGCTATCAGGCTCAATGGAATGGACCCTTCATGCTCCCAGACGTCAACGCGTCGATGCAACAGAACCTAGCAGTGGCTGCATTCGCGCCTTCTTACCCTCCTTGGCAGACCGTCCCCGCTGATAGCCTGTCTCAACAGGAACCGGTTATGACTCACGAAGGGGCATTACTTCAGATGCCCACTACCCCGGTCGCAGAACCAGCTCGAACATACTTGCAAAGCGACAACGTCGTAGGATGTCCGCGTTTTAGTTCAGAGCAATCCACTATCAATTACGGGTTTCAGATAATGATAGCCCCTCACTCCGATCGGTCCCCTCATCCTCACCTTGCGCTACAGAGGATGAACTTGTCTGCTTTGGTATGGTAAGTGACGCATAATGATTGATGAATATGAAGAGTTCGTTCATACTGAAAATCACACAGATCGCCGGCATTGAAGCTTTACTTCAAAAGGCCGATCAAACGGTTGTTCCAGATGGAAATATCCCCGTGAAGCTAGAGTCTTCGAGCACTTTCAAGCTTTTGGATGAAACTAGTTTGGAAGGACTAATTCAGCATCAAGCCCGGCCGATCACAGAAGTGGTGCCAGCTCTTCTCGACTCGCCCCAGATTCGTCTAGAAACCCACTGTTGCGTCAAAGGCTGGAGCATCAATGATAATCGGAAAAGAAAGGCTTCTCAAGTAGAACATTACTTGTGCGAGCTATCAATGGTTGTTTACGGACCAATGAATCTTTTCGAATGTGCTGGAGATTTCTTCGAGCAGTACGAGGTCCACCTGCAAACTCCAACAAATTGCCTTCGTTCGGTCAAGTATTGCAATCCTCACATGTTGTCCTGGACAAGCTTAGAATCCAGTCCGCTGACGTCGGATCTGGGTCGCCAAACTACACCACCTAGCCACCGCTTGGAGATTGTTGATTCTTACACAGACATACTCGAGGTCCTCAATATCAACGAAGACCTGGATAAAGCGGCACAGCCAGAGTCAATACTTACGCCCCTCGTCACGTCTGTGCCCCTCATCTACTTTACGGTTGCGTTTGGGCTAACATTGAAAATTCGTAGTCATCAAAAGCAGGCACTCACCTTCATGACTCTCAGAGAAAGCCCATCCTTCCTTTTTGACAAAAGCTTAGGTTTGTGGGACATTCGTTATGTAGGAGGAAAAAATACGTAAGTCGTTCGTGCAGTAGATTGTGGCTTTCATGTCTGACAGGCACAGCTTCGTCAGCAAAGTCTCACAGGCGGAAGTTGAAGAAAAACCCCCCATTTCTAAAGGGGGTGTGATTGCCGATCCTATGGGGTTCGGGAAAACACTCACTGTGATCTCGCTTGTTGCCGCAGCCTTGGAGCAGAGACTCGAAATTAGATCGGTGGCTGAATCTTCACCTACGAGACCAACGCTCGTTGTAGTACCATTGTCTTGTAAGTACTGCAGCATGTGGGCGTTCCTTTGCAGATGACACCACTAAACATGCTCACAGTGCTGGACGTTTGGGAAGATGAGTTGAAGAAGTGGGTCACGACTACGTGGTATTGCCTTTCAACCGGCTAAAGCTCTACAGACATGTCCGACCAGGATCAATCAAGTGGCTTCGCCACCATTCGAAAAGTTGTCTGAAAACGGTACATGATTTGGAAACCACGGATCTCATCTTGACTACTTATGATACTGTCACGTCCGAGTGGAGACAATCGATGTCGCAAGCGTCTCAGCAGTCAATCTTGCTATCCACCTTTTGGGAGAGATTGATTGTCGATGAAGGTGAAGCCCTTATCGCAGGTTCAATTACGTGACAAACCTGAGCGGTTCTCTGTACATTAAGAAGAGAATGCTAATCTGGGGACTTAGCACACATTATTCGCAATCCAACATCGCAGAGAACTAGAGCGGTATGCTCGTTGAACGCGAATTCCAGATGGGCCATGTCTGGAACTCCTATCCAGAATGGCTTGCAAGATCTTGCGACGGTCCTCAAGTTCCTGAGAGTATATCCATACTCAGACCCAGCAATTTTCAGGACTGATATAACGTCACTGTGGAAGTCTGGCAATGGTGAGGAGGCCATTCAAAGGCTGAAGCTTCTCATAAGATCATTGTTTTTACGTCGACCAAAATCAACCCTTCAACTCCCCGCGCGGCACGATCTCCGTTTCGAATTGGACTTTCGGCCAGAGGAGAGAGCTTACTACGACACTTGTAGAGAAAAAGCTCGCGAAGAGATTGAAACCGCGCTTGGAAGTGGTGATCCTACATCAAATGCAAGAGTAAACGCGCTGACAAGGATAGAGATGCTACGCGGGATTTGCAACCTAGGAGTCCTCTATGAAGAGACGTCTAGCAAAACTGAAAGTGAATGGGCTGTTATGTCTCAGGAGGTCTTTGATTTTCAAAGAGAATTGGGTGCGGTCATATGCATACACTGCGACACCCAAACACTTGAAAGCGAAGGAGCTTTTGGAGACATCCAATCTTCTTCCTATCTGTCAAAGTGTCTCCGCTTCGTTTGTTCCGATTGCTCAGAGAAGATTGCCGCACAGCGAGGCTGTGTTACCTGCGGATGTGAAGAAGATCATTCTTGCCCAGTGGAACCGGTCTACGTCGACATCAAAACAAAGCATTTGGCAACGACACGCTTCTCCCCAACCAAGTTCAACGGCAGGTTTCCTACCAAGATCCAAGCTTTAGTCTTAGACATCGAAAAGCTTGGCCCGGATTCTAAATGGTGGGCGCAAATTACGAGTCTTAGGCTATGTAACTAACATAACGAAAGTGTCATTTTTTCGACGTGGAGAAGTATCCTAGATCTAGTGCAAACGGCGCTTGAGCAACGCGGAGTTCGAAGCACTAGATACGATGGAAAAGTTCCAGTGGAAGAAAGATATATGGTGTTGGAGAGGTTCCGCAAGGATCCATCTGTGCGAGCCATAGTACTCACTCTTTCATGCGGTGCTGTTGGGTACGTTGAAGTTCATCTCGGTTCACAGAGGATACGGGGTGAGCCGACGACTGACAGTTGTTGACCTTGTTCAGCTTGAATTTGACGATAGCGAGCCGAGCTTATATTTTGGAGCCGCATTGGTATGCAGAGTTGTCTACGGGACGGCGCTTCTCAAACTGACACGTTGCAGGAACCCAACACTTGAAGACCAAGCTCTCGCCAGAATTCACCGCATGGGACAGCATCGTGAAGTAACTACCATTAGACTTTATGTAAAAAACACATACGAAGAAGTGGGTTTCTCCCAGTCCCCTATAACAATATAACATATCGCTGACAATTCTGGCGCTCTGCTCATAGAGTGTGATGAGACTTCAGAAGTCCAAACGACTCCTTGCGGACCTTCTTCTATCAAAAGAGACCGCTTCCACTAACCAAACTAGTCTGAAAAGCTTGGAGGTGAGTCCTCACTATCGCGGCACATGCAAGACAACCGATAATAATTGGCTTCGAGACTTTGCGCTCTCTCATATAGGGAAACGGATGTAGCGTAGGTGGCTTTCATCTGGCGGGCTTTGTATCTATTCACCGTAGTCAGCGTCGGCTTAGAGAAGCATCTGGCAAGTGCATTACCCTCGCTTCATTTCAAGTAGCACTGCAGGGCACATCTGTCGCTACCCCAGTAGTTGGCGACGTGAACAAACTTGCCGCCCTCGTTTCTTCCGGCTCTAGCGCAAGGCAAATCGCAGTCTGAGTCCTTGTACGGGTCCTTGCCGCCGTTGAAGTCGTTGCAGTTGTGCCATGCGGCGACGCTGAGCTTCTCGTACTTGCAAAGCGGGTTCTCGCTGATCAGCTCCAAGCCTTGGACGGCAGCGATGCCAGCGGCGAAAATGATAGTGGTGAACTTCATGGCGATTGCTGGTTGAAGGAGTTGTAGTCCGATGATAGGCGAATATTTCCATCTACGAAGAAGTCGGGGAATAAAAGTCGACTTTATAAAGCATTCAGCGGCGTCTCAGATCGACCTGGCTGGTACGCAGTATTGTGGGAGTTCACCGCTGGTAATAGACTACGAACGTTGATCAACACGCCTCTACCCGTCGATCAAACTCAAATAAAGTAAACCGGGATCCAATGACAAAGATGCTGGCATTTTGTCGCGAAGCCTCGTCCTGATAGGGACAAGACAGGGATCACACGAGTCGTTAATAATATCCCGAGTGGAACTCCATAGCGCATGGAGCCAATTGCCCCGTCGAGCACGATATACATCAGCTTGGCTCTCCCGCATGCCGATATAGAAAGCAGAAATAACGTGGTCCGACTAATAATAACATCAGGCGGTGGCAGACAGGAGGTTGTGTACATGTAGGATACGAAGGAGCACACGGGACCCGCTGTCGTTCAACTTTGGGTTTGCAATCGAAGAAAGCCCTTTAACGGAACCCGAAAGAAAAAGAAAAAGGGCCAAATCAGGACCCTACACATTACAAAAATTGGAAATGATTCGAAGCTCTGAGGGTTTGCTGTGCTGGACCAGCTCGTCAAATGGGTGGCCTTTTTTCTCAAACGATTGGATGGGTAGGGAAAAAGGCACATGAAATATATCAGAGGACTTCATCAACGTTTCAAGTTAGCAATCCAGGCCACCCTTCAGGACTTCTAGACACCAACATGAGTCGTTTGCGCGACTTGTGTTCACTGAATGAATGTCTCGAGGACATGGACCCATCATTGCGGGGCCGATCCGAAGCGGGCTGAACATAAGAGTGCCTCCCTCCCCCACCCCCATCCAGACCATAAACCAGACAAAAATCACCATTTTAGTGGGAATGTGCGGTGTCCGCCATTTCCCAAAGACTGACGCCGGGACTAAAAATCTCCTGCAGCTGAGCACCGTCGTCCAAGCCGCAATAGGATGACAGCCTGAGGTTGGGTTCTACCTGCAAGGTTTGATGATGGCTTTTCACCGTAGCTCCCGGTATGCTACACTTGACATTCAATTGCGAGAGTGTCTCAGAGGCAGAAAAAAGCCAATTGTCACTTTTATTGAGCGAGCGTATCAAGTTCAAGAATGTCCCCATGGTCCAAATCCACGCCTGATACTAGGCTTTGAAGACACTTACTACCAAACTCACAAATGGCGTGGTACCTGTTCACTGCTTGGTGAAACCACTCCAAATCTGTTGCTTCGACGTTTGCGATAGACTTCATATTGCTGACGCCGACAGCAAGTAAACAAATAAGTCCAACGTTAGGCCCGCAGATCTTTTGCAACTGACGTCCCAGTTTAACTTGTTGTCTCAACTCAGCGCGGGTGCGTTGGTTGGTTGGCAGGCCTTTGCACTGCAGAATTCGGTCATAGTCGGCGCTGTCGACTCTCTGTCTTGCGGTTTCCATTCTCCTACGCTCAAGCATCTCTGCTATCTTGAAAAGTCCATAGAATTTGCATATTTTTATGTATCCGGCACCATGCTCGCAGTTGTCAACGAAGGTGCTAATTGTAGAGACAGACCGGTAGACGTTGTCGCCCTCGGAGCTAAGATCGCAGAGCCCTGTCTGTAGACTGTCCAATTGGCCTCGTGAAGCAGCAACTTCCACCAATTTGCGTAACGTCTCCTTACTCGTAATCTTCTGTAGCAAAGACTCCGCGGCACTTTTAAATGTTTCCGGTCCGTTGCCACGACGGTCGCGATCGGCCACTGCCTTTGATTGACGTTGGCTGCACGTTATTGAATCCATTCGATCAGTCTCGACGGTCTTTCGGCTTTGTTTGGACCGATTAAATAGGTCTGACGAGCTAGAATCCTGTTGCCGGGACTTGGAAACTTGACTCGATTTCTCGGATGTCTCATGGAACGTAAATTGTTCCCTGTCTTCCTCATCCATGAAGGCCGGCTCCACTGACAATTGACTTTCGAGTTCGACTGCTTGTGTGATGCAGATCATGGCCCTGTCTAGAAGCTCTCTGGACCTCGGATGAAGACTTTCCAAAGTCTCGAGCTCCGTTCTGAGTGTCGATAGAACGTCTGGTGCAATCATTTGAAAGCCTCTCGGGTCAGTCGATTTAGTCGGAAGGGAATGTTCGTCTTGCACATGTTGCAGAAGGTCTGTCGTCCTTAACGAGCAGAATAGACAGAATAAAAGCCCGTGCTCGTGCTCCAAGTGATTGCGCAAGTCCTCCAATTTCATCTGTTGTTGGCGGCATATGTCGCATGCAGGATGGTCTTCTTCATGGTCTTCAAGAGCGTCTTCGTCAGGTTCTGAGGCACCACAAACAGTGCAAACGACCCAGTTGTGCGTGAATCGCAAATGTGGCTGCATTCGTTCGTCTGGTAGATGAATTCCACATTCTGGACATCGACTCATTTTGTGTTTGTCGAAGACGTGCCTCATGTCGAAGGATGTTTCGCACGGGCAAAATGAGCACGTACGTATCTCGTGAGTACCGGTAAGATGATCGTGAAGTAGCCCTTTCTCCAAGTAAATTGTTTCACAGAAGACGCATTGATCCCAGGCGTGGTAAGGAGAAGAGGTAATGTGCGACCATAATTCTTCGATGGGCGTTTCCGAACCCCATGTTTCGCATTCGAGACACCACGACAGACCATGTGAAGACCGAAGGTGATCTAACAGACCACAGTGAAAGATGATCTCATCACAGGCATGGCATACCGAGTGTGGATGAGTCGTGATGGTATGAAAGACAGGATTATCGCTGTGACAGTCATCACACCAGTGCAGATGATGCTTGGCCTCTATATGGCCTGTGATGGCATCCACCTGTAAGCCATGACAAAAAGGGCAGTTGTGGTACTTGCTCAGGTGATCCCCATCTTTCTGTGGGTTGAGGATCTTCTTGCAAAGCTGACAAGGTCGGAAGCCGTGGACTTGGACGCAATGGTTCTCAAGACTATCCAGCGCAAGTCTGCTACCACATACGTCGCACATTGTCTCCCCATGCTCTTTGAGATGATCATTCAAATCTCTGACAAGCATGACCATGTTGCAGATGTCGCATTGCTCAAAGTCCACTGGAAGGGGACGGACAATCGCAAAGAAGGGAGGTTTGCTAGGGAAGAATGTTCGCGGGAACTTGCTGAAGTGACTCTGCGCTGTGAGCTGAGACTCGCCATCCATCAGACATTCTTTGGCCTGCTCCAGGTGGTAAATTTGAGGCCAACGATTACGTGCGACCCCATTCTGCTGTCTTTTATCAGGGTGAACTGCCAGCGCGGACCTTCTATAAGCCAGTTGGATGTCTCGGCTCTCAAACGGACACTGATCTGGGTCAAGCCCAAGAGCGTCAAAGGGACTGAAAAGCATTTTCTGCTTGCTCGAGTTTTAGTTTCTCAACTTTGATACTCTTGGTGTCTTCTTACCTGGCTGATTGAATCTCAGTTGCGAACACTACAGTTAAGGTTACGACTGACTCGAGAACTTCTAGCCTTTGTTGCACTTCTAGGGAATGGAGCCTTGAGTAACTCAAGCAGCAAAGTTCTGCATGCCATTTCTGTGATTATAAGAGTTTCGAATTCTCCAAGAACTATGTAGGTCTAAGGGAAGCCAAAGAACATAAAAGTACTAGGTACTTGGAGTTATGCTTCTCAACTTCCTCAGTTCTCAACCCGGCCGGGCCCGGGCAGGAAACCGAGTCGGCAACTCAAGCACGGGCCACAACAGCTCTTTCAACCCTTGTGGCCCGTGCATATCTTGAATTGGTTCTTAGTTCCAGCCCGAGAATCAACATGACTGGATCCACGTCGTTTCCAAGAACTCGTGGTGTGGATCGGTACTTGAGTGATGATACCTGCATGGCATTTTAGAAATATGGTCCAAAAGTCCTTGGCTCAAGTGTGCGGGCGCAAGCGAACCATACATCAAGGAGCACGAAGGTCGGATTTGCCCCATTAACAACGTGGCCGACGCCGATTGAGGCGTAAATGCCTCTCTTGTTCGAAAGTGGTGTGAGTGCCGAGGTCTGTGTTCGAAGGTGTAAGCTTCACCGTTCTGGAGCAAATTCTCATTTTCGGCGGGGAATAGCGGCATACCACCAGCAGAACCGTCATTCGAACCCTGTAATGACGCCTTGCGTCTCGTGAAAGTACAGAAAGCATGTTTCGATTGTGGACTTGCCCAATGAAGGAAAGACTTGACGGAGGTCCGTCGGGTCCGAACAGGGTGCTGGGTAAGGGTGTAAGCTTCGGCGACGTCGCCGAGCAAGGAGATGGCTGTGCAGTCTTTACTTACACTTCTTTCATCACAATTTTCACACCTCGTGATATCGACGCTCAACAGGTTTTGGATGCGAGGTTCAAAATGCAGCATTTCAAATCAAAAGCCTTGTGTCGTAGAACGAGTTCCAAAGCATGAATATTGGTCTGGCGAACAGTTCGGAACTTTGGCCTGAGTCTCCATATGCTATGGGATTTACCATATTGTTCCCCTAAATCATGTTAGGAAAGGCTCCCAAAGCAGCTTGCCCACCCGTATGTACAAACAGCACATTTTCTCCTCCAGCAAACTCCCCCAATTTGGCCTTGTCAAGAATCGCACCCAAAGCGCGCCCAGAGTAGATTGGATCCGCGACAATTCCCTCCGTCCGACCCAACAGTCTAACAGCTTCAGCTGTCGACTCACTCCAGCCCGAATGAGTACCGGCGTTGTATCTAGTGTCCAGCACAACATCTTCAGGCTTCACAACTCCATCCGCAAGTCCAATGAGCCGAGCACTTCTCTGAGCAATTTCGAGGATTGAAGCTTCAAGTACGCCGGCCGGCTTGTTGTACGTGTCGATACCAATGACCTTGCGCTCGCGAGTCTTCTTGGCAGGTTCGTTGGAGGAGGAAGACTGCAGGCGATCCGCGAGCTTGAAACCGGCGAGCATACCACCGAGCGTCCCACCCGAAGCGACAGGAACGACCACAAAGTCAAAGAAGACGCCAAGGTTCTGCTCTTGCTCCACCACTTCGAAAGCCCAACGTGCAAAGCCCAAGCCACCGTATAGATGAGATGAGGCACCAGAAGAGATGATGTACGGTTTTTGACCATTGGAACGAAGGCTAGCGGCGGCCTCCTCGAGAGTGATGCCTGGCGCAGTGTACTCTGCTCCAAGGATTTTGTTCACCTGCACGTTGCCGCTCACATCGTATGCCTCAGGGTTGGGATTCGGTGGGTTCTGGGGCACCAACACTGTTTTGAGACCCAGGCGGTTCGCAACGGCAACCACTTGTCGCATGTGATTGCTCTGCACCCCGCCAGTGGTGACGATGGTGTCGCATCCGTCATTCAAAGCAGAAGGAAACACGTACTCCAGCTTTCGGACCTTGTTGCCTCCCAATCCAATCCCAGATGAGCAGTCTTCCCGCTTAATCCAGGTTTGAACTGGAGCGGGGCTGCGTTTTTCAACATGCTTGGACAGGCGCGGCAAGAGATGAAGAGGAGACGGGTGATCAAAGAGAAGAGGCACGCGCTCGAAAGACGCCAATGGCTCAGGCAAGTGGACCATGTTGAAGATTGCTATGAAGAAAACTTGGAATGAATTTTGAGGATTTGGCTAATAGTCAAGAGACATGCGAGGAGGAACCTGAATCCAGAAAACGAGAAATGGAAGTCCAAGATATTCCTTCGTTGTCCCATCAAATCACTCTCGGGTTACCAATTGCAGTATACGACGTACCCTTTCGTCGACGTTTCTTCGACGCCCTTCTTTTGTCATCTGCTCCATGTCAAATGCATCGTAGCATGCAGATGACGAGATTGCCTCAACCTATGGCGCTGCGGATGATATGATTCAGGTTTGTGAGCGATCTTTTCTGACCTAGGCTCAGGCCGGTTACATTCGGCCTTGTGAAGCATCTGCCGACTTCTCTCGCCGTCTTGGTACTGCTCGGCCATTGACTCTTATCCCACATGACTTGCATCAGGCGTGTCCGCAGTCGATCAAGGAGAGCTTCGGCTTTCGTCCCGGCTCCGACGGGCTGAAGTCGTCAAGGGTTCGTGTCAGATTCAACATAGGTAGGGCAAAGTGTGGTGCGGGAGATCCGGCTTACCACCCCCGGAGTCGCTTGTCTGCGATTCATGACACTGCGTTGTCTGTCACCCACGGGTTCTGGCCTGAAAGAGTAATAGTTTCGATGGGGATCACACGAATCTGGCATAATCAGCAAGGAGCTCAAGACACTAGCTCCATGCGAGCGCAAACCTTAATTTTTCTTCAGACTCTAGGCCGCTCCATGCACCGACGTGCAGATATCACATTTGATCGTGGGACGCTGAGGCTCCTCATCTGTCCTACCCTTGGACCCCAATGACCCCGGAACTAACGTGGTAACCGTAGTGGGAGCTTATTTCCACATGATGCCTTTGCTAGCCGAACTGCGTAACGGTTCGGGCCGTTGAAACTAGAATGTGAGGGCTTCCTGCACAACCCCCTCCTGCTCTTGGCGATTCAAATGGAGTCAGAGTGGGAAAATTACATGCAGTTTGTTTCAGCCAAGACGCAACTACTATGCTGGAACAACTGAGAACTCTTGTGAGACTACACACAGCCCCACCTTTTCTTCAACAGGATCAATGTTTTGCCCATTATTTGAAAGTGACTCCGAAGAATTTCCCGAATGATGTGAATTGATTACTCTCGCTCAAATTCGTGAGGATACACAAAGGGCATATTCAGTCAATGATGATACTTCCAACTAAGATAGTGACAAGGGAAGATTTGGCTTCTGCAAGGAGACATCAGATAGCCACTCCAAGATCCCTTTCCATTCCTCCAGTGGCAACAGAGTCCAAGCGCTGCTCCTGCAGAGTCTTGTTGAAGCTCTGGTACTTGCTGAGAAACCATTCCTCTGCCGTGACCGACTGCCCGTTTATGCCTTGAAAGACGACACTGTCGCCAGCCCGTAAGAAGTAGGCTGTAGAGTACCTATCCTGAGACATCTTGTTACCGTGGGGCAGCACACGATGCATCGCCGACCGGAATCGTCGCTTGGACATGAAACGAAGCGTGTCGGCCACGTTGATAATAGCATGTCCTGGCTTTGGGGCCACGTACTCCCAATCATTAGTCGTGGGCGAAACAACCTGGAGGCCAGGCTGTTCATTGAAGAGAAGGGTGAAAGACCCGACGTCAGTGTGGGCATTGTGGCCCCGAGCAGTCTTGTCCTGGAGCGCATCACTGACGGGATGATGCAAAAAGAAGAGCGTGCTCTTGGAAGGAATATCGTCCGGGTGATACTCCTCGAAACGCTCTTTTCCCTCTAGGCCCACTGCATCGGAGAGGCGCGTAAGCAACGTCTTCAACACGAAGTGGGCCGAGAGTTGGAACGTTTTGAACAGGTCAAAGTTTTCTGCCACCACGCCAGGGAGATGGCTATGGTTAAGCAGATGAACACGGCTGATCTGCTTCATAATTAGTGTCTGCTATTAGGACAAAGCTCTCATTTGGAACGTACCCTCAAAGCTTCAAAACCATCGCGTGTATTCTCGTTAACACCAGACTGCACGCCAGGTGGTTTGTAACTTGAATCGTCAACATTTATCAGATAACTCGCAAAAGAAGCGGCCATACCCATGAGCGTCAGAGATGGTCTCGGTTCTCAGCTTTTCCTCCAACGGCTGGTTAAACCATTGCTTCATGATCTGACCGGAAGACTCATAGTTCTTGAGCATGGAGCCAGATTCCCAGTCTCGGAGATCAAGGTAAAAGAAGCCATGATTCTCGCATGCGGACAGCAAGGTCGAAAGTGACTTTTCATCCTTGTTCACAAGAGAACGAAAGTTCAGCGTGTGGAGATTGGCTTGCTCCAGGCCGGAGTTGTTGTCGAGAGTTACAGCAGGCATGATGCTTGTTTGTAAGATACGGATAATTGGAATTGAATTGGTTGAACGTGCGATCAGAGGATTGTGTGAAGATGGCGTTATGTATGCGTGAGTCTATTTACCCTTCAAGAGTTTAAATATCAGGTCTAAACAAACGCCAACTTAGGTTAGATAATTAAAATTTGTGACAAAGCTGCACTATTTGGTTGGCGATTCGGCGATTTGGTCAGTGTGTATGAGTCTGAAGACGTCAAGAATTTCGCGAGTCATGATCGTCCTTCACGTCAAGGTGGGATGCAACCGCCAACCTCAACGTAACTCAAAGTGATTCTTACCATGAGTTGCTCAAGCAATGTAACACTTCGGTTTCTCGGCGTACGATGACAAATCCATGATCTTCTGAGTGTATGTTCGTTTCTTTTGTGATCTGTAGTTACGTACGTCTAATACTTGGCAACATGGGGTTGCTCCTACCCTGAAGTTGATCGAGCCCAACAAGGCGCGCAATTATGATCCCGCAACAAAACAAGATATTCAGCCGCCAAGTAGAAGGTTGTATCAGCGGCTATGCAACTAAATATCTCGGGGTACAATGTAACTATGCGCAACCTCGTCTGATCATTGCGTAATTAATGCTTGGCCTGTCCTTTCGGAGGTTGTATCGATCCCGGGATTCAAACTGCATCAACTCGATCGAGATTAGGCAAAAGTCTTGACAACCCATCGTAGGGTCGCATCAGTGTGGCGATCTCATATCCTTGACTATGGTATTTTCTTCTGCTGACTTCCATATTTCCATGGTGCCGCCATTGCCGCGTACAATGGCAACGCCAAATCGTCTCGTGAGACATTGAATCCCGCCTGCGGCAAAGAAACCTTATGCAGGCGAGAACACTTGCATAACACATTTCCAAACTCAATTATTCAAACTGCAATTCACCAATCCGAGTTAACCATTACTTGATGATGAAAATTGTGCCAGTGGCTTACGATTGTCATTACTAGCGAGGAATTGCAAGATGGGAGAAGGAGTGTGTTTATTTCTGCGCAGATAGGTAATGACTGACTATCAAATCAAATGTGCGTTGCAATGCCAGATCCCAAACAACCCAGCAGTGATGTAGTTTAGAACGATGCCCTAAGCTCCTGTGCCATTCCGCCAGACAGAACAGTCTGCTGTTTTTGGATAGCATGAGGCAACTCGTACATCTCATACTTCTTCAGATACCACTGCTTTGCATCTGACTCTTCTTCATTGCTGTCCTTGAACTCAGTCGAGTCCATGGCCCGCAAGAAGTAGGAAATAGAGTAGCGATCCTCGTTCTGCACCCCTCCCAATGGCAGTACACGGTGTAGGGCCGAACGAAACCGCTTTCTGGAAAGAAAGCGGAGTGTGTCCCCGACGTTGACAATAGCGTGTCCGGGTCGCGGCTCGACATACGTCCAGGCCTCATCAGACGGAGAAAACACCTGTAGGCCCCACTGCGGCGCAAACAAGAGAGTGAGAGTACCGATATCCGTGTGCATGTTCTGTCCAACGTTCTTGATGTCTTGACTTCCAGGGGGGTAGTGAAGGAAGTAAAGAGTGCTCTTGGATCGGCTGTCATCACGATGACTGGTGTCCAAACGAGCCTCACCCTTCAGCTCCAAGCCATCAGAGAGACAGTCAAGCAGGAGCTTGAGGATGAAATGACAAGAAGCAGTGAATTGATCGAAAAGCCTGAGGTTGTCTTGAACAACCGAAGCAAGGGCCCAGCGGCCAGTTAACTCGTGTCGTCCGATCTAACAAGTCAGTCACACGTTCCCCTTTTCTTCTGCGAATACGTACCTTAAGGGCCTCAAACCCATCATGGTGTCCCTCAACGGAACCTGACTGGTTGCCCAAGGCCTTGAATCTGATTTCAGTTAGTCGATGCTGTCCATGGTCTTCTATGGAGTCTCGTAGAGGCTTGTCTGGAATCGGGAACAACTCACCCATGGGCAAGAGACACTGTGGGAGTCTTGAGCTTGACCTCAGTTGACTGCGAGAACCAGCTCTTGGTGACTTCGTCTATCTCCTTCAAGTCTTTCCAGAACTTCTCAGAACCGGTTGCTTGAAGGTCTAGGTAGAAGAAACCGTCTGTTTCACAAGCTTTGATCAAAGCTTCCAGGGAGTCATGGTCCTTGTCGAAGAGGCTTTCGAACTTGATAGTGCGCAAGTCGGCCTTGGGGACATCCCTGTACAACTCTGAGATTGAGGAAGAGCTCATTTTGACGCAAATTGGGTAATTGATTTGAGAAAGATTTTGAATGGAGTTGGGTTTCTGTGACGGATATCCCTTACTCCGGAGGAATCCCTTCATATATGTGCCAGTCTGAGGCGCGTAACTTGGCCAAGATTTCTTGGGAGCATCAAGGGGCATTGACGACTCCTGTCAACTATGGCAGTCAATCACAAAGTCTTCCATTCAGGACTTCAGCACTTGTGAACTTGAGTTGCCGTGTTCTGAGAACGCACAATGTCTACCGAGGCAACTCGACCGATCCTAGTTGCATTGGCACTGGGAACGACCTTTGAATGACTCGATGTCTGTATGCAATACAACATCACTTTTGGCGACATTGCCCACCGGCATTCTTTGGCGGCGAGAATAAAATCTCCAGGGGTCGAATCTTGTACGCGTAACTCTCACGATTTTCAGAGGTCGTAATAACCCCTGCTCATACCGCCACAGGTGCATATGGGCCGGGCCGCCGAATGCAACCATAACTTCAGGGGTTTTGTCCGCCCACCACCTCCCCAGCCCTGCTCTTCAGCACCCGAAATTTGCCAAGGGCATTTGCCAAGGGTAATGTAAATCGAGGGTTTCAATGGGGATCTGCCCGGAAGCTCGGCGCCAATCTCGTCGCAACCCGAGCAACATATGGCTCAATCTTCGTTCTCCCTCTCCTGCGGATGAGACCTTACATCCGGAGGTATGATCCTTGCCAATGAGTAGCAGGTCCTACTGGTTGTATCAATGGCCTCATGCTCATAACCGCTTATGCGCTGATCTTCAGTGAGGTGCCCATGTTTGGACTGAGCTCGGCGGAGGAGTATCTCCTGGGCGCATTAGCCGCCGCAGGCAGAGAAAAGCGACATGGAAACACGGATCACGAGTAAGGACAACCTTTCGCAATGCAATGGCTAGATTATGTAGATTCAACTAGGTTTGATGCGTTTGTGCTTCTATTTGTGTAAGTGAGGCAAAGAGATGGCGCCATTCGAGATTGCAACTGCGAGCAGAACCAAGGTCCCTCCCATGAGAGCAGATCCCCCAAAGACTTGCGCGTACAGGAAGTCGCCATTGCCCCTCTCAATGAGTGCACCAGCCAGGGGAGGACCTGTCAGACAAGCAACGGAAACCACAGTAAACACCATTCCTGTTCTCATACCCATTTTCTTCAAGTCCGTTGTCAACCCGGAGCAGGCCGCTGGAAAAACGCTTTGAACACCTCCAGCGAAAGATCCATAGATGATGCAGAACGCAAATAGCCGGCCCTCTGAGTTGACTGAAACCCAGCAATAGAGTAGGAGCCCCGAGAAAAACGTGGTCAGAATTAACGTTCTCATTGGTCCAATAAACTTGTCCGACAGCACAGCTAGAAGTATGCGTGCTGGTATACCGACTGCATTCATAACAAGCAGAAGTGTTAACGAGGTCGTGGAGGAGACACCAATCACCGTTCGGCCGTACGTGGGGACCTGCAAGATGTTAGATTCCTGGTTAGATGCCGGGAGAGTGCACTTACGTAGTAGAACGCGAAGAAGATTGCCCAGAAGCTGAGAAACATTCCAACGCAGAACAACGCGTAAGGAAGTTCTTTGAAACTTGACCATTCAACAATTGGTCCCAGTTTTCTTGGTGGCAGTCTCGTTCGAGCCAAAGCGAGAATGATGACTGTGTTGAACAGCATCACGAATCCCATGACCCTGACCGTCCAGCCAAATCCAATCTTGGGCAGTAGTTGTTGGGCAATCAGTGGAAAGAATATTCCACCACTGCCAGCACCTGAAGCGTTTATGGCAATAGCCATCGATCGTCTCTTGACGAAGTACGTCGCCAGAAGCGCAATCGTTGGGCAGAACGTCATTCCATCGCCAAGCCCTGTGCAGATTCCTTGGGCGAGAAATAACTGCCAGTACTTTGTCGACAACGACGTCATGAATACTCCAAGAAGCTGAAGGAAGAGTCCGGCCACTATAACCTTTCGGTAGTGCCCAGCGTCGGTCGCGCGTCCTGAGAAGGTGCCGACGAAAAAGATGAGGAAGATTTGAACAGAGCCGACCCAGGAGATTGCGGACGGAGAAACTCCTAAAGCAGAGACGTAGTAAGACTGGAAGAATCCAAAGGAATTGATGTATCCCCAGGAGTTGAACATGACCAGATGAGCGACAACAGTTTGAGACCACGCCTGGAAGCCTCCGTCTGGAGGAGGCCCCGGGTCGGACGCGTCGTGCTGTGCCGCATCATCGTGGCTTTCGGTGCTGTTGCTGTCGGGAATCGAGCTTGACAGGCTGTTGTCCACTTGTTGGGGAGGCTTTTCGTTTGCGGTAGCGGCGGTCATCTTTACGGTTGTCCAAAGACTCAGATATTACAGAAAGAATCGATAACTATTGCTAGACACATTGTCTGGAGCCGAACATCCAGAGAGCCAAAGTCGTGAAATACAGAGGTTCCCCTGACGGGCGGCTCCGATCGAGGAAACTGCATTGGGAACTCAAAGGGCGCGATATTGACATGTTGCCACGGCCACTTCCAAGACCGCGTATACCCAAGTTTCCCCACCGGATGCAACTCAAGACATACAACGCACTGCCAACAAACAAAGCACCATTTGTAAGCTGGTCTCGCTTCGATTGCGACAACAAAAAATGTGATTGCGCCATAGCTGAATCCTAGACAGATCGGCCGGCAGAAGCAATTCGGGTCCGCGACAATTGGAGCGAGTCATGTCAATACGCAATGCAATGAAACTCTCCTTTTGTTCATCACGACCACCATCTACCAACCCCTGAACGGACATCGGACCTAGTACTGTCCATGGATGCACACGTTTCAATTAGGCCTTGTAACTCAATTGAGTCTTGCGTCTGAGTTGGGAATGTAGTAGAGAGTTCCGGCGTCCCGAGCATGTAGTGCATCGATGCAAGAGTTGTCACACTCTTAGAAGGGGCATGTTGCGAGTTGCGCTTACTGTACAGGACTAAGTCTTGGCTGCGCTGTAACCCTATTGGATCTCTGTTGTGACAAGAAGCGACGAAATATACTCTGTCGCTTGGCAATTCACTCCGTCGACGTTTCTGGATGATGCAACCGCTGCTGTATGAAATGGTTGGGTCCATGAATTCTGCTTCTCTATGACATTCTACTTGAGATCGAGTATATGTATTTGACTCCATCATCACCTGAAGGTCAACACCACAAAGCAGAACGTAGTTGTCATACGCATTCTTAATCATATATTTTTTTCCACTTGTCAAGCCTTCATATCAACTCCCCAGATTGAAGATGGCTGTCACATCTTCCAATGGTGCCTCAAGCTCAGATGCACAGCCCGTTCCATCTTGGATCTTGCTGAGCAACCTGGCGGTTGCATCTCTCGAAAAGTCACATCAGCATACCACTCATTCAGGCGTACGAGTCTACGGGCAGGGCACAGCTCTGACTTCCGGCGCATACACCTGGCTGGATGGCGATGCTTCCCCCAGACACTTTCACGAGTGGGCCACTTCCATAGAAGTCAAAGGCGATCTCGTTCGGTTTCAAACGGCAGCCATGAACAACCCACCTCTGTATGCCGTACAAAACACTACCACTCGGGCATGGGCTGTTGGCAGCAACCCGTTCATTTTGAATGTTGCGCGCTCGCAGTGGGGGATGCCTATTGGCTTTGTCAATCCCACTGTGATCAACCGCGACAGCACTACGAGTTTTCAAGGAGTATCTCAACTGCCTCCGCACACCTATTTCGAACTCAAGAGAGATGAAAATGGGTGGCTTTTGAGCACGCAAGAGCGCAGAGACCCTCTGTTCTCTGCCTTGAGCCCCAGAATCACGGACTACGACGAAGCAGGTTCCGCTTTTGTCTCCGCCGTGCAGAAGGCAGTCTCTGAGATCACCGAGTCCGACAAGGAGGTTGCCTCTCTCCTCTCGGGAGGTATCGACTCGGGCGCGGTCACTACATTTGCTGTTCGCGCCGGCCTCAAGGTGACGGCCTATAGTGCCGGATCGCCCTGGGGAAATGAGCATGAAGAAGCCCAAGAGCTGGCGGATTTTCTGGGCATCCCACTCGTCCGCCTTGAGCTATCAGCGAAAGATCTTCTCGATGCGGTTCCCGAGACCATGCGAGCCTTGGGTACCGCAGAGAGAGAGCGAGTGGATATCCAGATAACCTTGACGGCCTTGATGCGCAGCGGTCTCATCAAGGAGAAGCACATCCTCACTGGCTACGGCAACGATCTCATGCTGATTGGTTTGCCACCCGACTCTACCGACGCCGACGTGTTGATTCGAGACATCATCACCGAGGTTGACCTTGCGCGTCACAGCGGCGAGTTCCAGGACTTTGTCGCCGGAACGTGGGGAAAGAAGCTCTCTCATGTGTACTGGCATCAGGACGTGATTCAGACAGCTCTGGATATTCACCCGTCTTGTAAGGTTCATGGTGGCCGTGAGAAGGCGTTCTTCAGAGCTGCGATGGAACAGTTCATACCAAAGACTGCTGCTTGGCGCAAGAAGATCGGTATTCATGTCGGGGGTGGCATGCAGGGTGGCCTGGACGCTTTGTTTGGGGGGCTGGATGGGAAGGTTGAGGTGTATAACAGAATCTTCCGCGCACTTTCTGGTCAGACTCTGGCTGATCCGTTTGGTTCTATCGACCATCTGGCTCCTACATCGGAGGAATCCGGAAAATGAGTCTAGAGAGATCAAAGACTTGCATTCAGCTAAAGATAGTAAGATAGAAAATTAGAATATTGTGCAGTGGTCAAGATACTTGAAATTTCGAGCTTCCAAGTTTTGTGAGTCTGTTCCGTAGTGTCATTTCAGTAGGTTGCATAATTACTGCCCGTTGAAGCTTAAAGTTTCGGGGAAATAATAGAACGGCAAAAGCGCCAAGCCCGCTGCTTTTATGACTCACTGATCTATCCAGAAAATAAGCATTTGGCCTCTTCATATTCGAATAATTCTTTTACTTGGCGAATTCTGCCCTTTGTGAACAACACCCTCTTGAGTTGAAAACACGCCAGCCTGGTTGAGATTGGGTATCATCAACTTATGTGTTGAACCTCAAGGTAGCGGCTCGGCGGCGCAAAGTAAAATAGATTTTGCAAACAGATCGACATATTCTCCGATCTGTTCTTAAGTCTAGGCAATATCTTAGAGTTTGGGCAGGGCTGGTAAAACATCCCACGCGGGCCGTCGTGATGGGGGCATCTGCCAAGACGGCTTGAGTGGGCAGTTCCGCAATGATGGAGTCACCCGCAGAAATCACGGATGACTCCGAAAGTTAGATCTAAGAGCCTTTCCACTCGAACATAGGAACTAGTTGGTAGTCAAGTTAAGGTTATCAAATTCCTCCGATATCATTACCAAGCGGCTAGTCTACTATGCAGTATGAGCGATAGTTTATCTCTTAGAGGAGTACTTTTACCTGGGATTGGAGCTATCAACAACGAAGCACGGCCGACGGATGCAGTGCAATATCTATTCGTAGGAAAAGACGATGAATCAGAAGTATGATGCTCTGATTCTAGTTAGCTTCGCTCATTTTTCATGTTAAACTCATGAATCCAGACGTTGCGATAAGACCAGAAATGAAATCCTTTGATGATTCTTCTAGCTAACCGGGTATAGAACTCCTGGCCTAAGGGTTAATACAATCTTCTGTTGATATTATGATTTCTTCCCCAATATCTATGGCGGAGGTAATTTGTACTGTTATCATCGCCGTCTTCGTCGTCCCCGTTAGTTTAGTCACCCCTCATATTAACCCCGTAACCCCATCATCATCCCATTTGTCGTCCATGCCTTTTACGAATACCAAAATTCTCCAGGAACGGGGTTGGTCTCTCCAAAAATGACTCCATGTACACGCATAGAATGCGCTGTACGTTTGTGTAAGGATATAAGCCTAACACGATCATTAAACACATAAGGTACTCCACCTCAATTCCAACTCAACACCGCGAAGTTCGCAACTAGGTAGGGAGGTGACTATGGAGATTCATGTTGAGAGATGTGCCTGAGACTAACAAAAACGGTCAATTTACACCCTTAAAATCATCTAGCAAAGTACTTTACCCTTTGAGAAGGTTGAGATAGCTTCAGTTAAATACCCCCTCCCTTGGCTCTCTGGATAAGTCGCCCGGCAATTAAGGTCTCCATATTCCTGGTCAGAACATCGATGTGAAAGCCCGTAACACGCACAGCAGTTGCCGCCGAAAGGATTGGCTTACGGCCGAAGCCACTCAGCCTTCCCCTTGGTGGGGTGGCAGCTGCAGAAGCGATGTCAGAGAGATGGTGTTTGGTTCGGGTGACGCGGCGGCTACAAGACGGGGCTGAACTTGCAGCCAGTGAGAAAGACACGGTCCCGAACCCCGCATGTCATTCGGTGTCTGCGGCGTTGAGCGGTTTGGATATAGTAGGGGCTGCAGATGAGACGATGGTCTGCGGCAGGGTGAATACGGATCCGCTAGGGCGTTGTGTGGCTGGTGTCCAGCAACATGTCGTGTCACCTGCTCAATGCCGGACACGAAAACTGAAATCTCAGAAATCTTTTTATCAGTTTGCAGGTTGAATTTCTCTTAAAAATATGAAGATGTGCAATGAGCGACACGATGGGCAGAAAAAGCTTCTTTGGAGCTAAGCTTTTGGCAGTCAGTGCTCTTCCTTGACAGTTAATAAAGATGGCTTGGCCTTGGCCGTCTTGGCGAGAGGATCTCAACAACGACAACTTCACCCGATGACTCTGATCCCGCCAGTGAATCTTATAAAAAAAAATGTATTGATGATAAGAAAAGGTGCCGATCTGAAGGAAAAAAGAAAGGCATTGTCTATTTCAAATGTTGGTCATGATTGGCCTAATTAGACGGCAAGCACTGGTTCATCTGCACACGCCCGCTATCAACTAAAACATCTCCATTTGGGTCAACATCGAATTCGACTTTGTTGTATTCTGAATGTTCTCATTTTTCCACGTCTTCCATTCTCTCGGCCTGCCCGAAGACCAAACTTTACATATCGCCGAATGTCTGCGGGCTGTATCTTCCGGCTACTCATTGCCGACCACCGAAAAATTATGGAAATCCTCATGGCGTCATTCACCCCTTAGTACTCGGCCGATATGATCGGCCGGCAGCCGATTTGCGCGGATCAGAAAATCTTTTACCGGGGGCGGCGAGCATTTCCATTTATTTGTTCAAGAAGGATCCATCTTCATCCCATGAATTTTAAAAGCCTTTCATCTCCCACACTCTCCGTCGCATAAACCGCTGGAGCCTGCCCTCCTCCCCATGATTCATCTCTTCCCCTCCTTCCTGATTTTCCTCGCTTCCCCCTTCTCACCTGAAGGTAAAAGATTAAAGAGGCCCAATCTTACGGCTCAGGAGGGAGGCTGACTAGGACCACTAGGGGGCCGCGCTACGGTCGCAGGGTTTAGCGCCCTTGACCCTGCCGAGGATCCACGTTGTGGGCATGGGGGTGAGTTTCAATGTGTTCAGTTGATGATCGGACGAAAAGGGGAACTTGGAAGAATGAACAAACGAGAATTTGAGAGGCTGCCTGCGCACTCACTCACTCACCTTGTCCAACCACCAGCCAGCGAGGAGCTCACCGACACGATCGGGCCTGGACCTGGAAGGCCATGTTCCCAACCTGCATGCCATAACTGGGACGAAAAAGTCGAGAACCGCTGGAGATGTGCGTTTTTATGACGCGCGGTATTCCTGGTCAACAGCCAACGAAACGGAAGCCAGCGGAGTCTGCCCCAGGCGAAGTCCGGTCTGGAATTGATGATTGATGGGGCGCTGAGCGTCGGCAGATTCGTCGAGAGGCTGAAGAGGCGCAATTGTGGGAGTCGATCACAGATGGAACGAGGTTGCAGCACGGAAGGATCTCGTTCTATCTGAGATGCCGTCCGGCTTGTACATGCGCGTCTTTGGAACCGGGTAGATTACTCATTCGGCAGTACGGGTGAATTTGTATCGCCGGTAACCAGGACGGCGCCCGGTCTGGAAGCCGCATACGATGTGGTCGCCCGTTGCAGTCGACTGGTCACAGCAAACGGTGCCTGGGCAAGCCAGCGGGTACGAATAAGCGACTCACGTCACTCCTGAATGTGCGTCCCAAGGGAGAAACTTCTTGAAACAGACGATTACGGCAACCCAAATTTCCAGATGATGAACGTGGATGCAACAAACATGATCTGTCACCCGCACTGGCAGCATCTTCCCTTCAACGTCCGACCGACCATTTACTTCCGTCAAGGAGTTCCCAGGCGTCAAATCTCCATCGCAAGGTCATCGAAGATGAGAAAGCCGAGGACCGACGATGGGATGGAGTAAGAAGTAGGCTCAGCCGGCACGATGGGGACTTGGAGACGGACGAGGCAGCGCGAAAAGGATGTGTTGGTGGGGGTCACTCGGCGGAGCCGCCTGAAAGATGCGTGATGGTACCGTTTCAGCGACCCCAGTCAGGAGCAGGACGGGCAGGGATCATATCATGACGGACGCCTCGTGGGCGTCTGCGCAGGGACACCGACCAAAGACGGGCAAGACTCGGTCCAACAGGAGCCCACCTAGCCTCACTCAAATTAAACAAATGGGCGACTACAGCCAAAGACGGGAGCCCTGTCCGCGCCTGGGCCAATCGCTGGTATTCCCTCGGTCGGATGGTGTCCGGGGTTGTTGGTCTGCCATGTCCAATGTTCCAGGACCACGGATGGATCGCATCTGCGCGAGTCTGGGAGCAATTGGGGTGTCTGAGTCTCCAGAACTTCTTGGAAGGCTGTTGGACCACGCGGTGAGCAGCCCCTCGAGGGTGTGTGCCTGTCTTTCTTCTTTCGTGCCTGGTCAAGCGCTGGCCTGGGCTTTCCGTCCCTCGTCCGCTCCTCTCTATGAGTTCCTATCCCCTGAAAGCTTTTATCGCTACAGGCCGTCACGAATAGATTGGATCCCGATCCCTGGCTGGGTCCGGACTGGGCCGCCCATGACACCAGCGCAGTGACGACGACCGCTCGCATAGGGGTGCGATGGGTTTGCTCACCATCCATCCGTATAAGATCCTACTCATGCCACACCGGTTTTCTGCTCGTCTTTCTATCTGAACTCTGCGTCTCATTCCATCCGGTCAAATTCCATTCACGTTCATTCTTTCACACTCTCTTTACAGCTGTGCTAGCCACAAGCCACTCTTTTTGAGCTTTTTACAACATCGCAAGACAAATCCCAGTCTCTCACTCCCTTTTTTGAAACAACAGCAACCTTCCTTTCGTCGAATTCATCAACACCGAAATCTTTCAAGATGCAGTCCAAGATCGTCACCGTTCTCTCTTTCGTCGCCGCCGTCTCGGCTCACGGCAAGGTCACCTCGCCCACTCCCCGTGTCGCTGGTGATGCCTTCAAGGAGGCTTGCGGCACCACCATGTGGAACACCGAGCAGTCCGACCCGTACGGCAACATCCAGGGCCTCGCCCAGCAGGCCGGCAGCAGCCTCGACGCCTCCAAGTGCGAGCTCGCCCTCTGCAAGGGTTACAAGTTCGCCGACAACACCAACGTCCAGAGCTACTCCCCTGGTGAGACCGTCGACTTCAAGGTTGAGATCCGCGCTCCCCACACCGGAGTTGCCAACGTCTCCGTCGTCGACACCACCTCCAACTCCGTCATTGGCGAGCCCCTGATCTCCTTCACCAACTACGCCTCCACCAAGACCGGTGTCGCTGCCAACAACACCGCCTTCTCCGTCACTCTCCCTGACTCCCTCCCCTCCAACTGCGGCACCGCCGGCAACTGCGTTCTCCAGTGGTGGTGGGACTCTGCTGAGGCCGGCCAGACCTACATGTCTTGCGTCGACTTCACCTCCGGCTCCGGCTCTTCTGGCTCTACCACCCCCGCTGCTTCCGCGGCTCCCACCACCCTCGCCACCGTTGCTACTCCCAGCGCCACCCCCTCCACCCCGGCCTCTGGCAACTCTGGTGCCTCTGACGAGTCCGCTGCCACCCCCAGCGCCACTCCTTCCGCCCCTGCCGTAAGTCATTCCAATCCTTTAACGTCCCATATGTGCGAGGCTCTGCTCTTAGAGTTCGGATTGAAACCGTTAAGAAAGTTCAAAAGAGTTCGTTGTGCTGACCACGAAACCTTGACAAACAGTCCTCCTGCAACAAGCGCCGCAGCTCGAAGCGGGCTCTTCGCAAGCGCTTCTAAACAGGAAAATAGAGTTTAGAGAGACGTCGGAGTCGCATCTGATACCCGGTCAGCCTTGAGACGAGATGACTTGGAAACCAGACCTGAAAGTTTCAAAAAGGGCTTGACCCCGCAATCTGGGATTTGCAATGTTCTTGTACAAAGTTCATACCATTCAATGTTCAATACTTATTCTTCGCCCAATACTTGACTGCCACCTTCTGTCTACACACCGTAACGATGTGAGGCGTGACGTGAAACGTGATGTTCCGGTACATGAAGATCTTGGCTTATGCGGGGAATTTTGGACGAAAGGCACTCTCCGAGCAGCCCAACGGCCTCGCGAATGCTCGTATCCTTCGTCTGAAGGCAAGGCCTTAGAAGGCGGTCCTATTGCGCAATTTGTCAGCTGAACATAATCATCACGCAATGTGCCTCGTCGAGAATAACATCCCATCTTCCATCCCACCACCATTGTTCACTACACGTGTAGGAACTGAACCTTAGCAACTCATCAGATTGTCCAATGCACGACACCAAGTCCGAACTACTCTAGTCGTCGTCTCTTTTCTCAACGACGTCGTTAACGGCAGCTAAGCCAGAAGAGTCCGTCTCTTATGTTGTTCAGCTAACATCCTAGGATCGGCTCATCCACCCGTGAAGCGAACGATCATTTATCCACAAAGGCTGCAAATGTCTTCGCCAGTTGTAACCTCAGAGCCCAAGCAGACCCCTCCACCCCTGTAGCGATCCGTCAGCGCCCGGTGCTACGCTCACCAACTGCGTCGCATTCGTCAATCCGAGTCCTCCACCAAAAGTTCATAGCGATTGATGGCGGCTCATAGCGGTGGCGGCGGATACGGCGGGAACGGAAGCAATTGCTGTCTCCGGTGCGCGCACCTTGAGCCCGTCACTGCGTCGTCCGAAACGAAACAACATCGGAGACTGCGGCGACGCAACCTTCCAAAGACCGGACGGCAGGCATCCCCTCGCTCCACATCCAGGCACAGCAGCGGCCGCCGATGCCGCAGGATAATCAGGACAGCCAACAGCGGCGTCCTTTGCAAACGCCGCGGGATCTGAATGGACTCGCTCATCGGCGTCCGGTCGTCGTCCCTTCATCTGCCCGTCGCGCCGAGTCAGCTGGCCCAGCCCTACAACATGGACTTTGGGCTGACGGACGTTTTTTTGCAACCGGATCACCCGACACCCGCCTGGGCGGCGCACACGGGCGAGCTTACTTCGTCTGGAGGCAACGCCGCGATAACATCGGACGGTAGATCGGAAGCTGCGGACGACGGATTAAGATCGCAGTTATTCGCCATCCATTTCAGCCGGGAGGCTGTTGAGACCTGGCAACTCCATTTGAACCAGAAGTCGGCGCCTTTCTCAAGAAACGAAACGGAAACATCTTCTTAAGACGCCCTGGCTCATATCGCCGGCGGGATAGAGCATGAGTCAATATCACCGAACAGCGATGACAAAGTTTGCCACAAGAAACACCAGCTTGACGCTGTGAGCGCCAACGTTGCCCCTTCTGAACTTAACGTCGAGCAACTCGCCCGCCTAACCGTCGGCACCAAATCTCTAGCGACAGGGTCAAACTTCCCAGCCTGGAAGAACGAATACGCGGTTGTCGGCAGAGTCTGCCTGCCTCTTCATTATGACGATCTTGAATAAGTTGTATTCACGGTACCTGAAAAGAGTGTGTCGCGGGTCTGAACCATGGATCGGATCAAAAACCCGAGAGTCTGGACAAGAAACCCGGACGTCGATCAATCACGACATGGATCAACCGGCATTACTGCTTGTACTCCCGTGTCAACGACGACATTCTGTGACCTATGCGGACAAGTCATCTTTAGAAACATGCAGACGCACCCCGGCCGCTCGTTAGTCACCAGCAGGAAAGGAGTACATGCAGGTGCGTGAGCCCTCGACGCTACGAATTGCGTTCATCCTTCATCTGCCGCAGAAGTTGTTGCAGCATACGAGAGCATTAATGACGGCCGTTGACGTGCTATACCAAGATTGATTTGGTACATCTTACTCTCAAGCCCATCTCTGCGAAAGGTAACTTGGTGAAGCCCAGGACAAGGAACGTGTTCAATTCCCTTCCTATTCTCTAACATCTCAAGACCCTTTGACCGGCCTGGATTACCAATTATGCACAGGAAAACGAATTCCGGCTGTGTGTCTCACAGGTTTGCCTCATCGTTCGCCGGTTTCCGTCGGGCAGAATGGCGAAAACTGGTAGCGGCGAGTCGGAGGGCCCCCGCTCTATGGATCTTGACGGCAATCTGGCCAACTGTTTACCATCTCCACCCCTGGATGCATTAAGCAACAGGGATCTTCTGGCGTTGTGGCAGAGTGGTCTAATGCGCAAGACTAGAAATCTTGTTCCTTCGGGAGCGTCTGTTCGAATCAGGCCAACGTCGAATTCCTTTTGTAGCTTCGTCGAAGAGCAATCGAATTTGTGGCAAGGATACTTTTTGTAATGATCTTTTGCACCCCAATCGTCCCTCAAGTTTCAAGATTCTAGACAGATTGAAAAGCCGAACGTAGGTGCCTGTCTCTATGTATGAAAATCTGAGTTCCTCTAAGGAAGGAATTCTTCAGTGACGGCCGGCACCTTCGCCGTAAGCCCGCATTTCGTCGTGACTTTGGAAAACTTGGCCAGTTAACTTACCGAATATTCATTCCTTCGGTGAGACATGTTTTCTGGAGACGCTGTACTTCTGATGGTATTTACTGGTTGTTAGTACAATTGACTAAGACATGGCTTGTCTTCAAGTCAGAAGGGTGATTGTAAATTCCTGAGCCTGCCACAACATGGCAACCTGCCAACACAATGTCTCTCAAATACGGACAAACGAAGATTTAAGCTCGTAGTATACCCACTAGCTTGGTTCGCGAATCTGGGTTCAAGATCAAAGTTTTCTTAGCGCATGCTTCAGCTCGTTGCATTACAAGCGATGGTATCAGCCGTGGCTTTTGCAGCATGCATTCTAAGCCTTCCGTTCGCGCATGCCACCGACGACGGTGTATATCAAGGTACGTTCAGTCCGGGTTTTGAGGGAGTGTGTACTAGTAAACTTGAATTATTGATCCTGTTTCCGAAAAGACAATGGGCTCAAGCGGCACTCCGGTAATGCCTTCCACTCAAGCCATGTGCCGATGTTCAAGCGTCAAGCTACGGCCGGTGTCGAGTCTCCTGTGCCCGTCTTGCAATTCGTCTTGACCATCATGGACTTCACTAGCTCCGTTCCTCCAGCCACTATTTCGGAAACATTTCCATCGGTGTCTTCGCGCAACACGATTATCTCTTCGCCAAACTCCTTCCCATCAGTGGCTTCTCCGACCACCAGTTCGGGGATACCTACACCGATGGTTTGGAGCAGCAATGCTGTCACTCCATCAATATCTTCAGCGGCTACTAGTCGTCCATCTCAGCTGAGTCCGGAAACTGGTGTAGCCACTGCATCTCCTCAAACCCCCAGTTCTACAACGAGCAACCCAGGACAGCCATCATTCCAGACATCCAACGCCAACTCACAGACCCCTGTGGCATCGATATCTTCGACGCAGCCCTCATCTGATCCAAGCACACCATCCTCAGTCGTAACGAGCTCCAGATCATCAAGTCCATTGTTTTCGAACACCTCGACGGTTGCTTCTACAAGAATTGTAGACTCACAAACAAGTGCTCAGCCTCAAAGCTTCACATCAACCTCCACGTTGGGCATTGGATCCCTGAGCTTGAGCACAACCCCGACTACGCAGAACTCGGTGAATACATTCACAATCACCAGTTCTACTGCGCCATCGTCTGCTAAAACACCGACCACCAGCTCGACGGCATTTCCTTCTGAATCTTCCGGTACTTCATTTACTACAAGAACTTCACAAATCACAAATACAGGCAGTGAAACAGGAAGTAACACAGGCATTACTACAGAGTCCACCAGTTTGAATATCGCTACGAGAACATCGTCAACACAGACATCCATGACTAGTCCAACATCACTTCCCACAGCAAATCCATCAACATCTTCCACGATAGGATCCTCCCTGGCCGCTTCGTCAGCTGATAGCTCCACAAGTGAGCCTAGTACGGTCACTAGTAGTAGTGCGAGCGGCTCTTCTTCAACTTCCACCAGAACCAACAGTGGTCTGTCCTCAACCAGTACCAGTACTGCCTCGCACACCACGGCTACCAGCGTTGTCTCGTCCACATCAAGCACCCAGAGCAAACCATCCTCCAGCACTAGCGGCATGTCAACGAGCACCAGCAGCATATCAAGCAGCTCTGGAACCAGTACCACATCGACACAGTCAAGTACTACAACCTCTAGTTCGACCACGGGTATGTCCTTCTCCAAAGCACGCCTTTCAGGTTGAAGACAAGCTAACACGCGCAGCTCCTACTTCCACTATAATACCCGCCCAAAACGTATGCCTCAAAGTGACGAGCCCAGCGTCTCTACAGGGTTACAAAGTGACTCTTGGCACGAATCGCTTTGTTCTGAAAGCCGGGAATGACGCCACACCAGCTGCATTGTTCGACATAAACCTCACCACTGGCCAGGTCTTTGAGAGTACCGGCCAAACAGTTGCTCTAGCTGCGCCTTTCGCCATGGATACGAGGCCCCTGAATGGGTTTTCACCAGCTCAGGTCGCTGCACTTACGTTGGCTCCTCTAACTTGCCAAACGAGCTCTTCCGGCCTTGTTTCTGGTGCAACGCTTGCCTGCTCAGCAACCGGCAATGATGGGCAGAATGCCGCAACATACACCAGGTTCTTCTATATCACAACGGATGCCAATGGTACGATTCGAATGGCCATCGCTAGCCGAGTCTTCACCGCCACGCAAGTGGAGTTTACACTAGCGCCATATTCTGGGGTTGATTGTACTTGATTTCCGAGCAGGGGAGGCTTTCGGGACACAACAGTGACCACCGAAGGATCGGGGCGTCCATGGCCAGCCATATAACTGCAACAGGGCTGTAATAGCGTTCATTTATCCTCGTTCTCTGTTGTTTGGAAACCACATATAACATATGCTACTGTGTCACTGGATTCAAGTTGCTCCCTTGATAAACGAGTCTCATAAAACAAGTGTCAAACACAGAGAGCTATGTGGATCAGGAGGCCAAAAAGTCCGACATGGGACAGAATTCTAAAGAAAAGCGCTGAAAGAAAAAAGGCTGGCACTTGCTCCTATCCGGTATCTTCGAAAGAATAAATTGTAGGGGCTTTGCACGTTTACTTTGTGAAGTTATTTAGCTTCCCTTCTTTCGTATCTGTGATTGAAAATAGAATGGGAGAATGCAAGTTCTTAGGTAAAAGAGCCCCTCTGAATCTTTTTGACCATGTCTTTGCGACTTCCAAGCTAGACTTATGTAGTCCCTACTGAATACACTTGATACATTGTTCTGTCAGACTTGCATGAGATGCGGGTGCGCTCAACCATCTCTACGCGCTTGCAATGCCCAGATGTCGTTGAGAACACAGCCGACGTTATATTCTTACCCCATACTCCCATGATAGTCTTCACGAGGGTATCAAGCAGTCGTGTCAGTGCTCTGGGAGTTTCTCTTGCCTTCTGAGCAGACTGAGCCCTCGCCCTAAGTCTTTATCCCACGCTTGAAGGATCTTTTGTGTCCCTGAACATTTATACCAAGGCCCAACTACATCCTTTTCTTCCACTTCCACTTTATTGCAATTACAAATCTCCCTCTCCCCCTCACCTCCATATTCCATCTTCCACTAAACTTTGCATCACCAGCCTTCGGCTCATCAGACATATGCAGCGTCAACAACGGAATCACGTCGTCATCAACTTCGTAAGTAGCCCGGCTATTTTCCTTCCCGAATCTTCCCTCGCGCGATGATGATACTTTCTCATTCCAAATCCGAGGCTGCGTTAGCGGTCGGTGCGGACCTTCCATCATACGACTGACCTTCCGCTTTCTCTCCCACGATCTGATTTTCACCCCAAAAGAGTTCTTTCCACTGACGATCTTGAGGTTTTAGGATCGATCTCGTCCTCGCTCACGTCGACCGAGTGCTCTTGCTTCTTCGACCAACCTTTCGACAACCGCGCCCTCAAAACCAGATTTGTTGACCGCCACCTATCACATCATCGTAGCGTTGCAAAACGGCTCGGCTTAGATGCCAGCACGATCGCCATGGTATGTACCTTCTCCTGCTCAACACTGGGATCGCCGATTGCTGTAGTGATGACATCGTCGAGTACTGGTGGTCTGATCTATGCTTGGGAGGGCAGGATGATTGATCCCCCTCGTGTCTGAACAGCGCTTTCCTCTTTCATACAATTCCCATGGACATTTCTCTCGAACTCTGGCTAACCAGGAAGTGCCATGTCACAGATTCTTACCATCATCTACCGCCTGTGGCAGGTCCTTTGGTCGCTCCTGCCAACCAGTACCACCCCGGCTCAAATGCGAGAAATGCTACCTCCCGACAGCTATTTGCACCGTAAGCACGCTTGTTCTTCTTGAGCTTTTACCATGACGATTCTGTCATGATGACAACCCGGCAGTGGTGCCCTGAAACCTGCTTGGAAAGCAGGATGATTACAATTTCCGGTGTCTGAACAGTCACGCTTGCCCCGACCAACAGTCCTACCATCTAGATCTCTGCATCGTCTGACCATTTTAACAGAGAAAGTCTTCTGGATGCCATCGGGGCTGATCCTCATCGTCGAAGGCTGCCGTTTCGCCGATGAGCCCTTGATACCGCGACGTCTCAGGCGAGTTCGAGGGCTCCATCCCATCACGCGTCGCGCCGTAAGCCAGCTGCCATGGTGAGGTTGACTCCAGAAGCGTAATGTTGCACTCAAAAAGGCACAGGTTGCCGGATTTGCAACAGGCAAGTTCCCATTTCTCATTGTTCCCATTCCTGCCAAGCCTCTGTTGTGATGACAAACTTCTCGCGATGCTGATCGCTGGTGCGAAGCGACCATGATTTCTTTTTAAATTGTTCTGAAACCCTCCATCTCCCCTTCAGTTTGCCAATTGAAACTTCTAAGAATGCTGGACTAACATTCATCTTTACAGGTCACAATGCCATGTTCGTCTGCAAACTCCGCCTTCCGGTGTAAGGAGTACCTTTTACAACACTCTACCGCTTAGACAGTTGAGAGGTCGCGATGTGGGGCCCTGGATAAAAGAATATCATGGGTGGCTTGGGGGCTTGGCCAATCGTGCCCTCAGCACGTGCGCGGTATATAACACGCGCCTAGCCGGATTGAGTCTCGAAAAATTTCGGCAACCTCCCTTCTGCATCACCACCAAAATTTGGTCGCAAGAGCTGTCATGAGGCTCTCTCAGCGAAAGACCTGAGGAGCGGCCGGCAAGCTTGGTTTTCGCATGGAAGCGATGCATCTACTCGTTCGACACGAGCTGTCATACTAATTGCAGCATCTCTGGCACCAACCATGTGGAAGGAACAGAGAACGCGTCGAGCCTCGGCCGTTTCACGCGATGGCATCGCGGACCAGGTAAGCCAACTTCCCTTCCCGTTTCTCACTTCACCTTCCTGCCTCGCGTGATGTTTTCTCAAATTTAATTAGACGTCGAGATCCAGCCTACATCTGGATCTTTGAGATCAAAACCTAGAGCCTGACACCTGGCCTCAACTCTCATTTGAATGAATTGTCGCACTCGTGTCGAATATAAACTGACATGACCATTCACAGGACCGTTGTCTTTATGAGCAGCCAGGCAGAGTACAGCCAGACTGCGGGTGCGGAGGATATTTCGAAGCAGAACAGATCAATTGACTTCAATTATCAACCCGATTTTGTTCGCTTGTGCTCCATGGTGTTGCGAAATGAGTGTTACCCACGAGAGACGGTCATCACTGTGCCAATCTCATTCATGCTCCCGTTGCACAGATGTGAACCACGCCGTCAACGATCGAAGCACACGCATCTTAGAAATGCTTGCCACTTCACTGCAACGTCGAAAAAGTCTGGATCCTGTAGGAGTCGAAGTTCCACATGAAGAGGACGATCCTTTGTCGAGGTGTCCCTGCAGAGGCTGTTGAGGGACCCATGATGCATCTTGAGCTTTGGCTTCTGGCATGAGCCCTGTGCGTTCTCGGCTTGAGCGATGGACCCTTGGTTTCGCCTTGATAGCCGTTTGCTGGATTATTCGAATTCATCATCTGCTGTTCTACGTCCCCGCCTCCCCGGTATCACAGACGAAGCTAACAACATCTTCGAACAGGTCCTCTGTCCACCCCATCTCTCCGCCAGGGACTACCCCGCGATCCATTTCCCCGAACGGAGCACCGCGCCATCCGCGACTGGGCCATCTTACCTTCAACATCAGATGACGGCGTGCACTGATGCATCGCCAAGTCGAGACCTGCGGTGACGGCGCGGGGTCGAGTCTTGTTCGTCAGCATCCACATGGGACCACATTCTTGCCGTCATCAACCCCACGGTCCCCACCTCCGCTGAACCATCCCCCGCGGGGTAGGCGATCGCGAGCGACGCAGTCGAGACCGAAACGCCGGCGTGAGCTGTGGATAGTCTCTCCGTTCTAGACAGGTCTGCGTGACGCAGCAGTATCTGGTGCCCAGGAGCCGTTCTTGTCATGATCCAGTCATGAACACAGTGCTGTTAGATCGCTCCGCAATGCACAGCCAACACAGATGGACAATATCCTGGCAAGCACGCCGTGATCAAATGTTCTAGACCTGTGTTTACAAGCTACGTCCTACTTGTCAGCGTCTCCTCTCCGACTCGTCTCGAGCAAGGCTCGACATGCACCAGCATCTCTGTCCATCGTCTAGTTCAGGGATGCCGCGCCCAGACCCAACTGTAGTAAAACCCAAACTTGACCCCATTCTCCTCAACATCACGACGGATCTCCTCTTGCAGCCTGTCAATGTCCTTCTCAGACTGCATCGTCTCCAGCCCGCCGTCCTCGAGCACGCAGAGCATCACCGGCCGGACCAGCTCTTTGGAGATCTTGAGCATCGGCTCGCGCAGCATGTCCCTGGTGCCGAAGGAGTTGAAAATCTTCTCGTCCACGTCCACAAACCCTGCGTCTTGGACGACGAGCGGCAGACGGGCGGGCATGCTGCATGATAGTTAGTCAAACCGACAGAATTATGGCATCCCAGAACCGAGGGAGATGTTCAGAGGACAACTTACAAAGGATCTCGTCCGACCTTCATGGACCACAACGTCCCAATCCTCATCCACTCGTCAAAAGCCTTGCTGGGCGGAATAACCCTCCACACAGAATCCCCCACCTCCTCCCAGTGCAAATAGCCACCCGGCCTCAGTAACGCATACAAATGCTTCGCCACAACTGCCCAGTCATCCTTCTTCATCCCCAACGATATTAGTCTCACGTGCACCATGTCAAACGTCCCGTGCATCTCCTTCGGAAACGGTTTCAGCGCGTTGTGCTGCATCATCGTCATGTTCTTCGGCAGCTCCGACGCGGGCGGGAACTTGGTCGTGTCCATATCGATGCCGCGCAGCTCCGCCGTCGAGGGCAGCTGCGCCGCCATGTCGCGCAGCCAGATGCCCGTGCCGGTCGCGAGCTCGGCGACCCGCGGCGCCGGGAGCTGGCGCAGGTGCGCGAGGATCTGCGGCGGGCAGAGGCCGCCGCAGAGAGGCAGCCAGATCTTGTGGTGGTTGTACTCGAGGCGCGCGCGCTCTTTGGCGACGTCGCCGCGGTTGAGGACGTAGATGCTGTCGTCGTCGGGGTTCCAGCGTTTAAGGCCGGAGTCGAAGTGCGGGCGGGAAACGGCGGCCATGTTTGCTTTGGTTTGGTTTCTATGTAGTTGCCAGTGTTACGTTTGCGCACCTTCGCCCGGGGAGTAAGCCTGCCTCTAGACTGAACTTATAATCGCTCACTCTGCCGGGCTCGCCCCGAAGCTGTCACCTCTCGGCGAGATTGAGTTGGAAGCTGATGAAGTCTCGCCCAATCCCACCCAGGATCACTTATCAATTCCGGGCTTCAACAGCTCCTTTGCCTTTCGGCATTCTCTCCCCAAGCTCACTATTGGCGGGAGCTGTCCGCCAAGATGGGATCTAGATTTAGGAGAGTTCAGCTCAAACCCGCTTCATATGGCTCGTGAGCCCGACGGATCCGACAGTCTGGCGGGCTGGGAACTCTGATTCTGATTGAGTTTTGAGACGCGGGAAACGTCCGGAGCTAAGGTGGGGGTTCCGGAGCGTGGGCGCCCGGTCGGGGCGGTCTAAAGCGGCCTGGTGGGGTCCGGAAGACGACCGGAGCTTGATGGCCTCGGAAGTCAGCCGCAGCTTGACGTGCCTTGGAGTCCTTCACGTGGATGGCTTTTGGGTGCCCGTGAAAACGGCGGGATTGGCATCGTCTGCCAAGGACCTAAGTCAGTTGATATTTGAAATGGACGAATCATGGGGCCCGATATTTGGGAAGCTGTTTCTTTGTGTCGTCAAGCTCGTAATGAGGTTGGCGGTGGCTTGGGCAAAACATTCCGAAGCCGGCTCCATGCCAGATTGGGCTCCCGATCAAGTTCTTTGGGATAGGTCTCTGGGTCCAGACCAGCTTATCTAGCCATGATGACCTGCTTCAATAAATACAGAACCCCTCGTCTCATACAAATGTTTCCATGCTGACCACCAGCTTTCCACCGAGTGTTTGCAAGAAACGAATAGTTCGGTGTCAAGGAGTCGGATAGAAATCACCATGCCCATTGTTGGAGAACATGCATTCTCGCGGGCCAAGAATTACGCCTACCCCGAGGCCTTGATCGACTGCATCAACCAGGGAGACAATGTGACCTACAACATCGACGCCAATGACTTCGACTGCAGCTACTTTGGCTTCTGCAGTTGTCCGCGGATGACGGCTGAGCCAGACATCGCCGGCCGGGGGGTAAGTCCTCAAATCCCTTGCACGCATCTCTTCTCCACTGACCCCCATCGCGCACCAGGTCATCTTCGCTTTCGTTTTCACAGCCTTCGTGACCCTCTTAACAACAATATTCTGCCTCGTAATCGGCCGCACGAACGAGGAGCGCCAGACAATGAACCCGCTCGACCGCTTCTTCCGAAAACACGTCTCTGCCCCCGCGCGCAACCTCATGCACCGGCTGCACATGAACCCAGACCTGCAGGCCCTCGTCGCCTACGACCTCGTCAACACGCTGAGCGACCTGCAGCTCGTCACCGGCATGGCCATCCTCGTGGCCGGGATGAAGCAGCTCTTCGAGGGGACGATATCCACGTACCACTTCATGATCGTCACCGACCTCGCGTGGTTCTGCTCGAACACGCACCTCTTCTCGCTGCTCGTCATCACGAGCATGCGCGACAGCGTCAAGCGCACGCATCCGGAGCGCTACAACGAGCAGAACATGGTCCTGCCGCGGCGGATGGCGAGGGCGTTGAGAATCTTCTTCATGGCCACCACGGTTGTGCTGCTGCTCTACGCTCTGTACGTTGGTGGTTACGCCGAAATATACGAGCCCGGCCAGTTCCGCTGTCCCATGAAGTGCTCGCTGGGGCTACCCAAGGGCGGCGACCCGGCGAACCTCATGATCGTCAACATGGTGATGATGGGATACTTCTACGGCGTCAGGATCTTCATGAGCTCGCGCACGGGGCGTATCTTCTGGATGGACCACGTGCGGAGCCGGCTCATCGACAACCAGACCCAGCAGTTCAACATACTGCAGCCCGAGGCGGTCTTCGTCGCGCGGTGGACGGAGAACACGGCGTGGCGGTGGTGCAAGGCGGCGTTCCGCGGGGTGTGGTACTTCTTCGCGTCCGAGGTCGAGACGATCGTCGGGCTGATGGCGTACTTCAGCTTCGGGATCCAGGCCGTGGTCGACGACCGGCGCATCGGGCACTCGGAGATGGAGCAGGACGAGAAGGACGAGGAGAACAGCCTGATGTTCAGCCAGCTGGTGCCCATCTTCCTGCTGATCATCCCCTTCATGGGGCTGTTTGAGTCGTACGCGCGACACTCGGTGGCAGACAGAGAACGGCGGTCGAAAGAGCTGGACGAGCTTGGTGCGTCGGACGGACTTTGACATGGGGGCACGGGTTGTTTGGATGGGGGGCAGCAAGAATGACGTATGAACAAAAGCAATTTCGGGTGCAGAAACTCTCAAGATACCAGCAAAGAAATGGAAAGGGCATTACACATTTAAGCCGAACATCGGATGAGAAGACAGTTTTGAGTTGGGCGACATGGAAGCATGTGCTTCGCTCAATAATGCGAGTGCGGCGCAAGGCGCGGTTCGGTTCATCGCGAGTCCCCTTCTCGTGCAGGGATGATGACGAAGACGCAAACGAAGAAGAATGGGTTGCCTCTTCCCGAGGTGACGGTCCTGTCGAAACATTTGACACATCGACCGCCATCAAAGACCATCATGCATGCATCGTCAAAAGGAAAGGCCCGCGGCCACAGACATCCCCCAACGATGACCTGGATCTGCCAATGATCGGTAGCCCAACGCCAAGAGAAGGCCTGTCAAGCCGCTCCTACAGGGCTCGGATTGCTGCCATTTGAGCCCTCCTTGGCCCGTCGACATGCGGGAGTGTCTGAACCCCTTCCCCCCTAACGCAAGGCATTTGCGGGAGCCCAATGAACAGGCTCAGTCAATCAGTTTGCTCTCTTAGCCTATGCCGCTAGCACCCCCGTCATCACGCTCTCGGCATAGCGGTGGCTGAGCGAAGGGGGCGCTCTCCCGTGAGATTTCGACTAGCTCTGCGGGTGATTTGAGTGATGTGATTTTGAAACGATGCCAACGGGTGGTGAGCCACCGCCATGAACAATTCAAGAGGAATAGCAGGATGATTCTCTTCACCATCTGGAACAACATCATGCGGGCTTCTTAGGCAGCCACATTAAGCGAAGCCAGGGGGCGGCAAGCCGGGGGAAGACAAACGAGAAACATGGAGCTCGCCCCACGATGTAAGCCCACGAGCTTGTTTGGCACCCATGTTTCTCCCCTCGACATAGGATGGTGAGAAAACTCCCGAGGTCCCAACAACACGGGTGCATGCTGCATTCTACACTCTCAGACCTCGCCGCATTGAGGACGCATTCCTCCATCATCGAGCGACCCGTCGTCATCAACGCCTTCACCCGTGCTTGCACAGGACACCCGCCCGGGACATAATAAGCCAGGCTCAACCTGTCCCACTGCCCCTGTCACCATCTCCGCTCTCCATCAATACAAGAGATACCCATCTCACACAAGCCAAACTACACCACATCACACTCAACCTACCCCCTCTTCAACTACACACTATGCGTTACTCAATCCTCTTCGCCGCGGCCGGCGCCTCAGCTGCCTCGCTGGAGATTATGACGGCCCCTAACGCCGAGCACATCGGCTCCCCCGTCCGCCGCGACCTCGCCTCCTGCAACTCCGTTGCCACGGCCGTCCTCCCGCGCATCACCGACGCGGCCCCCACTCTCCCCGTCGACGTCGCCAACTACCTCGCCTTGTCGGCCTCCGTGACGGATCCGTGCTCCGACCCGACCATCACGGGCTCCATTGGCTCCGCCTACTCGACCTACGCCAAGTCCTTCACCTCGTGGAAGGACGCGCATATGAGCGACTTCCGCGCCGTCTGGCAGGCCTGCAGCGACGTCCAGGGCGTCGCGACCGTGTTGCCGCTTGGTACAGGCCAGTGCAGCTCGCTGGTTGCGGAGATTACCAGCGCTGGGCCGGTGAACCCTGGCGGCGGCAGTGGAGGTGGACTTGGCAATGGAAATGGAGATGGAGGTGGTAGGTCTGGCAACGCGGCTGGCCCGAGGGAGACGGGAGCTGTTATGGCTGCTGCGGCCGTGGCTGGCTTTGTCGTTGCTGCGATCAATTAAGCATATATGGTGGATTAGGTATGGATACATGATGGACATGGGCATGGACGACATTATACCAGCACAGGCGTTATGAATAATTATTATGGACTAATACGACTACTCGTTTCTGAATACATGTTGTCTCATCTACACTGCCTCAATGAAAGTTGTACGGTCATGGTCCCATGTTATGTTTAGAGATGGTATCAAAGTTAGCCTGACATGGCCAACACATTATCATTACTCCCAAATATCTACAAGAACACTTCCTTCACCCTCACTGCAAGATGGCAAAATTCCACCCCTCCTTCGCGCTATGCGAACTCTGCAAATTCCGCTTCAACCAACACCTCAGCTCCATCGTTCCCTCGCCCGTCGTCACATTCCCCCAGCCGGCGCCGGTGCACTGCGCCGTCTTGGAGCAGATGTCCATGCACTCGCCCATGCTGCTGGCCAGCATGTTGGACATGTCGATGGCCTCGTTGTCGCCCGAGTAGTCGACGCCGCAGACGCGCAGGAACCGCTTGTCCGAGCCGACGGGGCTGTAGAACGTGTTGGCGGCATCGGGGCACAAGGCGTTGGGGCCGGAGGTTGCGGTTGGTGATGACGATGAAGTAGAAGACGTCTTGGTTGAAGTGGCGGGCGTCGTTGATACGCTTGACGCCGCGGAGGGAGATGATGCTGTTGGGCTGGATAGAGGTGTGGTCGGGGACGCGGCGGCAACGCCAGTCGTTGGTGTAGGTGTCGCAGAACTAATACACAGTCAGTACATCCATCTTCATCATCCATCAAAAAGGTCATACCTTGTCCGCGCCGCGCTCTCATCCGACTGATTCGCCTTCGACGCACCCAACCCCACGCCAACACCGACTCCAACACCTACGCCGAGCACCACGAGGATGATCAGGCAAACAAGCAGCCAGAAAACCCACATCCTCAGCCCGCAGCACTTGCGGTTCCTCCTATCCTGCCCGCGCGCGGCCCGCCTCTCCTGGTCGTATAGGCTCAGCCCGCGCTGGCGGCCGCCGCCCTTCTCGCTCGGCGGCGGGGTGCCCTCGCGGTAAAAGGTGTACTCCTCGTTGCCTCCCGGCGTCGGGTCGTCGCCGGCCCAGTACACAGACGGGATCGAGGCCTTGCCGAAGATGGAGCCCTTGCCGCTCCGGACGGTGGGCGCTTTGCGGGGCGACGGGACGATGCGCTTGGCCTTGATGTCGCGGGGGACGACGGGGACGGGCTCGTCGGGCGGCGGAGGGAAATTGAACCCGTTCATCTTTTCTTTTGTTGGTTGATTCTGTTCCAGCACTTGGGCAGCAATCGAAATAATCCTTCAAACTCTCTTTTTGGGCGTGTGTTTTGCTGGCGTCCCAGCTGGCTGGGAAATCTTGGGTTTCTTCTTTCGCTATGCCAAACGTTCCAGCGCCACCATCATCTCGGTCCTCCCGGGATAACACGGAAAGCAATCCCTCCTTCCTTTCTTCGTTAAGCCTCTGTCTCTTCGTTGATGCCTAACCAGAGCGTGTAAGACAGTTGATTTTGTGAAAAATAAGCGAGCGTGTGTTGTGTGAGTGCGACGTGGTTGTTCGCGTTGCTACCAAGCGAGTGCCGATCGTATTTGCGAAATCGTAATTTGGGGGCGGGATACAGATGGACAGGTGTTTGGGGCCAGGCGCAGCAATGCGATTGCGCGCGTTCGCTGGGACTCTGCCGCGATACCTTTACAAACCAATAGTCTGCTGTCCCGTTCAACGTTCAGAAAACCAGTCCCCGGAGCGAAACGAGTGACGCCGGTGATGGGAAACGAACGACTGAATGAGTGAACGAATGGAAGGGGAATGAATGAATGGATGGGATTGCGGGGTGTGGGAGGCAGTAAAGCAAACGAAAAAGAGTGGACAGCGACTCGGACAGAGAGGGAGCACTGAGAGAGAGTTTCAACCGCAACCCATGATCCCTTCTCCGTTCGGAACTCTCTTCCTGGCGTGGCCGTCTCCCCCCTCGTCCCCTGGGGCCCTTCTTGTGTCATAACAGAGGGTTTTAAGACTCGTAGAGTGCTGAAAGTGGTGGTGCCCCTGTTGTGATAATTTCCCGCGCCTGGGGGATGATGTGACGGACTAAGCCGCTTTGGCACGTCCAAGCAATCGGCACCATGGAACGGCGTTGGGGGGTTCCGCAGGGATCATGTTAGCAATGCGACTCTCTGAAGCCTGAAGGGGAAACTCTGGGTGAAGGATCCTTTGGTTGGTTTTGCTGTGCTTGTGTTCAGGATGGAGCGGTTGGAGCAGAAAAAAGACAGTTGGTTGGATGTTTCTTTCTCCAATTGATGTTCAACGGGGATCGACACTGATGACCCAAGACATGGAAGATCTGATTGTCTGTTTGCCATATTTCTTCCCGCCCCCCTCAACTGACGAGACAGATCTGGGCTTAAACAAGCGTGGCTCACCTGAAGAGATGCGATGTCACTCGACCAAACAAAAACCACCCAACCAACCAATTCGCTACCGAAGAGGCAGACTCCCCCTGGAACGATACGTTCGGCGGGATTTTTTCCACGATAAGAAAGGTCCCATCTCCCGCTGACGAAAAAAAAGGGTCTTAGCGCAAGGGTTGAGAAACTAGAGCAGCAGCCCGTTGCAGTCAACACAACGACGGCGCATGTGCGGCAAGCCACCCAGCCATTGGATTTGGGGGGGACGCCTCCGAGATTGAGAAAGGTGACGCTGGAGCGCGACGCGAAGGAATCGCCCTTTCGCGCAGGCGAGGGTTTGGGGTCTGTTGGCGCCGGAGGTTTTGCCATCTGCTCCCCCTTCATCCTGGCCTTCTGTACGGAGAATCTTCTTACGGATCCAGGCCCCCGAACAATTGGCGAGTCCATTTCCCTTTCCCGTCGTCGCACGGGATGGGCCTTGCTGTGCATCCGGTCCAGACCCCAGTAGCGTTCTCCTTGGCCTTGCAACTGTGCGATTGCTGTGTCTGTGGGCATGTGAATGAGTGAGTGGAAGTGTGAGTGTGAGTGTTAATGATGCGCTTCGATCGCTTCCGCCTTCCCACCAACGGCTGCAGCGCTACACGTCGCACACAGATCCCGCGCCCGCCGCGCAACGCAACACAACGCAACGCAACGCACACTGGGCGGTGGAAAGGGTGGCGTTGCAAGCAAGAGCCTCACAGATATTGGTTGGCCGAGTCACTTGATCCAGGCTGCGGCAGGGTAAGGTGAGAAAGGAGCAGCGACCAAGGAACCAAACAATCGAGTCAGTATGGGAGGAGTAGGTTTTGGGGGAGCAAGTGCTTTTTAAGTGAGGGAGGTAGGGAATTACGCTGCGGCGTGGGTGTTTATGTTTGTGGCTAAGAAAAGATGGTCAAACCAGGCCAGCGCCTCGAGTTTACGACTCAGTGAGTGGGAACGTTCATCTCAACTTTTCGTCCCAACGGTGTCCCTGCGAACGAAGTGCGCGAAAGAGATGAGCAGCCCAACCTGCCACACGTTCCTGGAGCTGTCCTGAGTCCTGGCGGGATTCCCGCGTCCTCGGGGCTGTCTTGTCTGTGTGTGTTCGAGCTAAGAGAGGCAGAGAAATTTGAAAATTCTGACCCTGCTCAAGGCTAGAACACGGGAAGGAAAAAACAAGGAAAAACAACAACATCACCTTCCGTATTGGCGCCCGATAATCAAACTGTCAAAGCCCAAAGCAGCCATTCTCTCTCATTTGGCATTGCATTCCAAGGCCAGAGCCCTTGTCAATTGGGAGAGAAGAAAAAAAGCCCAGGCCAGCGGAGGGCAGAAAAGAATTCCCCGACGCAGGCCACGGCAGGCTGCAGGAAAGGAAGAAACATGCCAACGCGGGCGGCGCGCAAAACACGGTACAACCTTCCAGAAGGAAAACATCATCTGCCGGGCATAAACAAGAGAAACAAGCAGGTCTTTTTTCCCACGGGAAATGAGAGAAGCTGGACGGACGGGGGTGCATCGTTTACTCGTGTCGTCGCATCCAGGGAACATCTTTGCAAAAGGCCATCAAGTTCGTGCTGCCCATGCTTGCCCTCTTCCCTTCCCGCGGCCCGCCACCGGTTCCAGGCTGATCGCTGCGAGTCGGGCGTAAAGTGGTGTGGATCGTCTCCACGGATGACCCGGCATTCCGTCCATCGGGCACCAATTAAGCCAGCTCGAGGCCAGTCTGCTCGCCTTCCTGCGCATCCCTTGGGGATTGACGTCTTGCCTTTAAACATGACCGACGTCCCGGATGCGGATAGAGGTTGCATGCACTCCCGCAAGACCTTTCCTTGCTTTGTTGTTGTGGTTTGGCATTGGATTGCATTTTTCGGCGGTTTTCTTTTATTGTTGTGTTGATTGATTAAACGGCCTGTCCTTACCGTCTTCATTCACCTCGTCCCACACTGCACCACCCACCCACCCATCCAGAAAAAGAAGAAGTGTTTGAAGCCATCGTCACTTTGCAGCTCCCAAAGAAGAAGTCCGTTGTGGGGTTGCGAAGGGAATCAAAGTGTTACTCGACCTGAATCTGCGACTGCTGCGACTCTGAGCCGCGCTGCACTGCAACATGTCCTCCACCCGGAGCTTACGGCCCCACCCGCCGAAGGGCGCCGACAAAAAGGCCCCGCCCTTGGAGCCGACCTTCGCCGCGCCGAAGCCCGTCCGCCCTGCAAAGAGCCTGCTGCAGGCGCCGGTACCACAGTGGACCGACCGCCCGAGCCCGCCCGGCTACACCAGCTTTCCGCCACCACCAAGCCCGGCACCGGCCTCCGCTAAGGGAGGCTCACCAGCGCCGCGGGGATCGGCCACAGGGTCTTCTGCAGGAAACAACGGCACCCGCTCGAACCTCCGCAGTCCGGGGCCGAACGCGTTGACGAGCTTCCCTCCGCCGCCCCCGACACCGCCGCAGACCGATGAACCGAGCTACTTTCCTAAGGGCGCCGTTGCACCGGCCCCATCCAGCCAGCTGAAGAAGTCTACTTCCGCCTCTGCCACCTCGACTACATCAAAGACCAAGAGCCAGACCACCGTGTCCCAGACAGAGCTGCGTCCAGGCCACTTCGACATTGACAACCTCAAAGAAACCCTCCAAAACCTCCGCTTCGCACCCTCGCCCATGCTGTCTACCATCTACTCCGTCCCGTCCACCCCCCGAGAGGAGGTCTCCACCCCCGACTTCACCGCCAGCACCACGTCCTGCTTCACCCCTCCCTCAACCAACCCAACCCCGGAACCAGTCGTCCTCACTCCCCGCGCACTCCCTCCCCAGGAACCGCTCACCTCGCCAAGCCGTCCCCGCGCAAACTCCCGCAGAGCCACCCCTCCCAGCCGGAAGCGCGGCCGCGGCGTCGTCGCCTGCATCGACACCCCCGTTACCTTCCCCTCCACATGGTACACCCACCCGACCGCCCCCGACTTCCCCATCTGCTCCCGCTGCTACGAGGACCACCTCCTCGGCACCCGCTTCGAGAACGACTTCCGCGGCAAGCTCTGCGAGGACAAGAAGCCTCGCGCGTGCCGCTTCAGCAAGCCCCGCGTCAAGGACCACCTCCTCCAGCAGGCCCTCATCACCGGCCGCATCGACGACCTCACCGCCTACCTCCGCCTCCGCAGCGCCCTCCCCGACTGCCGCGGCACCGCCGGCGTCCCCGGCTCCGAGGGCACCAAGTGGCTCCGCCCCAAGAACAACGCCGTCCCTAACATGGTCGTCTGCCGCGCCTGCTACGAAGACCACATCCAGCCCTTCCGCTGCGCCGCCAACTTCGAACCCGCCTCGTCCCAGCCCGCCTCCGACGTCTGGGCCTGCGATCTCGCCATCCCCTACATCCGCAACATCTACAAGACCAAAGCCGCAGAGGCCCACGACTGGAAGGGCTTCACCGCCGCCGCATCCTCTCGCATGGCCATCACCCCCTGCGCCAAGCGCCAGAAGGTCGCCGTCGGCTCCCGCGAGTGGTTCACCCCCTCCACCGGCAGCATGAAGGGCGTCCTCATCTGCGCCGCCTGCTACCACGACCACGTCCTGCTCTCCGGCGAAGAACACCGCTGGCGGCCCGCCGGCGACAACCTCGCCTCCCGCTACGGCAGCATGGTCCACTGCACCCTCGGCCACTTCAACATCGGCATCGCCATGTCCCGCGCCCAGGAGACCCGCGACTTCGCCATCTTCTGGAAGGCCCTCGACACCGCCGTCCACGCCGACTTCTGCTCCCCGGCCGGCATCCGCGACGGGACCTGGTACACCTTCCCCTCGCACCCGCCGTCCTTCTCCATCTGCGCCGCCTGCGTGGCCACCGTCGCGGAGCCCCTCGGCCTCGCCGCCTCGCTCGTGCCCACGTGCGGCGTCGCCCCGGGCACGACGCACCTCTGCGCACTCAACCCGGCCGCCTCCCCGCGCTTCGCGGCCTACCTCGCCAAGCTCCTCGAGGGCTTCTTCATCGCCGACACGCGCCCGCTCGAGACGTATGCCCTCGAGTTCGCGAGCCTGCCGCTCTGCCCTCGCGACGAGGACGCCCAGAACCGGCGCTGGTACGGCTGGAAGGAGTGCACCATCTGCCCGGCGTGCTACCACGAGTTCGCGCGCGGGACCGCGCTTGCGCCGCGCATGCAGCTGAAGGGGGAGACCGCGCCCGTGAGTCTGATGTGCGAGATGTACTCGCCGCGCATGCGTGCGCTCTACGTGGACGCTTGCGCGAAGGGGGACCCGGCGGAGTTGCTGAAGGCGTCGAGGAAGAGGAGGGAGGTGTATGTCGAGACGGTGCCTGTGATTCGGGAGGCGATCGACGAGGCGCAGATGGCGCTGGGTAGACGGCGGTTGTCGAATGTTGCGGGCTCGCCGACGGGTATTGTACATGATATCTCGATCAAGGGTGCGTTTTCAGGTGCGAGTCAGCAGCCTGCATCACTTGCGGCTGGGTTGGTTTCTGGGTCGAAGGCGCTTATTATTGAAAAGCTGGAGAAGAGATGGAGGGAGGTTGAATGAGGCGTTAGTAGGACTGTTACTGTTTTTCATTTGTAGTTTGTGTTTGCAGAGATACCACTTTTCGAACATTATACCTTTAAATAGAACAAAACTTTACTTTGGCATTTGGCTTGTCTCATCTTGCGATATCATAGTTCAAGATTGTGAGGAATATGGGCTATGATCAACGCGTGTACGCTGCAGAAGTGTCTTTTTGACAACTACCGACTATCCTCGTCGCCGTCGTGGCCGTTATTTTTCAACCTTCGGCACCCCAGGCGGCGTCTTTCCATCGTCGTGGAACCCCCTGGCGCACCCATTGCATTTATCCTCGCCAAAGAAGACCTTGGCCGTGCACCCGCAGAAGCAGCCGCAGAGCTTTGGTGTGGTGCCTACTTGAGATTTCATGTCGTTCATTTCGCGGCCTGAGAGCGTTCGCGAGCGTAATAAGTTGGCGCTGGGGTTGGGGCGCATAAGAGAAAGTTGACGAGCTTTGTAGGTGATGAAGTGAAATTGGACGTTATCGATGATGTGCAAGAGTCGCTCGACTGCTAAACAACAACCTCTTTTATATAATTTTTGTTTTCTAGATCTATTTGCGATTCACTGCAGGAGGACCGAGACATCGATCATGAGGTTATCGCTCGGTGAATAGATGATGGATCAAATGTCGGCATTGACTCAGCCGAGAAGACAGCACCGAGACCTCGGGTGGTAAACCGCACGAGAGAGACATCGATTTACCCGAGACATACTCAAAAATTGATTCAAAAATTCGTTATTATTCCTCAGTGAACCGAGGAACAACCCCTGGTGAATCACCGAAACCATGTAAAATCATCAGAAGCGACAGTAAGTGCTAAGGTATCATCATAGCGCCACAACCCTAAAACCCCCCAGAAAAAGAAAGAATCTTTCAAATACATATCATCGTGAAGAACAAGTAACTCATGACAAAACCCCCCATTTACAAAAGCAGGGCACCAACGGCAGCGGCACCAATCAGACCAAGGCCCTTAGGAGAGACAACGCCCGCGGCGTTCGGGGTCTGCGTGGCGCTGCTGGAACCGCCGTTGGTGGTGGTGGGGCTGCTGTTGCTGTTGCCGCTGCCGCTGCCGGACGACGTCGGCGAGGATCCACTGCCACCGGCGGCGCCGGGCGTGATGGTGGTCGTCAGCTGCGAAGAAGCAGTGGGCCGGGTGGCCGTGACGGAGGGAGTGGTTGAGGCGTAGGACGCGGTGGAGGTGTACGTCGTGCTGGCGAAGCCGCAGGTCCTCAGAATGTCGTTGATGTCTATGATGTTCGTGTGAGGAGTCACTTTCTAAGGTTCAAAGACAGTGAAGTAATTTACCATCGAGATCGTCGCGGTCGGTGACGTTCTGGTCCATGCAGCTCGCGCAGAGGGCGGCGTAGGACGAGACGTTGATGCTGGAGTTGGTGCAGACGCACTGCGCCTCGAGGCGGTCCTCGGTCAGGTCGTCGGTGACCTGGTCGTCGTCGACCTCGCAGGTGCGGCCGAGCTCGTAGATGGGGTTGCAGACGGCGCGGCACTGGCTGGGAATGTCATCGCTGTCGAGCTGGAGGTCGGCCTGGACGAAGGCGGCGGCGACGAGGGAGAGGGCGACGTGGGAGAAGTGCATCTTGGCGGTGTTTGTTGGTGGTGCTGGGTGAGACCTTTGGTGTGTGGATGTGTGTAAGTGAGGCTTGCTTGAGACTATGAGACTGATGATGATGAGGGAAAACCAACCAGCAAGGGGCGGGATGATGCTTGATATATAACCTTATCCAAATTCTCCTATGAAGCCTTCTCGAAACACAAACACAGGGGGGAAAGAAGGAAATCAAACAACACAGGCGGCAGAGCAATGTCTCGGGCAGCGACCGCCGCGCATCGTCACTTGGAGGCTTGGGTCTTGGTTGGTTTCTTGGCGTCGACGGTCTCCATCTTGGCCCATCCAGCGCCCTCCCACTCAAAATTGCAGCTATTCAAAAGTGGAGTTCCGATGAGCAAAGCCAAGAAACGCTCACAGATGCCCCAGCCTCAATCGACGACTCAGCATCCCGGCTGTGGTATACTAGGTAATGATTCTGTTGTACCGGTAGTTCTCGCTGCGTGAAAGTGAAACCCACTGTAGAGAGTGTTGTTATTCAGTAGAGAGTGCAATTACCTAAGATAAACACTGCCTATGTGCTCCCGTCAACCTTGTTGGGCCATGTTGCGGATGCCCCGAATTTCGCGTTTCTTTTCAAGCTTGTTGCTGCCCACCCGAGAGCCCCGAATCCCCAGGAAAGCTTAATGCGATACACTGGACCCCCAGTTGTCCCCTTGCGGCAGCGATAGACATTACTGACACAGAGTGATCGGTATGTAGAGAACGGATACTGTCTTTTACAGTGTAGCACCCGTCTTTACAGCGCAGCACTTTGCGGAGGACCAAAGAGGGAATGTGTCGCGTGCCACAGTCGGCAGCATTGTTTTCGCGGAGATGACCGGAACCTGAGCGCTCATGGCTGGGTAATGCCGGCTGGGTGCCGGACAGGACCCCGGAGGGCTGACAGGAGGCGCCAAGACATTTTACATACTCTCTATTACAACGATACAAGATGGTCGGAAAATAGAATCGTTCCTTGCTGTCACCTGGTAGACGGCAAATGCCCAGATGCAGGAACACGCGTCCGCGACAATCGCGTCGCCGTAAACGAACGGAAGACAGCAGAGCAGCTCCAGCAATCCATCATGAAGAAACATGTTTTGCGCCTGTCATCCAACCCAAAAAAACTTAGGTTCAGCCCATCACTTGAGACGACAACCACTCGCCGCCGGCATATCCCCGCCAAGACCAGCAGAGCCACGGCGAACACGCATCTCTCTCGCCGTGGCCCAATCTCACAGCGGCCTCAGTGTCCGCCACGCACCGCCCGGAAAAAAAGATCTGATTGTGAGCTGTCCATGTTTCACACTGTCCTCTTGGCGCATGGCCGCGGAGATGGAGCAAGCCCCAACATTCTCTCGACTCTCGTTCGCTGTGCTGCGGAAAGCTTGGGTAGGGTGCTTCCCTGGGCGAGGGGTTTGTACCCTGTGCCACCGGATGACGCCGGCCTACGGATGATCGACACCGCGTCCTGTCCCCGGGGGCTTTTGGCAAATCAACGCAGCGGCTTGTTGCAGCGGATAGAGAATGTTCTTTCCAGGCGTTGCAATTGACTGGATTCTCCCGTTGCCCCTCCCCAAAATCACCCACAGCCTAGGGAGGCTGGAGAACAGCGTCGCAGCGGGGCGGGCAGGCGGACCTTTTTGTTGTGCCTCTTCTCCTCAGCTGGACCGGGTATGTGAAGCTTGACAGGAGGTGCGGATGCTAAATTTAGGACCTTCAACATGCACTTTATGTCTTGGCACGCTGAAATTTGCACCAACATGTGGATGACACTGCAAATAACACTCAACGAGTTGACTTTCGGCAGGCAATGAAGAAGCTGCGACATTTCTTTTGTTTTTATCTTGTCATCTAGTGGAGATTGAAAGAGGCGTGGAAACTTCTCCAAGTTCCAAAGAGCCTCGTGAGATTCGTCGATCGTGGTGCTGCAGGTCTGCTGATCTTCCCCGCCAGTCCACGCAACGCGCCAAGATGCTAGTCATCGCCTCGCCAGAAGCATTTTCGTTGTACGCGCAATGTGACCTGCGTTCAGATTTTGAGTGAACTATTCTTGGCAAATTGACCACTGTTTGGCTGTTTGACATTACTTTCAGCCTCGCGAACGTGGCTGTGATATCTTTCCCCTCGATAAATGGATCTTTAGAGCTTTTAATGATGGAAGATTCATTGCCTATGAAAAAGAGAAAGCCAGAACTAAGAGTTTGCTTTGACCTTTGACTCATGCACTTGTGGAGGTCACCTGTACTGCTCCCATATGTGAAGTACCATCCAATAACTACTATTGGCGCAAACGACTTCCTTGAATCAACTTGAACTACCAAGAGCCCTCGTTTACATGTACCAACTCAAATGAGTGACTTCAAAGCAGTGTATCTTATGCTGAGGTACGTCGGACCGAGCGTGTGAGTTGCTATGGATACAAAAAGATGTTGAGCTACTGTCTCCAGGCACCCACGAACCCAGCAGGTACGACCAGTTTAAGGGTACCAGAAGAAAGCCCAGGCATCACCGGGCTCGAACTCGCCGCCGGTATCCTGGGCAAAGTAGGTAGTTCCAAGCGTCCACAAATGAGGAAGGACCGCAAAGGCCGCGTGCTTGTTGGAAACTCCAGCAGTGGGCGCAGGAACACCTAATATATTGTTAGTCAAGTAGTTATAATCGAGCCATTAGAACGGGGACATACCGGGGAAAGCGGCATCGACCATGATGTTGATGCGATTCTGGAGGTCAACCCAGGCCTGCATGATGTAGGCGTGCCCAGCGATGGTGATGGCCTGCGCAAAGGGGCGCGCGGCGGTGTGGAACTTGGGGTAGAAGTTGGCGCTGAAGCGCGCGTTGGGGGTCAGGCCGCGGGTCTCAAGCTCAGAGTCGCGCTTGTCAACGGCTTTCAGATGTGTTAGCGATATTGCTGTGTGGAAGGAGAGGGCTGAGCTTACCGGCGTTGTCATCGAAGTGAATGGTAGTGCCAACAGACTCCTCGACGGCGTACTCGCGGGCAGGAACTACTGATTCTCAGCTCTGTTCATGTCTACAGGATATTGCAGATCCAACTTACGGGACTGGACATCGGTGATCTCTCTGGCGTTATTCTGGCTGCTGGGCTCCGTTGGGAGAGCAGCGGCGTGGCCTCCGAGGAGAGCCACAATAGTGACGAGGGCTGAAGTAGGCTTCATGGTGACAGGAAAGAGTGAATTTGGGTAGGAAAAGATTGACTCAAGCTGTTGGTCTGTTGGTATGCTGTGGATGAAGAAAGAAATGCTCAGTGTCGTGGGTTCCTCGCAGCTTTATAGTTCCAAGTCTTCAACCATTCTAACCATACTTTTCGCAATATTGAGCGAAGTTCTTCCGCATCTCCAACAGCTAGATTCGAAATTCTGCCTTTGGGCTTCATGAAGATGAAGGCAATATCCCCAAAATCTCGTGTTGGCATTCTGCCTCATTTCTCCAGGCGACAGTTTCCAACTTGGGCCGTTAGGTTGAAGTTTGCGATGCTATTCAGAACGGCCATTCTCCGCGTGATACGGAGATGTCGTTCGAGACTCTGCGGAAGTGACGGACGTAGTCTTGCGCAGTGCCAGAAGGTGGCCGGTGAGTTTTTCGGCTAACTAGTTGAAGGATAGGATAACACTTCAAGCTTTGCAATAGTTCGAGATTTGAACTCAGCGAGATTTTGAACTAATGAGATTTTCGCAGTATCGGTGAAGAAATATCCTTTGGCAAAGGGACCGTCAGTGCTGGAGAGTCCACTTAGTTCATCCTAATGTTATGCCGCAAGGCGGGCGCTCACAATCTGATACCAAACTCAATCGTATTTCATCATTCTGCCCACAAGAGTCAGAAATCCCATATTTCTGAGGCATGTAAGTGAGTCGATTGGGCGGAATATGAGTTCCGCAACTGGCGGAGGCAATCAGCCCGACGAAAAGTAGCACATGGGCACCTTGACCACCGGCTCGATCGGCCGGCGAACACCTGAGTCGCTAGTCGCAAAGTCAAGCTTTCTGTCATCATTTATCTTGCTTTAGGCAACCCGATTTTAAGCTTTCCTGAGTTCCACCAATCTTTCTGGAACGTCTGTGTGAAGTTCGTCCAGACTAGGAAACTTCCTATTTTGACGACGTAGAATCAGCTTCAATCATCGCGGGTATCTCATCTCGGCCTCGTTACTAGTGGAAAGTATCAACTATTTACTGCTCAATAGCAATATCAAGACGGATGTGACGGATGTGAAAGAAGGACTTGTCCGAAGATGTTGGTTTCGAGATGAAGGCCAGTGGTATGATTGATGAAATAGGAAAGTCATCAATTTTCATCAATCATGATGAACAGACCTGGGTTCTCTATAAAGCCACGAGGGCCATCGAGCCTTCTTGTTATGAACCGCTGAATACAGAGCACTTCAGATTCTTCTTCTCGCCACTGAATAACCATCGTTCATCAGTTTGCAATCTCAACCATGAAGCTCATTACATCAATCACTCTCGCCATCTTGTAAGACCACATCACCGCAATGAAGACTACACACTCGCTAACCATTTAAAAGGGCTCCAAGCGCTGTCTCGGCTTACATGTGCAACTGCTTCAACAGAGAGAGACCCAACATTCAGGTCGCTCTGCAGTTCTGCGAGCCGGGCTCTGGCACGACTCGCTGCTGGGACAAGGCTACCAATAGCCAAGCGGTTGGTGACAACCATGCAGGCACCTTGACCTGACCAGACTCTGACGCCTTTAACAGTGTATCTTGAACAAGCCCATCACCCAGGCGGACTGCGACGCCCATTACTCTCCCAAAGGAGATTGGATTGCCAGCTGCCAGCACTGGACTGGTGGCTGCCCTAAGGGTATGACCCAGATGTGAGATGCCTCATTGATGACTTTCAACATCTCTGAACAAGCATCATAGGAGGTGAGGAGTTAGAGATTGAGTTGCTAGGGACTGTGCTCATTATCTGTTTGAACATTGACAAATAACGATTGATACTTATCCGTCGACTGCGGACTTCAGTCTGTAGAAGTGTGACTACCATTATGATCGCCGATCACCGTGGATGAGATGAAGTAGTCTTCCACGAGTATAGACAAAGAGTAGACTTTTGATACTACACCGCCTCATGCATGCCAAAGATTGGACATGATCTCGACGACTATGTCTATGAAGGGAAACCCCCACGCATGTTCACGTGAGCAAACCTTCCTGCGGCCGAGGACCGTCTCGGCCACCGATGAACCCCGAGAACCGCTGCGCAGTGCCTTGTTCCTGACTGCCCAGACAGCAGCAAGGAAGATGGCTTGTCTGACTAGGAGGGCCGCCTACATATTCTAAAGGTCAATCAGAAGACGGGGCAAAGGTCATGTGGTGGGAGGAGGGGTGTTTGCGTCGGCCGGTGGCGACGGACACGCACAGGATGGCGCGGGATGCAGTGGCCGGGGGTGGAACGCCGAGCCCGGCCTTCTGGGCCGTGATTTGCGGGTTTCGGCACCTTCAACAGCCAATGTGTACCCCTGTTCGGTGCCTGTACTACGGCAGATCGCGAGAACCCGCTCCTTGAGCTTATGTATTGCTTCTCAGACTTGGAGAGAGCAAAGACGTACGGAGGAACAGATGACAACCCAAATTCAATGATTCGCTGGCTGATCTTGTGGAGTGGTAAATCAAAATCTCCCTTGGAGCCCGGGCGCTGGAAAAAGCGTGGGGGTCGCAGTCCGGGGAAGTTAGGCTACTGTGGGCCGTTCACCGCATTGAACAAAGCACAGTCGTGCTAGGCTCAAGACTACTGAAACTAAAATCAACCAAATAATGTCGGAGTGGCATTGTTTGTGCCAATCATTTGGTCCAACCAAGCTTCGTTTGGTGGCTTGTCTTGTCTTGCTGACGGGCCTGAGCGTTGGATGAATCCCGCGGCTCCGAAATGTCTTCCCCGACCGGCGGTCAAGCCGGTCATCTATTCATTTCCTCAGCTACCAGAGTTTGGAAAGGATTGATCATCTCGGGCGCTGACATTGAAAGCCCAGCTGGCAGCAAGTTGTCCTATGTCTCTTGGAGAAGCCATTTGGATAGATTGGCGCTCGACAAGCACCACTTACATCGGACTAGTTTGCTTGACGCCCGGGACAAGTATCCCCGAAGGTACCACAAGCCAGTTCTCTCACAGACGATCTCTCCCCCTCGTGATGTCGTACCATGCGCAAATCGCCATGCAATCAACTCACCGCACACCTGGTACCCTTCCACACCATCCCGCTTGTGCATCCACGATCCACGCATCCAACCACTTGGTCGAATGCGGCAGGACAAGGCGTGGATGAGTAGCCACCCCCACGCCGCGGCGCTGCCGCCCAGCCGTGCGTTGCGCCAAGTTTGGCAAAGCCGCATGTCGAACATCATGGGATCCCTGGCCATAGCTTGCACCATTGTGTTTATTCCTTAAACAGGATTCTTGTGACCCCGGCTCTGAGTCTTGATTCGTCGCTGGCAGTCCCTAGGTGCTGGTTGAAGACGTACCTCAACTAACGACACGCTTCACTTGCCGTACATCACCTTATGTCCGCTTGCTGTCCCCCTGAAGACTCATCTTGTACAGATTTCTCGACCATAAAGGCCGAATCCCCCAGACTTGTGTCTGCCTGGTTGGGCTGTGGTCAGCAACCTCAAAGTCTTGCCCGCCCACGAAGCTCGTCCACATAGAGAGATACTGTCTCATCATCAAGCTCACATCATACTTATCACGAGAATGTCAACAGAAACAATGGCCACGCCCCCAACTACAACATCATCCTACGGGGCGCCCAAGGCGCTGAGCGCCAGGCTTCCCGACGGCGTCTACGTGCCAACCCTGGCATTCTTCACTGACACCGAGGAGGTCGACACCAACACCCTCGAGCGTCACCTCGTCCGGCTCATCAACGCCGGTGTGGCAGGCATCGTGGTCCACGGCTCCAACGGCGAAGCCGTCCACCTCACACGCGAGGAGCGCAGCTCCATGATCCGCTGCGCCGCCGACACCATCCACCAAGAAGGCCACGACGTCAAGATCCCGCTCGTCGCCGGCTGCGGCGCCCAATCTACCCGCGAGACCCTCCAGCTCTGCAAAGACGCACACAAAAGCGGCGCAACCCATGCGCTCGCGCTGCCGCCCAGCTACTACGGCACCCTCCTCGACGACGACAAGATCGTCCAGCACTTCTACGACGTCGCAGACGCGTCGCCGATCCCGCTGCTCATCTACAACTTCCCCGCCGCCGCCTCCGGCCGCGACCTGTCTTCAGACGTCATCGTCCGCATCGCGCAGCACCCCAACGTGGTCGGCGTCAAGCTCACCTGCGGAAACACGGGCAAGCTCGCGCGCGTGGCGGACGACGCGCCGGAAGGGTTCTTCGTTGCGGGCGGCAGCGCGGACTTCATCCTGCAGGGCCAGGTCGTGGGCGCCAACGGGACGATCGCGGGGCTGGCCAACATCGCGCCGCGGGCGTGCGCGCGCGTCATGGAGCTCGCGGCGGCCGGCCGGCTCGCCGAGGCGCGGCGGCTGCAGGCAGTCGTGGCGAAGGGGGACTGGGTGGCCATCCAGACGGGGTTTGTGGGTGTCAAGGCGGCGATCGGGCACTTTGAGCAGTATGGGGGCGCGCCGCGGAAGCCCTGCGTCAGGCCCTCAGATCAGGAGGTGAAGGGGATTGCGGAGGGGCTGAGCGAGCTGCGAAGAGTTGAGGCGGAACTGGAGGAGGAGGCGGCGAGGGCGGATGCCGCGCGGTGATTGATGGGTTGGGTTTCTACGGCTGACGTATCTCATAGCGTCGGGTTTAGAGATTGCCGCGCGCGGGATGGCATGATGAGCGAGGGCTGTGAGAGGAAGGGAGGCGAAAAGTGACAGCTGAGATGTGGTAGATGAAAGGTTGTCTTGCATGGAAATGGTTGCATGGCGTGGAGATGGGTTCATGGATTTGATGGGCCATTGGAGAGAGTGGAGGGGGAATCCGGATTGAAGGGAGAACTGCTTGATTGCGACATGAAGGAGGGGTGCTTGGGCATCGGGCAACGATGTGGCCAAGGTCGTCATACCGGACGTGACAGCAAGGAAAAATGGAGGGATTGTTGAAAGGACGGATTCTATGCATCGTATTCACGGAAAAAACCCCAAGACCAGCTGGACTGGCTTGCGGTTTCTACGATTGGCTAAGGTATGAGTTTTCATGATGGGTACAGAGCTGGGCCCGACCATCAGCTTCATATTCAGGCTGGCTGAAGGTTGTGAAAGTGGAGTGGGAAATGCATCTATCTTCTCATTACATAGGACCAACGCCAAGCATACCTTCAAACCTATGAATGGATGACCGCCGTCCGCCGGCCATGTCTACCCAAGCACCCGTGGATGGCTCGGTAGCCTTGTTGAAGCTCTTGAGTGCGAATGGAAGATCTTGAGAAAACAGCCACCAAGCCCCCCACGTCGCCGGTCTCCTCGACGAACTGATGCGGCATCAGTGTTGCCGTGTACTCCCATATGTGATCATCAGGTAGTCTGTAATACCATAATCGCCAGTTGTAGTGTGCTGCCTCCGAGGTCAAAGTACATCCCGCGCAGACTCGTTGAATGTTGGCTGCCTGGGCCGATCAGCGGCCAAAAGAGTAAAGCTGGACAGATTTGGTCGCTGTGAATACATCTCTACATGCATTGGGGTTGAATCGCCACTTTGTCTAGATGAAATACCACGTCAGGATCCGAGGAGGGGTGATCACTTGTGGGATCTTTCTAGAAGATGACAGACATAGATAGGCTCAACAGGGCACGTTTATCCACAGAAGATCAGCAGCAATGGGCGTCGTGGCACACTGTCAAACCCCGGACCCCAGATGACGATCACTAAAGTCAAACCCCGGCGGCCGGAGGCCTGAAATATGGCATACTGGATGCAGGGCTCGCTCATGCAGTGAGGAAAGTGTAGGAGACTATTCGTACCAATCTCAGGCTTTGCTTTACGTGATGGAGGCCACACCACTACAAGCTGATCCGTTGACGTGGTATGGGCTTTGCGGTAGCCGCACCTATGAGCCCTGCAGCTTGGGGATCAAGACGTAAAGATCAACGGCTGTGGGGGATTGTGATCCCCCAAATGCACCCCGCATTCACTGCCCGGAGGATTTTGCCGTTTTCCAACAGGGCTCTAGAATAATGTAGTTCTTGGTCGGAAGCGACAGCATGTGAAAGTCCTGCACGAAAAGTCATTGAAATGACTATTGGATTCATGATCTTGCCAGCGGCCAATCAGGAGAATGTGAAGCCTTCATAGTAGTCGAACAATTTGCGCAGTCTAGCGAACAGCATTGTGCGCTGTTCACCGAGCTGTCTACAGTTCAGATAGTTTTCTTACAGACTCAAAACCATGCTGCACGAAACTCGGACATTAGAGCATTAAAAAGTCGGATTCACCGAATGTAACCAATTCTTACCCAAATAAAAGCTAAGACCAGTTTGTTGTTATCTTGCCCGGGTAAAGCAGATGTTGAAGGGTAGAGCATACACGAGCGTTCGCCTATTAGTAGCGCTCTTTTGCGATTTCTGCTATGAAAACTTCCAGCGCCTAACAAGGGTGACTAAGCGCTGTGAATGAGTCCCTAACAAGTTCATGCCGACAAACTCCTCACCTACAGACTACCTGTTTCCACGCACACGATGTCAGCCGTGTCGAGATGCCATCCGAGCCCGCAAAGAGAATATCGTGGGTTGGACTCCCGCTAAGGTCGCCTGAGACAAATCGCTGACACAGTTTCAGTTGCAAGAGATGCCAGTACCGAAAGGTGCCTGATGATCCTGGGATTGCTTTCAGGGGCCGATCTCGCTGACTTCGGCTAGTTGAAATGCTCCCGCACTGAGCCATGCCAGAATTGCGCCACCGCAAAGCAGACATGCGAATACCGCGAGATCGACCGTAAAAGACGGCCCGCTACGCATGAGTACGTTGTCAGTTTGGAGAACCGAGTGGCTTCACTCGAATCATTCATCCGCAGCTTGCAGACAGCACCGGAGAAGGAGCGAGACGAGATGTTGCGGACAGTATCGTTCGGGGATCACCTGCAGGCTGGCGGCTCTCGTACAGTTGAAAACCCTCAGGTGACTCAACGCACATCAGAAGATGAAGGTCGGCGCAGTACCGCACACCTCCAGGTCGACCTCGAGGGCTCGCTGATCTATCACGGGGCGACAAGCATCTATCGAGCCAACGCGTATCGCCCAACGACCAGCAATACACTCGGTGCTTTCTCATCACATTCGTCACCGAACCTTGTATCCGAATCGACTTTCGAACATGTCGCAGAGCACTTCGGCATCAGCCTTCAAGACGAGCTAGTTTCAGACGCATTGCTCCAGTTCTTCAAGTGGCAGTACCCTCATTTCATGTTCATCTACCGCGAGGCATTCCTCAGGGATCATTTCGGCGAGAGATCCAACTGCAAATACTGGTCCTCGGCACTGCTTTTGTCTATATGTGCGCTGGGAACGTTGATGTCACCAGATAAACGACACCGTCAAGCAAGCGAGCAGTTCTTTTCCGCGGCCGAGAGCATCCTCATCGTTTCCGGCTTCACTAAGCCATCAATCGTCACGGTACAAGGCTTTCTATGTCTAGCGTTTTATGAGATAGGAAGAGGGAACCTCTCCAAAGGGTGGGGTTTCTCAGGTGAGCCCAGGTATGCCGCATCAGCCCGACCACTGGTGAGTTGACGTCATGTAGGAATTGCTTTCCGGATGGCGCAAGACCTCGGCTTCCAGAGAGACCCAAAGCACTGGATCTCTCATGATTCTTCACTAGTTACGGAGGAAGACATGGAGATTCGCAGACGCATATTCTGGGGATGTTACACGTCCGACAAACTCATCAGCTTGATTCTCGGGAGGCCGGTGTACCTCTTCTACGACGATGCTGAGGTCGAAACGACCGAGAGACTTCCGTAAGACATAACAATGGAGGGGTGAATACTGAAATACTAACATCGTTTAGAGACTTTCCAGAAATGGCGCCGTGGCTTCCCGCCGGCGTTGCCGCCTACGACGGCCGCTTCGCTGATATCAACCCACTACCGCTTGTGCCCTGCTTCAAGGAACAAATCCGCCTTTCCAAGATCATTGAGAAGATGTTGTCGAAGCTCTTCTCAACGAGATCAAACTTGGAAGGTCTTGGGAGGCAGGCATGTCTCGACAGCCTCAACTTTGAGCTGTGCAGCTGGTATGAAGCCTTGCCAGAGTGCGCGAAATGGAACAAGTGGGAACCTCCAAGCACTCCTTTGATTCCGAGTGTAGCTGCACTCCAGTGAGTTCCCCTGCTTTCCAATAGCTATCCAATTGTATCGATCACTCACGAAATCCGCTTCAGTTTGCTGTTTCACAGTGTGCGGATTGCTCTCAACTTTGATCACGCGGCGTCGGGTCACAGCGGAGCCATGATCGACAACGCACGCAAAGACTGCGTCTCTTCCGCGCAGGATATTACACATATTTCACGGAAATATCGGAGCCAATACGGACTGCTACACAGCCCGCTGATCATGATCTATGCGGTCATGCAAGCGGCTAGAACTCTGACATTGTTTGGCACGGCTGAGGAGGCACAGTACCTGGTTCATTCCTTGGATGAATGTTGTGCTGCTTGGGACTTGGCCGAGCAGGCTAGGAATAAGTTGACACAGATATAAGACTGATAGGTTGCCATTGGCTCACCAACACAGAGAACTTTGTTATCGTGAAAGAAGGATATTGCAATCCAAATCAATCCCAATCTGTCTAGACGTTTCTTACATAGGAAGGCTTGACTCGACGCCAGTCTTTAGTACGCTAATAAGCTTCTTGACATCTGACGAATTATTGTAGAAGCCAAATGACACTCTAATACCCAGACGGTACGGTGTGACAAGTACTCCATGATCCTTCAGCAGCTCCATCCACCGCGGGTCATGCAGATCGAGAATGTAGAGGTGAGGCGCGTGCTCCTTCCGGCTGGTAGGCCCGACAACCTTGATGCCAATATCCTTGCATCCTTCACGCAAAACATCTCCGAGGCTGTAGAGATGTTCTTGAACGCGCCCGGGGCCCATGGAATCGAGGTAAAACGTCAAGAACGCCTTGGCAGATGCCGCGGCAACCAAACTCAAGTTCAAGTGCTCGTACCGGCGGGCCGTGGGGTGGTACACCAGAGACTCGCTGGGAACCAGCAAGTCAGCGCGGACGTTGCTCACAGCTCCATATCCGACAATCGGCGGCGTCGGATCCATCCCTGTGATTACCGCTGGATCAACGTAGAACGCGGCGAAGCCAGTGGGGTTGTTGAGGCCCTTGTGCAGACTAAACGCCGCTGCGGAAACGCCCAAAACGTTGACGTCGACTTCAGCGAAGCCAACCTGCTGCGTCAGGTCGGCGAGGACGTGAATGCCGCGAGGCCTGTAGGCCTTGCAGATGTCGGCGACGTCGTTCCACTGGCCGCTGTGGAACATGATGGAGCTGATGCCAATAGCGCGGGTGCGCTCGTCCACGTACGGAGCGAAAGTCGCCGCATTCGCCGCAGTGACCTTACCGCTCCTCTCTGCCTCGGGTATCGTGGGCACCTGTCTGATTTCGAGGCCGGCGGTGCGCAGGGCCATCCAGCCGTACACATGGTTCGGGTGCTCCGAGTCGAGCACGACGACATTGTCGCCCGAGGTGAACTTGAGACTGCGGGCGAAGGAGTTCAGGCCCTCGGTGGTGTCGCGGGTGAAGGCGATGGAGGAGGGGTCGGCGTTGATGTAGCGGCCGACCAATTCGCGGGTCTCCTCGACGGCAGATTGCCATTGGGGCTTGGGGTGGGCGGAGTAGAGGCCCTCAGAAGAGAATTTGGTGATGGCGCCGTGGATGATGAGGTTTGAGGGGGGTTGATAGGAGGCGTTGAGGTATGTGATCTTGTCGTCTGCTACCAAGGGCACCAGGGACCGGAAGGTAGAGAAGTCGGCCTCCGTTGAGGGGGTTTGGAGGGACTTGGCCAACACCGGAACATCATCCGTGTGGTTGTCAACTGCACTTGGAGACATGTTGAGGAAAATAGAAGAGGGGTGAAGGGGGTTCTCTGCGATGTTTCGGGATCTGGTGTCTTCTGCTCAGTTGGTCTCCTACCCTGGGCTTCAATGTCGGCTTCATCTCTCCTTTATCAGTTTCGTGTCCTCCTATATCGGCGAAACTACACGCACTACTTCGGAAAACACGAAGCATCATCATGCAGATACCCCGCGCGTGATGTTTCGCCGTTCTGGCTTACGCAGGAAATGGAGGCTCAAGTCCGTTGTTGGTGATGTTGTATCATCCAGGGCGCGCCCAAGTCAGAAGTAGGTCGTGCCTGGACTGATAGACGCTGATTTAGACACTTTTATCTAAGAGAGATGACTTGATACGCGCAGGATGATCAGACTAGCTTTGAATATTTCCCGGCTGCCACTGCATTCAACTAAATGCATCTGATGTTGTGACAGGGATATCCAGATCAACTGCGATACTGGAGACGGACTTTGACCTCCATTTGCGGGTCCGGGGTTGATAAGAACTCGCTGCCCCGCATGTTGGCGCGCAGCTCGTCCCATCATGGCTGAGTCTTAGTCTCGTGGCCTATCTTCACGGTGGAGACCGAGACTTCCCCGGATTTTGTCTCCGACGCGTTGGGCCATTGATCATTCCCTAGCTATCAACGTCTTTGGACCTCAGAACGAGATAAGCCAGATAGTATGAAAGTTCGCATCGACTCGACTCTGCATGGATTGTGTATAAGAACCACGGCCAGGGCATGACAGCGTCCAAGTCTTCAGACACTGTCTTTTCCATGTCACGTTCTTTTTCCATCTTCTTTTTGGCATCTTCATCATGAGCTCAGACAACGTCGCCAAGTTTGGCAAGAGCGCCAATGATGCTGAGCAAGACCCGTCGAACCTGAAGACTTCAATGTCCAATGCGGAAGGCTCCTCTGCGGAGACGGGCCAACTGAAAAGGGAGTTCAAAGAGCGGCATGTCTCCATGATTGCGGTCGCTGGCGCCATCGGCACCGGCCTCATCATTGGCTCTGGAACCGGTCTCGTCAGGGGCGGGCCCGCAAGTCTGCTGATTGCGTATACCATCATTGGAGCCGTGGTCTTCTTCATCATGACGGCCGTTGGCGAAATGGCGACGATGCTGCCCTCTGACAAGGGATTTGCTGGGTACGCTACCCGATTTGTTGATCCAGCTCTTGGGTAAGTCATCTCTGGTATAGTATCTACATGCGTTATGAACGGACTTTGATGCGTGGCTAGGTACGCAACGGGATGGAACTACTTTTTGAAATACGCCATAGTTCTACCGAACAACCTCACAGCGGCTGGCATCATCATTCAATACTGGCGACCCGATCTCAACGTTGCAATCTTCGTGACGACTTTTACTGTCGCAATCATTGCGGTCAATGTGGGTTCTTCTTGATTTTGATCTTTCTTCAAAGCCAATCTGACATGAGCTCTAGGTCCTCCATGTGTCCTTCTTTGGCGAAGCGGAATTCTGGATGTCAACAGTCAAACTACTGGTCATAATCATGCTCGTCCTCACCTGCTTCATCATCTCAATGGGCGGCCAACCTTCCGGCGAAGTAATCGGCTTTAAATACTGGCACAACCCGGGCGCCTTCGGATCCTACCTCGTCGAAGGTCCCACAGGTCGCTTCCTCGGCTTCTGGGCGGCCATGGTCCAGGCCTGCTTCGCGTACACTGGCACCGAAGTAGTCGGCGTCGCTTTCGGCGAGGCTCCTAACCCGCGAAAGACCATCCGCAAAGCCGTTCGCCAAACACTCTGGCGCATCGTCTTCTTCTACATCATTGGCGCCCTCGTGTTGGGCATGTCTGTCCCGTATACCAACGACCTGCTCATCGGCGGCACGAAGAAGAGCACCGGCGCGGCTGCGAGTCCTTTCGTGATCGCGGTGCAGCTCGCCAACATCCCCGTTTTTCCTCACGTCGTCAACGGGTGTCTGCTCATCTTCGTCATTAGTGCGGCCAATTCGGATATCTACATCGGATCCCGCACCCTGTATGGACTTGCTCGCGACGGTCAGGCGCCTAGGATCTTCACCAAGACGACAGGAGCTGGAGTTCCCATCATTGGTGTTGCGGCCACGAGCGTCTTTGCCGCGCTTGCGTACATGAACGCGGCCAAGAGCTCGTCCCAAGTATTCGGATATCTCGTCAGCTTGGTGACTGTCTTCGGCACTTTGAACTGGGTCAGCGTTCTTGTAAGCTACATCCAGTTTACGAGGGGCATGCAGGCCCAGGGCATTCCCCGAAGCATCATGCCTTACCGAGGACCGCTGCAGCCCTATGGTTCTTATGCTGCTCTCCTCATAACGGTCCTCGTTGTCTTCTTCAATGGTAAGTGAGCTCTCTCGACCTGTGAAATGTGTATCAAGCTGACGCGAATCTGCCAGGATACAATGCCTTCATCCCGAAGTTTACTGTGTCAACCTTCATGACGTCTTACATCGGAATCGCCATATACGTTGTGAACATCATCAGCTACAAGCTGTACGCGAAGACCCAAAGGGTCAGTCTCGGCACAATGGACCTGCACAGCAACAGGCTTGAGGATGACGGGGCCAAGTATCCGAGCACATTAGAAAAGGCTGCTTCGTGGGTGATGCAAGTCACAAAGCGGTAACGAAACATGAAGGACCTATATGTAAATATTGTGATATTAAAGGACTTTTCTGTCAATTACACCGGGAATCATCGCATGGAGTGGTATCATTATGCGCTTCTGAATACACGCTTCCCTTAACCAAAAATGACGATTCAAGCCTGACACCAAGGCGCTCGGGTATCCATAACGCGGACATGTGTCTCGGCTCAATAATCGAGTTGATGTCCGGCTCTTTTGCTTGCATCCATCCCCAGTCTCCAAACTTTGCGTAGGTTCATGTCTAGGCGACCGTCTTCTCGCCCTTCACGGCAACACCCTCAGACGGGATATCGCTGTCGTGGGCATTTTCAACACTCTCGCCCTTCTTGAGGCCGAGCTGGCGTGTGTCGTAGCCGTTCGCCTCCAGGTAGGCGCGGAAGCGGGCGTCCTCGAGGGCAATGGTGTCTTGGCCGATGTGGGGCAAGCAGAAGAGGGCGAGGGCAGCAGACAGGACGCAGAGAGACGAGGAGACCCAGAAGGGGTACTGCGCAGTAGCGACCGCATTGTCGCCGGCAGCGGCCTGGATGTATGGAAAGACTGTTGCCCATGTCAGTACAAATATGAATGGTCATTTTCTTCAAATGACTCACCCCAAGTGCCCACGAAGGCGCCGATCTTGCCAATAGCAGCGGCAATGCCATAGTACTTGCCTATTCAGCTGTCAGTATGTCTTGATCAAGTATTTGCGCCGCCTTTGCTTCGGGATGTCTTACCGCGAATGCCAGTCGCACAGGTCTTGGCCGCCAGGAGACCAATGTTGTTACCGGGGCCGAACTCTCCAAGAGCCAGGAATACACCATACACGACAACGAATCCGCCGACCATGCCGGGCTGGGACAGGTTGAAGTAGTCACCAGCCATGATGAAACCGACGATAGCCTGGAGGAAGACGCCCAAAGCGAGGGCGTATCGGGGGCCGAGCCAGTCTGAGGCAGGGGCACCGAGCATCGTGCCGGGGATATAGAACAGGTTGATCACAGTGTTCCAGCCGAAGACGGTCGTGAGCGGGGCCGTGTCGCCGTAGATATTGCTCAGGATGGTGGATGAGTAGATGCCGAAAGAGTAGGCGGAGAACTACATTGCGTCACGTCAGCTTCAGCCTATCTCCTCATGCTCATTTGTGCACTCACATCGTAGATGAACCAGATCAAGCTAACAACAAACAGGCGCCAGCCGTAGAAGCGGAGGGAGAGGAGGTACGGCGTCTTGGCGTGACGCATCGAGTTCTTCTGGAATTCTTCGTTCTCCTTGACGAAAATACGGAGGACGAACAGGAAGATGGGGAAAACTACACCGATGCCCAAGCTGGTGCGCCAGATGGTGCTGTAGTGGCCGTTGTGGCACGCAGCTGCGACGACGTACGGAACGAATGCGCCGATGACGAAGCCCCAGTCAATCATCGAGTTTGTGAAGAGAATGAAGAACATGTTGCGCTTGCCGGACTTGAGCTCTCCAGTCGACTCAGCGGCACCGACACTGCCAGCCGGGTACTCGCCTCCGATACCGATTCCGACCTACCAAGCGCACGTTAGACGGGGTTTGCGAAAGACGGCGGGGGTCGCAGTTGCGATGCGCGAGAACTTACGAAGAATCGCCACGCTGCCAGGATGTTGAACATGCCTATGTCGTCGCCCTTGTAGTAGGATCCGGCAGCGAGCGCAGTAAAAACGACGAGGATGATGGTAGACACGAGCAGCGAGTTCGTGCGCGACCAGTGGTCCGCTAGCCAGCCGAATGCGAGCTGTCCGACGACTGTGCCGGCGAAAGCAATGTCGCCGACGTACTTCTTCGCGTTCGAGTTCTTGTACAGGTCGCCATACTGGAGCGCGAGAACCGTCGTCACGGAGCCAATAACCTGTCGCATCCAAACGACGTCAATTACGTTGTTCCAATTACTCACGAACTGTGCGCGACACATATGCGACGGGGTGGAGTGCTCACGTTGTTAATGTAGCCGTCGGAAAACAGACCGGCGCCGCATGCGATGACGGGCACGATCGCCTCGCGGAATGGCTTGCGCGGGGTGGTGTCCTGGGCGACAACCTCCTGCGCCCTGAGCTCGGACTCGGAGGGCTCCTTCTTCAGGAAACCCAGCATTGTGTCGACAGGACAATTCTCGTCGCGATTGGCGTTTCGAGGAAGGTCGGCAGCGAAGCAGGTCTCTGTTCGTCGCTGGCGAGATCACCGGTGATCAAGGCAAGACAAGCACCAGTTTGGGGCAGAGACAGGATGACGAAGTCGCCTGGGGCGAGGCAGAAGGGGAGAGGAAGAGGCGCCAGACACGAAGCGGGACTCCCAAATACCTTATATATCGGACGATCACAAGCCCATTGGAAGAAACACAGCCAAAAAGTTCGATCTACGCAGCTGTCGGGTGCGACGCTAGAGCCAACGTGCATGCTGCATGCCTCCCTCCACCAACGAACCATCCAAAAGAGCTCCATCCCGAAAGGCGAAGGGCGTTTCCCCCGACGAGACGGGGCCGCTCGCGGCCGGCGGCCCTATGAGAAGCGGGAAAGCCGCGCGTGGCCCTTGTTCCCCCGCTGCAACATTATCGATGGGGTCACCGAACGGGTGGCTTACACCGATACCACGGGGCCTTACGAGTGGTTCGCTTTGCGAAATGGGGACTCCACAGCTGGGTTCTGTTCGAGTCGTGTTGGTGCTTCTGCGCCGGTTGGTGATAAGCCCGGAAATGCGGCATGAGGGGGGTGGTGTTCCGGTCTTGGTCGACTCTTGGGCAGACAGAAAGACGGGGGCAGGATGTGATAGGATCAGGTTTGGTGCGGGTACACGTGTAGAACGTTAGTCCTTCTCTGTCATGCGACCTGATTGTGCAGTAGTTCAATGGTCTCTCTCATTTGGAGCTGGCTTTGGATACTTGCTCTGAGTGGTGTCCAATGGAAAATGTTTCGCCAATAGAGACAGCTCTTCTGAAAACAAATGACGTTCGAAGCATCCCTGAGAACCAGGCTAAGCTTTTTAGTATTTCTGGGCAGGGCGCGCCGCGCCGGGAGCCTTTGCTCGGCGCGGGCTTCGAGTCGTGCAGGGCTGGTGTACAAGGTACAAACACCACCACTCAACCGAGGATAAGTCGAGTGCGGGGGCCTGAAGCTCATGGAAGATTCTCTTCACATCGAACTTTCTTGGCGATTGCTCAAGTGTTATCTGACCTCGGCGATTTGGACAGAAGGATTGTGTCGAGTTCTGTTCGGTCGTAATGTTAGGAGAGAGAAACAATATTTTGACCCCAACTGCTCGTTTCTACAGGGTGCCACAAACAATAACAAGTACCTGGATGAACCATCATGCGCAAGTCACGCATTCCCTTGCCTAACCCAGCGACCGCAACAGACGCAAGGCAGCGGCTGAAGTGTAACCTACCCTGCAGGATCGGCAGGGACGGCATTCTGAGTTTTTCAAGTCGCAACCTCTGTGAAATGATAGGACCAATGAAAGTTTTTGAAAACATCACAATGCCAGACAATCCCATCATCCATGTTGATGTCGTCCGATGACCTGGTTCACCCACGTCGACCTGTGGAGCAGCCGAGGGAGCTAGATCGCCGGGGAGGCGCACCCGGGCGGGTGTCATCAGCTCTTGCGGCTCAAAATCCTGCATGAGAGCACGTGGGAATGAATTGGAATGTGCCGTATTGAGTAGAATGGATTGCGCGAACTGAGTGTTCGTTCCGTGATTTTGCATCACCGGGCCGGGGTTGTCGGGGCCAATGAGCGGCCGTCCGCAGCCCACGTGGGCGCCGGAGTGGACTTGTTGGCCCGAAAAGTTCGGCCTTCAGTTCCGGCCCGCAGCTTGCTACAATACATACGAGCTCGCTGAAACGTGCTGCTGGATATCAAGCTTTTCTGTTTATGAAGACAAAATCATTCTCTAGCTTGAATGATTAGCGGTAAGCTTCTAATTGTACAGGTATCTTCGATGGAATGTGTATTACAGCTAGTACATGTGCCCTTCTAGTACCTCGTCCACGTCCAAGTCCTCAACACTAGGCACCTCTCTCTCCCGATATCGACTATACCACTCTAGCAACTCCGGGATCGTTACAGTCGTCCGGGCCATAAGCCATGTACCGCCAAGCCCATGGCTTAACTTCCCCATCGGGCCGGTTTCTTCGGCAGTAAACTATGTAGAAGAAGCTCTCAACACCGTGCCCAGATTCCCATCCAGCAGCAACTGCCCAACAGCCGTCAACTGTCAGCTCGTGAGGTGTCTTGACGGTGGTATCGATCGATTCATCCGTCTCAGGGCCCGCACCGGTCCAGAACATGGCCTGATACGTCCACTTGGTCTCTCCCATCCCGGGGCCAGTCAATGCACCCACGTACTCCGCAAGAATGCGAAGCTTCGGAGGAGCGCTGATGCTCTCGCGAACTTCCTCAAGACACTTTGTTTTCAGAGCGTGCTCCAGACGGGAGAAATACAAATCTCGCTCATCGCTGGTCGGAAGAGACCACCCGCAACCGTCAAGATCGCAAAGCGGTGCGAGTTCATCGAACTTCGTGAGTATATCTTCTGGACTCGATATCAAAGTCCGGGCATCGGTCCGACCCAGGACGCTCGCAAAACAGTCTATTCTCATGTCTTCAGCTACAACTCCCCAATCTTCCAGATCCAGCTCAGCCTGCGTGGCAACTTGAACTAGATACTTGGGTCAGTCTGACTTCACGAAGACTGTTCTTGATGTCCACACACCGTAGACTTCAAGGGCGCGGCGATTGCGTTCGGCTATGTATGTACGATACGCATCAACTGCAGCCTTGACCTCATCACGCGTTGAGTACATTTTCGGGACGACGTAGTGAAAACAATTTTACCCTGACGAAGAGGCACGAAGGTTTCCCCAAACGCATAGAATAATAGGATGATAATTGATTGGTATTGACGCAGCGGATTCAGGTGCGATCAGGCGCGCTTGGCAATGATGGGTTGCTTTGGTGAGGGGAACGTGATGAGTTGAGATTGAATCTCCTAGATTTTAAATGGGTCTCTTTCCGGTTTCTTGCATAAAGGGGCTACTGTAACTGCAATAGAGGGAGAAAACCAACTGACTACAATGTCCTGTTGGTCGTGGTTCCGTGGTTCAAGGTCAGGCAGTTAAGTTAGTACCTAATTTTGTTAAATTGTTTCTATTGACACCGCCTACTGAGAGGCATTTCAGGTTTCTCTACATCGTACGAGAGAAAAACAAGGCGATTTTATCGCTCGTGGGTAGCACCTCGCAGTTTCACCGCCAACATTGGTAACTTGATGCCAAAATTGACTATACTGGGGGAAGACTCATTTGACGCTTGATCCGAGATGAAGCACTCCACCTCACGATGATTTGGACCTAGGCTCACGCATGCACGTTTGACGAGATGGGCGTTGAGAGAAGACCCGAAGTGGGTGTAGAGGTGTGGGATCACCACCTGACTTATGCTTTTCAGTGCTCTGATGCATATAGCTAATGCAGAAACTTGGGATAACTGTAGAGATGGGGTCAGATTCACTGCAGTTTTAACCCTCCTGGAGCTCCCAGAAATACCCCATAATGATTGTATCCTATTGGTTAAATCAGAGCTGCCTTATCCTTTTTAGAGCTCTGATGCAGATAGCTAATGCAGAGACTGGGATTAGGTCGGAAGGGGGGTAGGTTCACTGCAATCTTAACCTCCCAAGAGGGGACTGATATGTTTCCGTACACCATTGTACCCTATGTAACCTGGAAATATGCGGTAAGTATCTTGCTGGCAACGAAGCCATCGTCAACGAGGCTGACAACAACAAGAGTATGGCGAGTTGGCGTCGGCGCGGGCATTTATTCCGGACCCTTGGGCACGTATACTGCGAAGCTACTGGACCGGGCACTGACTGAGTTGCTACTGTGAAAGCTCCTACTGGCTGGGCTCAAAACTTCCTCAACATACGCGGTAAATATAACGAAAACATCCTATGGATGATGTCTCGGATATATGACCAGATCGTGACACATGTCCAAGATTCCCTCGACTCAGGGTCAGCCACCGCAATTTTGAAATACTCAGAAAGTGTCAACATATGTTTTGATTTGGCACTCCTAGAGCGCTTAGATATACGGTATGGGTGCACATAATAGCTAGGTTTTCAATGTCTTTGGCTTGTGCTGAACTTGACGGCTTGGAGCCTGAAAAGCCCTGCGCGTATTTCTAGTATGCATACACCCTGGGAAGGAGGCTTCCGTGATAATCACCAAGTGCTTCACATTCAAACATGGTGTGATAATATTGTCGAGACGACTAAGGTCCAACGCGTGGGGGACCAAGGTTTTCTCCACAAGGAGCCTCGGTAATAAATGAGTAAGATCAGTTCAAAACCAGTCAACTATTACATTCTAGGGAAGCCCACAATGGGTTGGATACACGCATTCTCAGGAGGCCTGGCAGATCCCCGCCATGCATCAGTTGGCTTTCGTTTCTCAAAAGGAGACATGCATGCTCCAGTGGCTGGGCGGTTGAACTGCGGGCAAACGGTTCTTGGTCGACTTCACTGCAATTTTAAGCCCTCCAGAGGGAGTCAATACATACTCCATTTGACACCATGCAGGAGTACGCCAAGATATCTGCCAGCACAGCGATGGTATCCATCCTATTGGCTTCAACGACCCTTTGGTTTTGTTACCCAGTTCTTTTAGTGGAGTTTTGCTGTCTGGGCGGATACTTCTGGCTAACCGGGCGGGCGTACGACGACGACAACAACGACGACGACGATAATAATAGGGACAGAGAGAGGGATAGGAATAGCGACGAAAATAATAAAAGTTAATCGAGATAAAATCAACTATAAGAGCTAATATAGGTAGTTATCCGCCCGGTTAGCTAGAAGTATCCGCCCGGATAGCAAGACTCTTTTAGTGTTCTAGAAAGATCAACGACCCGATAGCATCCGCCTGTTTTTCCGAGATGGAGACCTTCACAGCAATTTTAACCCACTCCAAGGGGACCAATAGCTACGTTCAATACCACCACCGCCAAGACAAGAGTTGTGCCGCGGGCGCGAAGGCCTCCTGACGCTTTTCTGGTATCCCAAATGCCTATGTGGGTAATGCATCTCTTAACATGATTCAAGTTAGAATACGGTGCGGTTAGGATAAGTATTAAGTTCGAATTCAAAAGCCTAAGCATCATTAATGAAGACCTAAGGCATGTAAGACCAATAGTCCTCCCTTGCGCAAAACTACCAGGAGTAGGCTTTTTTACTCACTTGAAACTAAGCCATTGGTGTTAATGTATGTTGCCATTGTTACTTGACTTAAACAGATATTCGCTTCATCATCATCTCTATTCACCCTACCCTTCTGGGGATCAATCATAGACAACCGCCCTCAAGACGGTATCGCATTCACCCTCAGATTGAAAAAGCCTTAGATGCCTCCCTAGATGTCTGAACCAGATTCAACCACAACTATCCTCCTACAGGCGGTTTAAACCTCTGCAGCATCAAAGTTGCGGATCAAATCATAATAAAACCTCAAAATCTCCATGTGCGCAGAAATCTGGATCCTCTCATCAATCGTATGCGCATTCACCGTAGCCCCGTTGCGAATGGGCACGAAGCGGTACACATTAGGCGTCAGGTCTACACAAGTACCGCATGTCAGCAAAGTCTTCTCGCAGCTCAAAACCTCGGAGGCCCTCCAAACCAAGATTAGAAGGAAGAAGGCAAGAAATCAGACTTACTCAGATAATGTCTCGTATCAGTGTTACCAGTCATCAGCTCCCCTACCGGCACAACCTTGCCCCCATCAAACGCAAACGAGCTCTGCAGCGTTCCCGAGAACAAATCCCAAATCGGGCCCTTGGTTGGCGACACCGGCGCCACGAGCGTCTTCTGCGAGGAGCTCAGGACCAAGGTGCCGTTGTAGTCGACCTCGTACTTAACCTCCACACCACCATTCTCCATACCAACGGAGCCCGCAAGATCTCTCTTCTGTGCAGCAGCGTACTTCTCGTACCCCTCGTCGCCCTCGAACGCCACAATCTTGACGCCGTACTTCTCCGCAATCCCGGAAATGTACGAGACGACGTTGTGCTGGATCTCAGGGATGCTGTTCTGCGGCGCGACGCGGTAGTTCACGCCAACCTTGACAACCTCCGGCATGGCGTTGATCTTCTGCCCGGCCTGGAAGTAGTCCACGCTCTGCGAGGTCTGCAGGCGGTAGTGCGTCGGGCGGTCGATCTCAACCAACGTCTCCGCAAGCGCCTGCAGATCACCCTCTTGGAGGAGCTTCGTGATCTCGGGCTGCGCGTCGGGGGAGTACCGCGCCTGGCAGACCATGTGCTCGTACAGCGGCGACTTTGTCGTCAGCTCGGGAGAGTACGGGTGCGCCTCGAGCGCGACGACCATCTCCGAGACGATGCCGATGCCTGTGTGCGGGAAGGGAACCGAGGAGTGGCCGCCGGTGACGTGCAGCTCGAGCCAGATGTCGACGTGGCCCTTTTCCATGACGGCGGGGAGGGCGTAGAGCGTCTTGGAGTCGAGCTGCTGCAGGCCCATGCCGCCCTCGTCGAGGATCAGCGCCATGCTGTTGTTGCCCCATTTCTGCTCGAGGTGCTTGGCAATGTGGCCTGCACCGCGCTGGCCGGAGCACTCCTCGTCGAAGCCCGAGGCGAGGATGATTGTGCGCTTAGGGACCCAGTCCGGGTTCGCAAGGAGGGTTTCGAGCGCCGAGAGGAGGGCTGTGAAGGAGTTCTTGTCGTCTGAGACGCCGCGGCCCCACATCCACTCGCCGTCAAAGTGCGCGGCGAACGGGGGATAGGTCCATGTCGAGGCGTCGGCGACGGGGACGACGTCCTGGTGGGCGGCGAGGAGGAGAGGCTTGAGGTCAGGAGAGGAGCCCGGGATGGTATAGACGAGGCCGAAAGTGTTTACTTTGACGAGTTCGGAGCGCGCGTGGACCGCTGGGTAGGTCTTGCGCATGACATCGTGGAGTTCGTAGAACACTTTCCAGCGCGGGTCGGTGTCAAAGTCGCCGAGATCGTCGTAGCAGATTGACGGGACGCGGACGAGAGCTGCATGGCGGGAGACTTGCTTGAGGATGGCGGCTTCGGAGGTGAAGAGCTCCTTTGCGGAAGGAAGACCGTCGGAGGGTGAGATCGGGGGCGGGAGATCGCAAGTGAAGGAGGAAGCTGAGGGGCTGGTGAGAGGATGTTGGTCGGAGGAGGCGACGACGGCCGCTGCCGCGGATAAGATGCTGACGAGGGTGTTGGAACGCATCGTGAAGCTGTTGTGGTCAACCGAAGGTGCTCCAACTCAATGCACTCAACTCCGGCTTTAAAATTGTCACCTTTCTTCGGCCCAAATCACGGAATAGAAGAAAGAGAACACAACCCCTCGCGGGAAGAGGTGTAGGAACGTCATTTTGTAAGCAGTCACACACAGAGATCCCTGTGTTGCGTGATAGCCACCTCCATGCATCCTTCACCATTGACCAGTCAGTTTCTCAAGAGCTTCCCCATCCCCCGCTCGCCGAGATAGGAGCTCTTTCACCAGCGTGCAATCATTGTGGGGTTTCAACAGATAACGGCATAGAACCCCAGTATTTGCCGATATCCATGTTTCGGAGTCGGAGTCCACCCGACCGGTGCCGATACGGACATGTGGGCGAGTCAACGCCGCGGGCAACTTGCGACCTGCCTAATCAGAGAGCGGAGGCTGCCATTGGGTGTCGGGTATTTGAGGTGGGGGTTCACGAATCTATCGGCAATTCTGTCATCATGAATTCTGTAGGATCGAATGCTACACGCAGGTCAGTCGGTGAACTGCTGTGTTAACGCATGAGAAGATGTCGACGGTGTTTGGCTATTTTTCATTGACTCGCTTAGAGGTCTGGACAAAGTTAATTGACACCGGGGCCGTTCCGTGGACCGGATGCCGCAGGTACCGGAGTCAAGCCAAGACACGGGACCGGGGTATGGTTCACGCAGCATTTGAAAGGCAGACTGAATAAGAAATGAAGATGTAAATATGCAATGACTACATGGCACCCGCTTATCGGTATGCTCTGGGTATGTGCTAAGTGAGATTTTCTGAGATTATCCAAGGCGTTTCCATGCCACTATTACTCCATTAAGATTGAATGAGATTATGCCAACAATTAGGCAGTCTGCGTAACCACGGGGCCGCCGGTTGTCGGGAGTGCAACCGGCGTTGAAAGAGCGTACAAATCAAACATCTTGGCCCCACCGCAGTAGTTGGCGGTGTTTGTTGTGGTCGTGACGGTACCGTCGGTGGTGAAGGTACTAACACTGCCATAGCAGTAATTCTTGCAGGCCTTGGTCCCGACAAGGGAGGTGACAACGCCGCCCTGGAAGTCGAGACTCGAGCCGCCGTAGCACTCGTGGTGGTACTCCAAGAACAGGTACGGTAGCTTGGTTGTCGGTGTTGGGGCCTTACTATACACCGAGTTGGCGTGAGCGATGCAAAGCTCAGGCGTAACGCTCTGGTTGGCAAACAGCAGAGGAAGCGCGTGTCCGGTAGGCCGGTCCCTGAAGCAGCCAACATAGTAGTACCCGTCGGTTGCCGTGGCTGAGGCCGACGACGTCGAGCTACCACTTGACGAGGGGGAACTACTTGTGGTTGTTGATGCCGGCACAGATGGCACGAGGGAGCTGGATGGCGCTACAGACGATGATGAGATCGCCGAGCTGCTTGATGACGGGCTGGGACTCGCGGCGGACGATCGCGAGCTGAGAACTGCGGAGCTCGAAGAGGTGACAATTGAACTGGCGCCAACAGAGGCAGAGCTGGAACCGACTGAGGATGATTGAATAGTCGAGGCACTGGAGGACAAGGATGACTGCTCACCAGCAGCAGAAAGCTTGAAAAGACCAAGGCGGCTGGTTCCTCCGCAGTACTCAGACTATTCACCGTTAGAAGACATCTTGCGGCGGGGGAAAGTAGACTTACCTGGTTGCCGCGACAGAGCATATCGCACTCCTTCAGCGGAGCCGGGACCGATCCCGCGTTGGTTGCACTTCCGCACCAGCCTGATATCATTGTTAGAAAACGTCTAGTAAGCACGAGACACGAAACCTACACTCTTGGGCGTACTCAACACCCATGTACTGGAAGTTGCCCTTGGCGCAGAAGGCGGCGCAAGCCTTGGTTGTCATATCTGCCGAGCCGAAGGAAGCCCCTGACAAAGCGCGTCCGTTGACGCCTTCGGTCTGGCATCCCAGGAACTCGTAGTCGCCTGCTCGTGCAGCGTGCTGGGGTTGAGACGGTGCTTGGTTGGGGATTGTGTTGTTGTAAACCGAAAGGCGGAAGCCGGCACCACACAGACCGACGGAGGAACCCGCACAAGGCGAAGAACATTCGGCTTCTGAGGTTGACATCTTGGCAGCTTGCGCATCCCAGCCGCAGTAACATTCGCGGCCGTACTCGACACCAAAGTAGTTAAAAGCTCCACCACCTGGCGCACCAGTACTGCAGAATGCAGCGCACTTGGCCAAGCTCATATCGTCTGACGCAGAAGACGCCCCTTGGAAGAGTCTCTCGCCGTCAACAAGGTCTTTGAAGCACCCAGCGTATTGCCATTGTCCGCCGATGATAGCAGGCATCTGAGGATTGAGGGGTGACGCGACAAATGTTGCAGATGGGGTCGCACTGCTCGAAGTCGTGGAAGTGGGGGTGATTGTCGAGACGAAAGCCGTGCTGCTTGAGCTTGAGGCACCAGATGAAGCACTAGACGCCAAAGACGACGAAGTCGCAGTTGAGCTGGAAACACCGCTGCTCGCAGATGCTGCAGAGCTAGTGACAGCCGAGGAGGATGCCACAGAGGACGCCGGAGGGACGCTGCTAGCCGACGATGCTCTAGTGGAGGATCTCGTTGATGCTGGCAGAGATGAGCTAGAGCTGGGGTTCTTGAGGGACTGGTAGAAACCAGCTATGTCGAATGCTGTGATATCGGCGTACAAGCTCATGTGCCCGTTGTCGCCACCACATGCCTGAGTGTCATCTCCAGTGCAATCGAAAGTGCACAGATTGAGGGACTCGTCCTCGTACGTAGAGGGGTTCTTAATGCTGGAACCGCACCAACACTCTTGGTGGTACTGGACACCAGATAGGGCAAAACCTCTGTCGTTGCAGATCCCCTGGCACTGCTGCAGCGTGTTCGTTTTTTGCTGAGCAGCAGTGTTGACAGAGTTCTGAAGATTGCGGCCCAAATTGGTGGTATCCTTGAAGCATCCGACATATTGGTATTTGGCAGTGCCGTTGGAAAGAAGAGGCCCGACCTGCTTGCTGACAACTGTGCCTTCGAACACAATGTCGTGACGACCCGAAACTTCGCCGGTGGTTGAGTTAAGACCATCAGTGCTGAGTGTCCACGTGGCACGTAAAGCCTGGGCAGGGTGGTTCGGCTGAACAGGCGCGGCATGAATGCCAACGCTTCCAATGGAGCAGCTACCGCCGACAACTTGCGTTCCCTCAGTGAGCTCATTATTAGGGTTCAAGGCGAAGAGCTGCGAGGTGGCGGGAGGCTTGGAAATGGTGATCGTCAGAGGGGCATCGCCCTTGTTGCAGACCCTGATTTGCTTGTCGACAAGGCCTCCTGCAACCACGTTTCCGTATGAGACAGTGTAGTTTGACAGCACAGTCCAGCCACCGGAGCCATTAGAAACCTCGAACGAAACTGCAGGCGGGTCGTTGACGGAAGCACTCAAAGTGAGCACAGCAGTCCCTCCGTTAGACCAGATGGTGATCTTTGACAAGTATGATCCAGGCGTCTCCCTCAAGAAGCGCAAGGCGACAGTCAGGCTCTTTCCGGACTCAAGAGTGGAACCAACTGTCGGGAAGTTTGTAGATGAGAAACCAGAGCCAAGCCCGCCATCACTGGTAAAGTTGGCGTAGTCGCTAGTGTTCGTCTGCCAGGCGAAGCCGGTGAATGTCAAGGTGCCGTTACCAACATTTTGAATGAGAGCAGATCCCGTGAGGCCGTCTGGGGCGTCACGGAGGACCAATCTACCGAAAGCAACATCCGATGGTGTGGCACTCAGAAAGGCGCCCTGCTTGACAACAGTGCCTTGGACAGACACTAGCACACTAGTAGCGTACTCGGCAGGAGGGCTGATGGAGAGCGTGACGGCGCTAGAAAGCACTCCAGGCACAATCGGGACGGCCGGGTTGGAGAGGTCCCAAGTGACGTTCAAGGAGAAAGATGCTCCTGCAGCGACCGCACCCTGGGGTAGAGTTGAATTGGAGCAAGTGAAAGTCGGGTCCGCAGCGGTGCAACCATTGACCTTGGTAAGAGCGACGTTGGCTTTGCAGTTGACAGTCACGCTGGCAGTGGAACCAGCTTCGAGAGACCCAAAGTCCACTGGGCTGGTGCAGTTGACAGCAGGGTTGACGGGAGATCCCAGCGCCACAAGCCTGTTGTTGTTGACGTTCATGAACACACGACCATCACCAAAGACCGGACGCTGGAACTTGTTGCTACCTTGGGTGGAAGGCAGAGTGATGGGAACCATGATGCCGTCCTGAGGAACGGCACGGAAAGCTTGGAGACCGACGTTGACATCTGCAACCCAGACCTGCCAGGTGTTAATCAAAGTCAGTGGACGTGAGCGGGTGAGGGGGATCTTACAATGCCAGTGCCAGGCTTGCCGTTGTCTGATGTAATGGTCATTTGTCCGACACCAACGCGACCAGCTCCGACGAAGGAAGCTGATTTGCCGGCAAGGGTGAATTGAGGCGCACCCTTCGCGTCGAAGCCAAGCTTATACGCAACAAGCGGGCCACCGACAGTGGTCGCGTAGATGTAACCGCCTTCGCCAGGGTAGCTGCCGAATCCGCCGTACAATGAAAAGCCAAGCTCAATTGTCTGGATGATACCATCGCCGCCGTCAGCCGCCTGTCGAAAACCGCCGAGATTGTCGGCGTTCATGATGTAGGCTCTGCCCTTCTTTCCAGCCGTAACGCACATGCGGTTGACGCCGGTGCCCTTGAAAACGGTTGGATCCAGGACGGTAAGTCCCGAAGAGCCGACATCGCGGTCACCGGCATCGAGACCAACGTAGTCATATGGCTGAAAGTAGTCAATCAGACTCAGCTTTCCGGTCGAAGCTACCTCCATCTTTACCGTGCACTCGTCGAGGGTGGACATGTAGACTCTGCCACTGGCGGGAACATTTCCGTTGGCATGTCCCTGACCGTTGCCTGCCACGAAATAGACGTTGTTGCCGATGACGGGCAAACCCATGCCACTCTGCCAAATACCTGCCTTGCCTCCCGTTTCGTTTGCGAGATCAATTGGTTGCGGCTTCGGAGCTCCAGGAGCGGCTTCCGTGGCCCACATGCTTACCGGGCCCACGCCGGGTGTCTTGCTGACAGAGACGAGATAGCCAGTGTAGTTCCAGCGACCGCAGTGAGAGCCGAATGCGGCAACGATGTGGCCGTTGAGCTCGGCCAGAGAGGGACGCTGCAGGGCCACACCACCAACGAAGTACTTGGCTGGGTCGTTATCGGCATTGATACCGTCAATCAGGACGGGGAATCTGTCGACGTCTTCGAGCGAGGGAATACGAATCGCGTACATCTTGTAGACACCGTTGGCTGTGCCGGAAGTGGTCCCATCTCGATAGCCCTTGGAGAAGACGTACATGATGCTTGTCGCGGGATCGATGATGGGGGTACCGGTGATGCCAACCCAGTTCGGGATGTCGCCGCAGTTGCTGTCGGCAGCGGAGAAGGGGGCCTGGAGAGTCCTCTGCTTCAGAATGTTTCCGGTCTTGCTGTCGAAGATACGAATGATGTTCATCTCGGAGGCGGTGATGACGAGTTCGGTGCCCCCCTCGGGTGTGTAAACCAACGGCTTGGCCAACCAGAACTCCTTGCTGTCAGGAGAAGTGAAAGTCCATAAGTTTCTGAAGCTTGAAGAACCGGCAACGTTTGGGTCAAGGTTGTGGTTGGGGAGATAGCCCGATTGAGGCAAATCCTGCAATAGTATGTCGTCAGTCCACATCCCATCGTAGTCGGTACAACTCAAACACAGAACTTGTGACTTCGGAGGAGGGACCAGAACTTACAGCATCACGGTATGAATCGGTGGAGGCCAGCGAAGCAACCAGTGCTGGCAACGAAGCCAGCACTCCGATGGACAACCTCATCCTGGCAGACTGAGAAGGGAAAGAAAGAGGGACGAAATGTCTGCCTGGACACAGAAGAAAACCCAAGAGATGACTTGAGGAAGTAAAGAGAGTGTGGCACTTGAGAAGGACATGATGAGGATCTGGGATCGCGCGAGATAATAAACAAAACCCATGATGGCCAAGATTGTGAGCCAAGAGCATGGCACCCCTCAACACGCCAGATGGGGCACAGCCGCGGCCCTTCCGTCGCGGCCGACATCGACCTAGCCCATGGGTCGAACTAGAGCTTTTCCATCGAAGCTAGGCGTAGGCGCAGAACATGCGCTTCATGCACGACCAAAGTGTTTGCTCGCATGGTTTTGGCGAGCTGGCAGTCGTGCGTGTGGAGGAAGGTTGTGAAGGGATGGTGCGCACGCCCAGGCTTGTTTGATTAGGGCGAGATATTGAAGACGCCCGAGACAATCCAGGGAAGGCGGGAAAGGCATGCCGAGCGTGAAAGCAGGGGAGCTTCTTCTCTCAGCTCTGGCACAGTATGTAGACCACAGGTCAGGGTCGGAGAGAATCGTCCAAAACAGCAACGAGCACAGGCGTAAGCCCAAAGCCCAGCGGAGCGAAGTCAAGAACCGGGAGCCGAGTGTTGTGCACCCGTAGCAAGGGAGGGACTGTGCCCTTGGGAGTTGGCGAGACATGGGGCATCCAGGCTGGCGGATGGAAGCCATGCGACGAGCCAGGGATGATGCACTGGTGGTGTGCTTCAACAAGCAAGGCGAAGCTGGCAGGCTGCCCAATGATTAGCCCAATGGTCCATCACAAGGCGCATCTCATTCATGGAATGCCCGGAATGCGTGGCTGCACGGAGCCGGGGGCCGGAGGCCACGATAGATGTGATTCAATTGCTTTGTTGTCTTAGCCGGCCAAGTATCTCTCCGACGCCCGGCAACTAGTCGCCACGAGTAGATTGGGTTGACATTGTTTGCCAGGCATGTTGGATCTGGGCAGGACGAGATCTGCCGTGGGGTGGGCACGTCGAAGACATGCAGAAGAAACAAAGTCGATTGAAGGGGCTCCGAAAAACGAAGCCAACACTAAGGTACGGACGGGAGGGTGGAACAAGCTCCGATGCGCAGGGAATGCAGCTTGGGGAAGAGATTGGGGGCGTCGGGCGCTAGTCTTGATGGAGTCAGGTGTTTACTTAAGCGAGCAGCATCACCTGCAGGCAAGCCCGTCTTCACTCTGCACGGAAGGAGCGCTCCAGCACTCGGGTGCACCTTCCTGTACCTGCACCTGCACCTGCCTGCTGCACGATGCAAGGGCGGAAGGCACACGGAAGGTGGGCTCGACCGGAGGCAGCTCGCCGCTAAAGCACGCAAAAAATACGGTTGAAAATATGGTTGTGTTAGCGGTCGTTCGCTGCACCGGGCCCTCCTGGCATTAATCCAAATCAGAGAATGATGACGTTGGAAAGACAGGGGTGTAAGCTGTGGACTATCGATGCCATCGATGCTTGCAAACCCCACTATTGCATTCTGCGACCGAGGTCAGGTGCCATCGTGATCTGGCTAAGCAAGATGGCAGGAGGGCAAGCACCTTCAGCTCGCCACTGCCATGTTCGAGGTGTGCTCTTTCCATCCTCGTTGAGTCTGGGGCGTCCCTTCCGTCGTTCTGTAGGTAGCCCTTCCATACGCAGAAGGGGCGGGGTGGCGGCCGTACCTGCGTCGCGACTGCAGAGGCAAGTGCCTGTCGGTTTCCTCTTTCCCCTCCCTCTTGCTGAATTGAGTGATGACAGCCTCCCTCCGTCTCCTTCTCCTTTGGCATGCTTCTCCTCCATCATGCATCTCGCCGCAGTCGACGAGAACAAACCGCATCCTTCCGTCTCCAGATGATGATCATCCTCACCACCCCTACTTATATTCGATGCCGATATTACCGGTGCTCCCTCTGCTCGACGCCAAGCTGAGGGACGCTTGCTTTTGAACATGTTCCACCACGACACGAGGATCGCGATAGATCCCAAACATTGGACTCACCACGCCGCATGGCCGAATTGCGATAACCTGCTCTCGTACGACTGCTTACTTGGCTCTCGCGTCCTCCGCCTCAACGCACCACACCTCCCTGTCTCCAAAGTCGATTTGGGCATTTGGGCCCAAGGCACGGCACGGCCGATTCGCTCCCTGCGTCTGGTGCCTGAGCTGCTGCAGTGCAAGGACAACTTGCACCAGACACCGGTCATCCCATCACTTCGTCCAAACCAGCTCGTCGGGTCTCCTGTCATCCCATCTCTTCAGTCTTCCCTTGGCAATCGTCCACCACCATCACCGCCCGCGGTTTCCTCACACGTCTTCTTTGTTCGCCTTGCCCGAATTCATCTTCAAGAGCCTCGAGAACTACCAACTGTTGGTTGGCCCCCACGATGAAAAAACAGATCGGCAATCAAACTCAGGCCACGGACCAACGATGCAGCATGTTGGGCACGGCGCGCCTGGGTAGCCGCCACTCTCACACTTGATGGCGGTCGCGATGCCGATTCTAGACCATCTCTCTCTCTGGAGTCTGAGCACCATGGACAAAAACAAAGCTTCCCTCGTCATCGAGAGAGGGACTGCGTCATGATTAAACCTGGCCGAATTCTCTGTTTCCCTTGATTGCATCCCACGTGCACTCAACGAGGAAGACGTTGAGTGGCATGCTTTGCTTCAGCCCCCAAGATCCACAGCTCCGCCCTTGTCGGTCTCGAAGTCCGTTTTGGTAGGGATTGACCTGACCAACGTTCCTGTCCATTGGAGGCTTTTTGCATCGACAAACATCCGTCAGTAAGCTGCTGTTGGTTTGCGAAAGAAGGGAAAGTTTTCTATTCGGAAACGCTAGCTAAGCACCTAAAAATAGGAGATGACGGGAAACGTTCCATCTGCCGGTACCCTAAAAAACTCTTCCCGTCGGCCTTCAGGTCTACCAGTCTAGCGCAATGCGCCGGTTGCCATCGATTCAGCGGCGTCTCTGCCCTTTTCATCATTGTTTTGTCGGCTATGGTTCCATGACATACAACGTTAGCCCTTGTCCTCTATGGCTGCGCTTTTGCCAGTTCCGATTTGGTTCTTCGATGGCTAACACAGGATCAGCTTGTGCCCGCACCACATCCACCTGTCGAACCGCCGACGCGTCCATCGCCGAGAATCAGCTCCGTGTGAGACGCGGGGGCCATCGGGAATTATCAGGACCCTGGTTCGTCGCCGTCTTCACTCTTCAGGCGTTGCAGATTTCTCTAGGAGAGAGACAGTGGATCGAACCACCTGTGTGCTCTCTCAGCGCCAGTCAATAGAGCCTCGTGAGCATCTGCAACGCCAGCATATCCCCGCAAAAAGACGTTCGGCGGACCCGCGAGTCAGGGGGATCCGCATAGAAAAGACCCCTTTTTGCAGTAGAATACGAGCAGGCTGAGGACTAGCGTCCTCGGCAATGCAGTCAATGCCTTGGATCCACTGGTCATGTTCAGAAAAGGATGGAAGTTCTTCGTCTGCTGCATTGGTTACGATCAGTCTTGCCCCCATCATCTTCGACGACCACATTATTGAGGGGCTTGCAGCGACTGTCACTGATGCGCTGAAGAAGAAGCGCTGTCGCTCACCTTTGTTGCCTGTCTCGGGAATCGTAAACGAGGTCAGGAAGGTGCGGTGATGCTGGCACGCCTTGGCCTCGTAGGGCTGCTGGTCAGCTGCGCCTCTGGTGCCTATGTTCAATGGCAAACGTGCGACGAAGTCTCATCCAGAAACGATCCTTTCGCCCCTACGAGCCTCGATGCGAAGTTAAGACAACTAGATGACGGAGATGAGCGACTATCATTTCGGGTAGGGCGATGGATCGAAGAAGAAGAATACGAGGAAATCGCCCGAATGATGCCCACAGCGGCTCTAGAAATCCAGATGCTGGGACGATCATCAGCCTTCAGCGCAAAGACTAGTACGACATGCGCGAAGCTCAACTTTGCCAAAGGCTGGAAGTCGACCATGCGAAACCCGGCGAGTCTGTACGTCAACTTCGAAACCGATATTGGCCGTCTGCCTCCATTGTCGACATTCCATGCGACGCTGCATCTGCAGAGCAACGACTCCGAAGACATCAGCTGCCGACAAGCAAACATAACTCCTACGCTCGATCCGACCACGATATCTGCAATTGGCTACACGACATGGGGCGTTTTCCTCTTCGTGTTTCTTGTCGGTGTCTTGCGCTCCGTCTACAGTGCCCCAGTGACGCTCGACGAGGAACAGCGTTCCATACGGACGGTCCTTCCGAACGTCGGCGATTGCTTGCAGTACATCCAATTTGTCTTCCTGACTGGTGGGCTCAGCCTCCGGTATCCCGGCTTCTACCAGCCTGTGGTCAGCAACTTGAATTGGTTCTCGCTTTTCGTGGTTGGGCCTGTTACACACGGGGTGACTTATGACAAAGTCCAGGATGGAATCTACGTCATGAATGGCACGTATGGCGGTACATTTGGTCTGGAGTTGATGACCCAAATTGCAGGTGCTCCTATGACGATGGATACCTGGATCAATATGGTTGTTCTCATGGTGATTGTTGCTCTCGGCTGCGCCGTGGTGATCGAGGTCGTGTGGCTCGTGAACCGTCACCGAAATTCCGATGGCGAGGTTTCTGAATCAACTGTCGGCTTGCGACACACTTTCAGCCGTGTCCTTCGAATCATACTGTCCTACTTCATGTTGCCCTTGGCGGCCCTCTCCTTTTATCAGCTGGATCACGCTTCGTTCTTGCCAGCATACCATACGTCACTCGCAGTGGCGCTCATTGTTGCCATGATGGGCGCGTTTATTTGGCTTCTCCGTCAAATTCCTACGCACAGTCTTGGCGTCTTGATATTCGACAGCACGAAGCGGTATAGACGGATCGCGCCTACTGAGGACTTCCGACGACATGACGAGACCTTCATTCTCATCCTATTCGTTCTGGTTTTCGTCCGTGGCGCGGCCATCGGCGGGTTGCAGATCTCGGGCCCGGCGCAGCTGGCCGTCCTTGGCTCATGCGAACTTCTGCTCTTAGCGAGTATTGCTGGGTTCCAGGCCTATTCTACCTTTTCCATTGGCGCGATTGCGGCAACCATGCGCCTCTGCAGCTTAATATTCATGGTGTCGTTCCTGCCGGACCTTGCGGGACACGAGACGAAAAGCGCCATCGGCTACTTGCTTCTGGCACTGCATACCGGCATGCTTCTATTGGGCTTCTTTGTCCCGGCGGTCTGCGACCTTGTTGCGCTGTGCAAGACGTGGTGGAAGGCTCCAAGGCCTGATGTACGTTGTCTGTCTACTTTTGCAATCTATCATCTGACAATATATAGGTATATGGACTCCGACAGCTTAGACGTCGTCAGGTATCGAGAACAAACCTTTCTACAATGTACGACGCCGACAGCTCCTACGGGTTGCCCTCTGAGCACGACGCATTCGGGGAACCTGCTGCTGGCTACCTTCACCCAACGTACCGCCCTGATAGTCCCAGCACATTGCGTCTGAATTCATCAACTACATCAAGTCGATACTATCGCCCTCCTCGCTCACCATCGCGTGGGACGTCCATCTCTTCTTCCGATTACTATCGAAGATCCGAAAGCATTGCGTCGCCAGCTTCGTCTGCTTACCCACCATCGAGAAGCACATCCGCATCCGCCACCCTGGCAGAGAAGCGATCCATCCAGCGTTCCGAGTCCATCATGTCGCCGGGTAGGCTATCAGAGGAATCAACACAAGAAGAGGATTCGGCCATTGAGCCTCAGACATCATCGACTAAGGCCGATGGAAGGCCACTTGGTCCACGATGGAGCGACTACTCGTTCCGCGAAGCCGACCTATACTACGGCGCCCCTAGACCGGCGCCCGCCACACGAGCATCTGAAGAAATTCCCCGCCCTCCTGCTCCCAAGCCATCACTTCGATCTACTTCTGGTATTTGGGCCAAGTTCACTGGCCAGCCAAGTATAGAGCACGGATTTCAGGTCGTGAGACCGCCTCGACCTGAGCAGGGCTTTGTTGTTGTCAGACCTAACAGGCCAAGCAACCTCAGCAGTAGCTCAAGCTCGAGCGATGGAGAGACGAGATGATGTTAATCGTATGAGGCGGCACACGAGAATCGTTGTTTACACAGACGGTTGACGTGACGTCAGTTTCCTAATATCCTGGGACAATGCATCGGAAGGGGCGCAACAGAGCAGAATAGCTCCAGATGAAATTCAGTACATATTTATATTTCAGCCGATAACCATATTAATCAGGCGTCTGCATCAATTTACCTACTTGCGCATCAGTGAGGATCTGCACGTCTCAATCCAAGGTTATCTATGGCTGCTAGGCAGTGCTAAACTTGCTGGAAGCAAGATGCGAATTCAACAACATCACTACTGATGGATGAGCTGAACTTACATGCACGTCTTGTCAAACGAACTTCGTCCGATCACCTCAATCCTTCTAACCCAATTTGGGATAAAATATCCAGCTGGGGCCATGATGTCGTGTCAGCCCATTTTTGGCAGGTTGTCAAGCAGCTGTGGCCATGGCATCCTGGGGCTCCATCTCAGTGGCGACCGGCGCGCGCGCGGCAGATCAGCATGGATGTGGACTGCCTAAACAGGCGCGGTCCCCGGCGACGGGGGTCCCATTGTTTTTGATGATCCTTCCCGCGGCTGTCCTGAGATGGAGATGCAGTGCGGAATGATGCCGGAACGCATTTGCTGATGAGAGTGGGCGATTAAGATGAGTCTCTGAACATCTGTGGGCTGTGCTGAAAACGTTGACGTGCTGAACTTTGGATTCTTAATTTTTAGGATGACTTCGACCTCTCTCAACGAAGTGCAATGAACCCTTTGGACTCTTTTCATCGCTTCCAACATCGAGCCAACCCAGATCAGATCTGCCGCGGCTTGCGGATTCCATCGGGGGTCCCGATCTCAGCAATCAACATGGAAGGTTGCACTCGACGACCCTCCCGTCGACAGGGAATCGCCCATAAGAGAATCGGCTCACCCAATCCCCATCTCATCAGCCCATCCATCGACTGAAAAAAATTCACAGCAATACCAAGACTTGGCTGGGGCCCAATTCCGTTTCCCCACAACCCGTTGATGTTTTGTTGGTGTGAAAGGGGGCCAGGCCAGGGACCACTGGGAAATCTTTCGACAACGCCATTTCTGCTTAAGTGAGCGCAGAAAACCGAAGCAACAGCGATCGCTCTCGGAAGTATTTTGCCAATGCCGAACGCGTTTTCCGATCTCTCTTGTGTCTCTCTGTTCCACTCCATGCATGCCAATCCTACCTAATCCTCAACACTGGCTCCCCTTTCAATCACTTAAACTTTTTTCACCTTTCACTTTGATCCTTCGCGCGTCCCTTGTGTCTCAGCACCCTCTTTTTGGCGCTTTTATCGCGGCTATTGCGACTGCGACTCTTCGGAACCAGCAGCAGCATACACAAACAAGGTTTCGGCGCTTGTTGCTCTAAGTCAGACCCGGCTCGGATGACCTGGCCCGGCAATGTCTTCGGTGCCGAATGAGAGCCCGAACGGCCAGAATGAGAAGGACGCCGCCGCCGCCGCCGCCACGGCACAAGATGCCTCCGTTGTCGTCGCTGACAACGGCAGCACCAACGACAGCCCGCCGACGTCGTCTTCACAAACTTCACCACCAGCAGAAAAGCCCGCGGCCCCTGCTGGGCCGCCAAACGGTGGTCTGCAGGCATGGCTCCACATTCTCGGGTCGTTTCTGTTGTACTTCAACACATGGGGTAAGTCTGGGATGGACGGCCGCGATGCAACACCATCGTGAGCCGGCGGGCGCGTGTGCGCCTTCACAATGGATGAGCTCTGGCTAACACACCTGCCCAGGTCTGATATCCAGCTTCGGCGCCTTTCAGGCGTACTACGCGTCTGATATCTTGCGCGACAACACCGCGTTCCAGATCTCGACCATTGGCTCTCTACAGAACTTCCTGATGGTCTTTCTGGGCTTCATCATCGGACCCATCTTCGACCTCGGCTACTCGCGCTACCTGCTCATCATCGGCTCGCTGCTCGTCCTCGTCGGACTCATTCTGCAAGCCTTCTGCCAGAATCTGTGGCAGTTCCTTCTCTGCCAGGGCCTCATCATCGGCATCGGGACAGGCTGCCTCTCCACCCTCGGCGTCGCCCTTCCCTCGCAATGGTTCTCGACAAGACTGCCCCTCGCCAACGGCATCGCGGCCAACGGTAGCGGCGTAGGAGGGTAAGCATCGCCATCCCCTTCCCACAAACCGCCTCAGCTAACAAACCTCTCAGTCTCGTCCTGCCCGCCCTCTTTCGCGCGATGCAGCCCAAGATAGGCTTCCGCTGGACCGTCCTCGTCTTCGCCCTCATCTCCCTCGTGACCCTCGGCATCTCCCTCCTCGTCATCAAGACCTCCTCCCTCAAGACGCCGCCCGCCCGCCGCCCCTGGAACGACCGCTCCGTCTTCCGCGACGCGCCCTTCCTCCTCTTCCTCGGCGCCTGCTGCCTCCTCTTCCTCGGCATGTACACCCCCTACGTCTACGTGCAATCCTACGCTCTCGACAACGCCCTCTCCTCCCCGGACGTCGCCCTCTACCTCCTCTCCATCCTCAACGGCGCCTCCATCGTCGGCCGCATCGTGCCGAATTTCATCGTGCCCTACACCGGCATCCTCAACATGATCTGCGCCGCCGTCTTCGTCATGTCCATCGCCGCGTTCTGCTTCGCCGCGACGGACAGCCAGGGCAGCTTGATCGCGGTCACGGTCGTGTACGGCTTCTTCGCGGGCACGTTCTTCGCGCTGCAGCCGACGACGTTTGTGCGGCTCACGGCCGACAAGAGCTACATGGGCACGCGGTTCGGTATGGCCTTCACGGTCATGTCGGTGGCCATCTTGTTCGGGTCGCCCATTGCGGGCGCGCTGTCGAGGTCGCATGGGTATCTGAGCGGGTGGATCTGGAGCGGGTGCTGTCTGGCGGCGAGCGGGGTCACGATATTTGTTGCGAGGGGGGTTTCGGGCGGGTGGAAGGTGAATAAGGTGGTTTGAGTTGGCTTTTGTTTGTCTAGTGTAATATCAAATTTCTGACGGGTGTTGGATTTAGTATATGCCTAACTTGTGAGGATTCGAGAATGAATTCAGCTACACATGCACCTTCGATAACGGTCAGCCCAAATCCTCCCTTCGGCCATGTCTATCTCTGGCTTCGTGGATGAACAAACTGCCGGAAACGAAACCGAAGCCCACCTTCCAAAAAGTTGAGTTGCCCGAGATCCATCCATCACCAGCCTCGCCCACGCCCAGAGATAGAGACGCATAAGGCCACAATGTAGGAAGGAGGCTATACCAATACCAAACACCGAAGCTACCTACCGAAGGCTACCTGGTCATATCCGCGATTACCCGGAGATCGATCTGCTTTCGGGCCGTGACAAGGGCCCCTGCCGCAGCCCGGCAGTTTTAACCAAGCAAGGCACGCCAACAACACAGCCCGGAACAGGCTCGGAACAATACCGTTCGATTCGATTTGGGATGTGACGACAGACCTGCCTCTGATGGTGCCTGTGGGGGCGCGGGCCATGCATAGCATCTTATCAGAGGGCATTGAAGGGGGCGGGTACGCCGTTCGGTGGGAGCCGCCGCTACCCTGACTCATCCCAAGGCTCCGCAAGGTGTAACCCGGCCTGCGTTTCTTCAGCAGCTTCGATATCCCACTCTAAGTTCTGGCTGATCTTTTGCCGGGGGAGGCATCCGTACCCGCGCTGCATGGAGCCAGGTTTTGCCTAGATACGCAGAATGAAGCTTGTAACGGCCGTGTAAGGTTGCACTGGCAGGGCTACCCGTCAAGCTTGATGGATGATGGCGCAAAGTTTCTAGAATATGGCGGGGGATGGTGGGAGGGATGTACTGTGTAGGTATGTTCCTGCCCCTCCCCTTTCCTTGTCGTCGTCGACTGCCGGGGAGGGAGTATATAAGGCGACCAGTCGAGGAACTTGAAGTGCGAGGAGGTCGCGTTCTCGGGAAGCTTGTTGTGACTTACACGTTCTGAATATCTATTGAAGAGGTCTTTTTATTACATTGAACTTGAATCTTTAAGGTGACATTCAAACCAGTATTTTCATTCTTGTGAAAGATGTCGATCAAGACAGTCGCCGTCGTTGGTGTAAGCCAGACCCTCCCCCTCCCCCCTCTACCCCTCCGCTTCAACGCACTCACACCCGCCTCCCACAGGCTTCAGGCCTCGTCGGCCTCCGCGTCGTAAAGTCCCTCCAGGACCACGGCTTCACCGTCACAGCCATCTCGCGCACCTCCTCAACAGCAACTTTCCCCGCAGGCGTCGCCGTCCGCAAAGCCGACCTCTCCTCGGTCGAGTCGCTGACCGCCGCGCTCGCGGGCCAGGACGCCGTCGTCTCGGCCATCTCGACCGTCGCGGCCGTCGTCAAGGGCGCGCAGGACCCGCTTGTCGACGCCGCCGTCGCGGCCGGCGTGAAGCGCTTCATCCCGTCCGAGTACGGCCTCAACACGCGCAACCTCAAGGGCGAGATCCTCGGCGACTGGCTGATTGCCAAGACCGAGGCGGTGGACTACCTGATTGAGAAGGCGAAGGCGCACGAGGGGCTCACGTGGACTGGGATTGGCACGAGTCTGTTCTTTGACTGGGTGAGTAATCCTCCTTTGCTGGCTTTGAGGGACGAGCTGGGCGGGATGTGCTGACGGTGGACGGGCAGAGCATCACCCGCGGCATCTACGGCATCGACCTCGCGAACAAGAGCATCGACATCTTCGACTCGGGCAACCAGAAGGTGTCGACGACGTCGCTGGTCTTCCTGGCCGAGGGGATCGCGGCCGTGCTGAAGCACCCCGATGAGACGGCCAACCAGTACATCAACATCATCGAGTTCGACGTCACGCAGAACCAGCTGCTCAAGCTGTTCGAGGAGGAGACCGGCGCCAAGTGGACGGTGAACCACAAGACCGCCGACGAGGTCAACGAGGAGGGCAAGAGAAAGCTGGCTGCCGGCGGACGGTTCCCGTTTGAGGAGTTCCTGATCAAGTACCACTTCGCTGACGTGCCCGGCCACTCTATCCCGGAAGAGGGCAAGGCGAATAAGGTGCTGGAGCTGCCGCAGAGCGACCTGAGGGAATTCGTGAAGGGATACATTAAGGAGAACAGCAAGTAAGAATGAGAAGTAAAAGTGACATAGTGAGTTAGCGAAATATCAACAGGTTAAAAGTCGGTCAAACATCGAATGCATTGGTGATGACTGAGTGCAAGTTAAAATCTACTTCATGCTTCAAAACGGGCTTTGAGGTGTGGGTATTGGCAGTACATGTATGATTGTTGAGCACTAACAGACCGTTATCGTCAAGTGGGGCGACGTTCACCATGATTTCTCGCGCCAAGCCAAATCCATCGAGCAGTTTGAGTCCATCTTGTGAATTGGCGTGAGCAGGCTGCCGCTGCTGCCTAACCGCGATTTAGTTTCCTCTTTAGAAACAGATCACGTGGGGTATTGGTCTTGTCATCTACCAAATGTCTACGTTCTCCAACGACATAAGTAGTGCCGTCGCAGATTGGTGGTTGACACAGATCCAGCATCTCATTCGCGCACACTCTCACGTTATCTCACCTTCCTCGGGGGGCTTGTCTATACCTTTCATCATCCAGCAACTCGTTCATCACGCTCTCTGTTGGGCCGAATCCTACCATGGCGGACACTGCTCCCAAAGTTGCCGAAGAGGAACGCCGCGAGGCGCCGGAGTCAGTCGAGAAAAAGGCGAGACTGCTGGCCGAGAGAATTAGGAAGAGCAAGCACTTCATTGCGTTTACTGGAGCCGGAATCTCCACGTCCGCTGGTCAGTCGATGATTGATGCGGTTCTATGGCGGAACAGCATCCCCCAAACGCCTTCTAACGAGACTTCCATGTAGGAATACCGGACTTCAGAGGCCCTGAGGGCGCGTGGACGCTCAGAGCTCAAGGGAGACAGCGGGTGGGGAAGACGACGAGCACACTACAAGCCATTCCGACGCCCACTCATATGGCTCTGGTTGAGCTGCAGAATCGCGGGCTGTTGAAGTACCTCGTCAGTCAGAACTGTGACGGGCTGCATAGGAGAAGCGGCATGTTGCCGGTAAGTTGCCTCATAACAAATGTGAATTTGCAACAACAATCACTTTGGACTGCTAAACAACGTCTGTAACAGGAGCGCATCTCTGAGCTGCATGGCAACAGCAACAGGGAGTACTGCAAAGATTGCGATAAAGAGTATCTGCGCGGTACAAAACCTTTCATCTCATAAACACCTTCTTAACCGCGTGGCTAATTATTCTCAGACTTCCGAGCTGTGTCCACATTCGAAAAGTCCATTCACGACCACCGCACCGGACGCAAGTGCGCGAGATGCGGCGGCGTCCTCCTCGACACCATCATCAACTTTGGTGAAAATCTCTGGGAGGAGCCTCTGTCACGTGCGCGAGAGAATGCAAGAAAGGCAGACCTATGTCTTGCTTTGGGATCATCTCTGACCGTCAGCCCTGCAAACGAGATCCCGGAAACAGTCGGGAGGAAGAAGAGCAGCCGAACTGCTGCCGGTGGACAGCTTGCAATCTGCAACCTCCAGAGCACGCCGATAGACGAGCTGGCGCAGCTGCGGGTGTGGTCCACGACGGACGACCTCATGGTCCGAGTGATGAAGAATCTCGATGTACCAATCCCGGTGTTCATACTCCGCCGCCGGCTGTTGATAGAATTCCAGACAATCGGGGACGGAAGGCACCAGATTACCGCCTGCGGTGTTGATGTTGACGGGACGCCGGTGACGTTTCTACAATCGGTCAAGCTCGCGTACAACAGGCGCGTTGTACGATCCGAGCCCTTTGTGATCAACTTCCGTGGCGACATTGAGGTAGGCACAAAGTTCGAGCTTGAGCTTGAGTTCATGGGCCACTATGCAGAGCCGAACTTGATGGTCACGTACGACTACACGGGCAAGATGGATGAAAAGGTCCTGCAACTGCTTGAGTACAATCCGGCTACTGGGGAATGGAGGACGAGTAGGCTGGTTGAGGACGCAGCAGCTGATGTTCAGCAAGGGGGTGCTGATGATGCTGGGGCATATGAGGACCACTCAATTATTGATCTTACATCAGACTGACGATGTTTCCCAGCGAGTCGGGATAGATGGACGGCATTCAGAATTGAGCTTGTATGTAGAGGCGCCACGCATATCATGTTCTTCTAGGCGATGAGTCCGGTTTGGCCTTGAGGCAGATCGTCAAATTTCGCTGCTAGCTTTTGCGTTGCTTTTACTGAAAAAGTATTGTAGAATTGTGTGGGATTACCCCAATGTTATCTGTTTCCATTGTGGCCCTGGGGATACACTCTGCTCAAGGTCTGATAAACTGAGTTGCCCCAGACCCCGCCGCTCCGGAGGATGATGCCTGTTGTCTAAGAGCATGACGTTGTAGAATATCCAGGAGTTATCCTTAGAGTCACGCTCGATATCTTCTGATAGCAATATGACCTCAAAGACATTCTCCAAGTCACTTCCAGTCATCTCTTCCAAACCCTCCATCCGAAGACTTCCACGAGAAATTCCGTCTTTGCCAATAAAATCGCTCTCTCCGCTGATGAAATCAGGGACGCTGACCCGGAAATACACCGCCAAGGTCCAAAATTGCAGGACAGGGTATGATGTAGATTCGTTGGACAGACCAGTGTCTGTGATTTGCCCGGGCTTCTTGATGTCAATGCCAAACGGCTTCGGAAACTTCGGTTCGTAGCGATCGCACCCTGAAATCGGTGCCCGGGAATAGAACCCATCGGCTTTGTAGTGGTTCGACAATTTTCGGACTGCACCCGATGTCTCTCTTTTGTACCACGAGATCCAGTGTCGAGTCTCGTTCCAGGTGTAGCCACGCATAGGTTCCCTCCAGGTGGGGGGCTCTAATGTTATCTGATCATGCCAACCAGCCCAGGTCCAACTTGGAAACGCACTCCGACGACGTGAAAGACCTCCTCCAGAAGCACTTCTGAACAGCATGAAGCGCTCCAGCCGCCCTGCTGGAAGTCCTTCCACAATTTCTTGACCCAACTTGTCTTCGACACGCCGATTTATGCCTGCCAAGGCCCGGATAGTATCGCAAGGGTCGGAAAGTACTCGTGTAGTATAATGCTCAAGTATGCAAGCGTAGTCGCGGAGGGGGTTAAGAAGTTCCATTGCCAGCTTCAGGTTTTTAGGCGCGGATAGCGTGTCGCCATGTGCAGCCAAAATAGGATTGTGCGCTTGATCGATGCAAAACTCAGAGACGTCGGTGCGACGGCATCGAAAGAAGACTTCGTTTTCAAAGAAGTATAGGGCTCTGTGACTGAGGGAGGATTCCTGGAATCTTTGCACTATCTGTTAGTCCCGGGATGGTTCATGAAGATTTGAGTTACTCACGTCCATCCCCTGGTCTGGTAGACAGTGGAATCCATCATGCCATCCAAATCCATGAAAACAGTCATAGAGATATTTGGCTGTATCACCGTGGCCTCTCTTGGCACCCGACTACCTCCGCTAAATCCGGGGAGCCCAGAGTTGGCAGTGTGCCCAGATGCAGCCACTGCCGTCAGCCAGGATCGCTCGAATATGTTGTCCATCACACTGATGCCCTGAAGCAAGTCCTCTGGGTCGTCTTGTATTAGACAAAAGGCGTCAACCCAGATATATCGAATGTTCAACCGCCGAGCAAGTTCGATAGTGTCTCTGATTGTCTCCGGAATCCGGAGTAACGGTTCCAAGGCTTTCTGCTTCAGGAACCGTGGAAGGTTTGCTCTTGTCATTCTGAAAGTGGAAACGCCGCCCCAGACATAGCTCAGGGCTATATAGGGCCGGATGTCGATAACCTCCACCAGACAAGGGTCATGTACATCGATCAAACGCAAGACTTCCAGCCCCAGATATGCTTCTGAGAATGATTTCGTCTCCTGCCCGCAAGTGGAGGCATGACCTGTCTCACAAGAAGAAATCCACTGACTGATGCGTTCAAAGTCGATGAACCGCTCGATTTTCGGCCGAAGCAAGACCCTTCCTTGGAATGTTTCAAGACTTTCCTCATTTCCCCCGGCGAAGCAAATGATGCATCTGCGACTGCCGTAAACGTAGAATGCACCGCTGGCGGCTGGTCCCAGATCTTCTGACCAACATGTGAACACCTCCTGCCACTCATCGTTGAGGGCCGGGATTAACTCCAGTTGTACGGCCTGCGTTACTACATGGAAAAATGGGCAGTCGCTGGCAGTAATGCGCATGAGATTTCCCATTGGAAAGGACGCCAAGCGGTCCAAAAGAGGTTGCTTGCGGGCCAAACTTCGGAAGGGAATGTCCCTGCAGTATGTGCACAGCGGCTGCATTGTAAGATCCGGTGAGCCAATGTTGAATCGTTCAAGACTCGCTCACATTGGCTCGCAAGACCATGATAATGGAGAAAAGGTTTTCAAATTCACTCCGCTATTCGGTTGTGTAGTGATTGGACGGCATACCTAGCGTGTCTATCGTCGGCCAATCGCAAACGTGGATTATGAACTTGAATGCGCTTAGATAGAGTCACAAAAATGTTTGGTACAAGCTAAGCCGATAAAACTGATGAAGAAACTATTGGATTTTGCAGCTATCCTCTTAGCAATTGATACAGAGCATACACATGTCGAAGTTAACTAGCACATAAGGAACAGGTCAAAAGCATACATGCAACAACTTATGACTGACATGGACAACTCAAGGGCATCGCAACTTATCCCCGAAAAAGCTCCGGTCCGTTGCGGATACCCCAAACTGACAGCGATCATCAGACGACGATCATAACCAATGAGGGTAATTGTGAGCCAATTTCAAGTCGCCAGAGCCGTTACATTTTAGCTTTCGGCCCCTCATCCCGGCACCACTGCCGCTGAAGATACGTGGCTAGAGCGGGGCGTCGGACGAGTAAGCCACGGAGGCCATCTCCGACGACGCCAGATTGTCAACTCCATAAAGCTGAACGCTGGTGAACTCTCAATTGCGAATGAGAAATCTTTTTTGAAAAGCTGTATCGAAAGCATTGTTGTTGAGTCGAGGTCATGGGAATCCCCACGGAGCTAGTCGGCAGTCTCCCCCGGCCGGGGGCGTTGCAAAAGACATACGCGGACTACGACGCTGGAAAGATCTTCAAAGGTAAACTGGAGAAGGCCCAGGATGCGGCGGTTAAAGACTCCATCGATCGCTTGAGACAGACTGGCGAGACCTTCGTTAGCGACGGCGAACAAAGAGCAAGCTCTTTCGCGACGTACCCAATCACGGATACGCTGAACGGAACAGGTCTTGCTGAAGGTCAGGAAATCACTCACCTCTCCAACAGCCTCATGTAAAGACTTCAACTGAACTTTACTAGGACTTGCTGGTGATGGTCAATTGTTCGCCTACTTTGACGACGGCCACCACCGCCAGCTTCCCCGCCTCACACAGGGTCCGTTCAGGTACAAGACCTATGCGTACGAGAACTTCCAAAAGTCACAGGCATTTTCCGGGGGCCATGAAATGAAGAGTGCTGTCATTGCACCGAGCTTGCTTTACCTCTTGTATCCTCTGAAAGGCGATATTGAAGGGTACAACAGGGAGCAGTTCACTCATGATCTGGTGAGGGAGTGTGAGAAGGACATTCGGGGATGTTTTGCAGCTGGGTCCAAGAGAGTCTCAATCGACTTCACAGAGGGCCGTAAGTAAATTGGTTACTTTTTGTGTGAAATGAGGCGCTAATAGTGACTCAGGATTGGCGGCGAAGAAGGACCCTAGAAACCCCTGGACAAATGAGGATCTGCTTCAAACGTTCGTGGACATTATCAATCAAGTCCTCGACAAATTCACTGCCGAAGAGCGGGCAAACATTGGGCTTCACACTTGCCCCGGTGGTGACTGCGACTCTGTCCACTCTGCTGACGTGCCGTATCATTCACTTCTTCCCTCACTTTTCAAGATCAACGCAGGTTTGTGACTTCATGCCTCAAGTACTCGAGCATCATCATACTTCATACTGACAAACAAAGGATACTTCCTGATACAACTATCCACTGAGAAGGACAAGCCAACAGTTTGGAAGGAAATTGGGCAGAATATTCGCAAGGATGCCGACGGCGTGAAACAGGTTGCCTTCATCGGCGTCACAAACCCGCTAGACCCTCGAGTTGAGACTGCGGAGGAAATTGCGGATGATTTGTGCGAAGCAGCGAAGTACATCCCGGTTGACCAGCTTGGTGCCACGGATGATTGTGGCTTCAGCCCGTTCAGTATCGACCTTAAGCCAAATTACATCAAGGGCCCGGACTTCGCGAGGGACATTGCCTTCGAGAAGATTGCGAATAGGGTCAAGGGGGCGAAGATTGCTTCCGAGAGACTGGGTATCTAGAACAATATCGCGTGATGGACTGAATGCCCACACAACATCGAGCTTATCACTTTCTTATCTCTGAGGCCTTTACCTTCTGAAATACCGTAATGTCGACACTCAAACAACGTGCCAATGATGTAGGACATAAGCATGTGCGCGTAAAAAGGGCAGCACTACTCCAACTAGGTACATACGGACAATTTGCACAGACGCCCGGTCACTCGGGTCTCTGCTCCGGAAAGCACAGCATTGTGATCCGTCACCTTCGATATATTACCCAAGGAACATACGAGGGATTTCGATGTTGTAGAAAACATCTAAGTTGACGTTGTTGTTGTAACATGTGTGGCGTTTTGTCTCCGTGGAGGCGACAATAAAAGATGCCTCAGGGAAGTTTGCCGAGTGTACTAAAAGCAGAACAATTTTGCTTTCATAAACCTTTGGTCCCGCGCTTGAATCCTCTTTATATCTTCTTGCACTACGAGGCCCGAGAAACTTCAGACAACGAGCTTTTTAGACCCTGTCGAGATCCAAAGTAAAATCAATGACTGATGGCGAATCTATTGTTTTTGATGTTCTTTGGTGTAAACTAATGAAGGCAGCTTGCAGCAAAACATTGATCACAGCACGAGATCCCGCCAAGTGCCTGCCATTCGTAGCCCATGAGTCATACGGAGACGAATAGCCTCCAGACGACGACGATGTCGGATGCTGGAAGTTTAAGATGATATCTCACATATTGAAGTGTGTCTTGAATATCCGTATGTGTGCAAAGCTGTGTAGCCGCCGAGATACTCTAGGCATGAATACCTTTTGGACGCCCATGGTGTCACGGAAAGCGTTGGATCGCAATTGCGAGATGTATGAGAAGCTTCAAATAATACAGGCTTATATATGGCCTTCAATGAACACTCCATAAAGAATGGCAAGCGAAGCAGGTTGAACAGAGCACAAAGTTCTTCAGGCAGGAATCTCCGCAGCACAGTTGCACCACTTGCCGATAGCGGATATCTTATCCGCTACAGAGCCCAGGGGAAGTGCAGCTCCGAGTAGTGCCAAGATCCCAGAGCACCAAACAAAACTTGTCTATATTTAAACAATCGAAAGGGATTCACTGGGAAACAAGCCCAAAATCAAAGTTGGGTGAGATTCGCACTACAAAGCAAGAGGAAAGACAAACTGCACCCGTCGTTCATGTGTGTGCGTCACAGCCAGAATGACGAACTCGAGTCACACAAGCTTAGACCTCTTCGTCACAGGCTTCGTGGTATTACAACTCAATACCTTAGAAGATTTGCGGAGCAGAGATGCGAGTACGTTGGTGTCGGAATCCAACGAGTTCAAACGGGTTCGGTAAACCCTTGACGATGGTCAATCGTTGAGTTGACATCCAAGGTTCAGCTAAAATTTCACTGGATGTATCTGCTATGAGGTCTGAGATCCCACGACACATCGGCTTTTTTATCTATTTGAAAAGATCCAAGGTTACATTGTCGGTCTGTGACTACTTACAGCCACTGCATTAAGTATACCTTTATTGCGTGTAGATTGCAATGCGTCTAAGTACTCATCTGCTACATTCAATACCGAATTAGAAAACAGTCAGAAGTTCTCTACGTAGTTGAAGCGTTGAAGCCAAACCCTGGTGCGGAGGATATGCTGAAGACATCTGAGATGAACATGAATGCTGTTAAAAAGACAGGACTACTGGACACTGGATGTTTGAAGTCAAACCCTTCAGACCAGAGTGTCTGGATTAACCAGGCGGGGAAGGGTAGTGGGGCGAGTATTTCGACTATTCCCTGGAACTTCATAGATGTCCGACACCACATTTGTGCGTTGTCAATGTGTCTGATATTTGAAACAACAAAGGTTTATACAGCTTATACCGGTACTCATTTAGCCGCTATGAAGGTGAACGTTTGCGATCAAGTACGGAAGCCCGCTAGCCGCATTTTAGGTCACCAAGTCTAGATAGAAGACTTCTGAGCAGCATTTCCTGCTGTGAGACCAAATATGTCCCCATCCGGAGAAGCTGACTCAAAGTTAAACACGCAATGGCAACCGCAATCAAGTGACTAAGGTGTCTGCAGCAAACCGCCACCGAACAATCTTGTGCCCATCTCCCTTGCCCTTAGGGTGTTTAAGAGAATACAGGCAAAAGGATGAGGCTTACCAAAGACGAAAAATTAACAGCATGACCGGTCTACTAAGGTTCTCATTTCAAATCCCAAGTCGGAGGTCCATGTTTATTGGTATGGCCATATTTGCTTCCTCATGCCTACTTCAATTCCTCGGACGTCATTGCGCTGAGAATTCTAATCGGTGCCGATCCTCGAAGGCCTTATTTAGAGGATCACTGAGTTGGCAAAACACAAAGCTTAAAATGTGCCTCCAGTCGGCAGTTTACCAAGCAAACATTGTCGAGATGACGGCGAGGCCCTCTGGGTGATGAAGTAACGTTCGTGATAGCGGAGCTGAGATTGCTATATATTGCAGAGACATTTGGGAAATGTGTTTTGAACGCCACAATGCAAGGATTCCCCAGAAGCCTTGCTTCCCTAGCTATGGATGGCTCGATATTCTCACTGAAATCTTTGCAACGCGGACGATGACAAGTGATTTAATCATCTGGCGAAAGCTTCACTAACATCCGGATCCTCTATGTCTCTTCGGCTTCATCTTATTCTGTATCAGAACGCAGAAACAGTAGCATAGGACGAATACTGCAAATATTCTCGCATCCTGCCGTGAGGATATGAGCTTCAGATTCCAGGTTACCGTTCAACTACCACGCGCTAGCCTCAGTGAAGTCCCGACAAGTATTTAAAGCTCGGGAAGGTAAGTTGCCTCGGAGCGCACAATGTCACTCCATAATTCCTCTTGTCATCACGGATGAGCTCAATGAAAAAAATGACACGAAGCACAGGCTCTGAAAGATCACCAAACATTAAGGCCTAGTCATAGCGGCTTCCAACGCCGCAATGTATTCATCTGTATAACCTATGCCTCATCATATCCCGACGACAGAGAGAGCCAACGGTCCTCGTCCTGACTGCCAAGAAGAGGTTTATCGTGCCTGACCGCCGATGTAGCTCTGTGCCCCTGGGAGAGAAGAAGAGTTAGCATGAGATCACACTCCGGATCCGTCATCGATAAAGACTCATCGGGCTTAAAACAAAGCCACAATAATGACAGAACAGCGAATTGAACATATATATCGAAAATTGACTCACCACCTGGAGCTGTCCAGCCTTGGAAGTCATGGTGCCTCAAGCCTCCTCTGTGGCCGAGTAGTACTCTGACTCACTCGGAGCACTGGTGCTGCCCTTGTCGTCGTCGTCGGTGTAGAGGGTCGTCTCACCCGAAACGTTGCGCGAGGCGGTGCGGTGGTCTGTGTAAGTCTTGAGCACCATCTGGGTCGCTATATTAATTTCAGTCAGCATCAACCCCTGAATGCCCTGTAATCTTGTGAGGGCAACGACGCACCTGCGACCAGAGCGGCGAGGTGGTCCATGTACTGCTTCTTGGTGCTAGCTATCTTCTGAAGCACTGTAACATCCAAAGGTATTAGCCGTGCTTCCAACTTCGACGCCCATTCTAAGAATGCAGTGTGGGAGGGTAAGGTATCAGAGTAGCTTTATAGATCACATGAGTCAAGCCGGGGCAGCAACTCATCAGACCTCTTCTATCTCTTGTGTTTCTCATCATGTACCATTCGACCTGGGAACCAAGCAAGGGCGATCTCGAAGATGGGCGGTACTCACGCTGCTGGTTGCCGGGAGGGGCGGCAGCCTCCATAAGCCGGAGCGTCTCGATCCGGTTAACGTAGTGGGTGCACCAGTCGAGGGTTTCGTCGATGAAGAGAAAGATGTCGGCCATTTTGGAGCTTGGTACGGTAAATTGGAGAGGATGGGTGGTCTGCGAAGATGAAGTGGTCAGGGGCTTTGCTATCAAGGGTATATAAATGACGGGGGAGTGAAAGCAAAAAGAATATTCAGAATTTGAGGTTCTTCTCTTCGCTTGTGTGCCTACTCAGGGACGAGCAGTCTCGTAAGGGCCAGCAAATCTCAGGAGCAAGACAACCTACCCAATGGGTCTGGAGGCAAGAGAGATGAATTAAAAATGAAGCGAGACGTACCTGAACGAGAATAATCTCAAAGCAAGCGGGAAGGACAACATTCGAAGCCGGAAAAGCGAGGCAAGCGTAGCTGAAACTGTGAGGGTCCGTAGGGTCGAGAAGCCAAAGCAACCGTCTATTCTTCAGGAGCAAACTCGTTCCACACCAAGGCATTGAAAAACGACAACAACCGGCAAAATCCACGACGCGCTCTCTGCGTAAAACGGTGCCCTTTCCGCGCGCTGTGGAGCCAGACGAACGGTGGGAGGGAAAAAGCAGTCGAGCAAAGCAAGACCGGTTTCCGGGCGTGTTGTATCTGTGGGGAGGCGCTTGAACTGACCTGCGTTGGCGAGGGAGAGGTGGGAGGTCAGAGACGGGGGAGAGGGCTGGGGAGTGGGGAGGAAGAGGTCGAGGAGGGACATTGACAAGGTGCGACGGGTTGCGATGCAGCTGGTCACGTGGAAGGCAGGTTGTCGAGGACGATGTGATGGAGGAGCAGCTGAGGAAGATGCTTTTGCGGGGACTTGGAGGTGATGGCAGAGTACGTAATGCTGGTTGCTTTGCTTCGTTCTTGGCCACTTGATATTTTTGAGCTCGCAGTCAAAGGGGGCCGTGGAAGGAAGCAGTAGCATCTGCTGGAAGGAGCTGGTCAAATGTAAACAAAGCAGTTTTTTATCGTCGAGAAGAATCATCGCTAAAAGGGAAGCATGGCGATCTAGTACTCACCAGGATCTTTGAATCTCTTGCCCCGCGTTGGTAGTGCTGGAACAGGCAAGTCTCGGAGCCGTGGAGTCGGCTTTCGCCCCAATCCAGCGACGGTGCCTTCCCGGACCCTCCGGGCTGGGAGACTCTCATTCCGCCTCTTCCACCAGTTTGAGAAGGGAAGGCACCCAGACACAAGGAATGATTGCATTTAAACTTCCAAACCAAGATGACATAATGTAGTAGTGTTCACATGACGTTCGAACAACCCATTTTGTTGAGCATGTAACCTCTGAAGCATAGCAGACGCTCTTACATCATCAGAGGTCGGAGAATTTAACATCAGTTGAGTACATCACAAGAACTCAGGGTCAGGGGCAATGGGTGTTGTCTAAGCTACTTCGTTTTATTGAATAATATGATGCGACGTGATATGAACATTTGCTCCATATCCGATATCCACATCTTGTCGTCTGAACATTATTTTCATAGAATTATACATTAAATACAACGCTGAATGTCGGTCATGATATGGGCGAGGTGGCCCGGGTGTCCTTTTTCCATCCACACATCCACAAACATTACTCGCATCAAAGAAGGGCAGCAATGACGATACCGGCAGCGGCAGCGACCACACCGGAGCCGAGACGGCCGGCGGCGTTGGTGACCTGGACCGGAGGGGTGGTGGTCTTGCTAGGGCTAGGAGCGGGTGTGGTCTGAGCCGGGGGAGTGGTGACGGCCGGAGGAGGGGCGGGAGGGTTGCTAGCAGGAGGGGCAGGGCTGCTGGCCGGGGGAGCAGGTGTGCCAGCGGGAGGAGGGGTAGTTCCGGCGGGAGGAGGAGTACCAGCAGGAGGAGGAGGCGGAGGAGTTCCGGCGGGAGGAGGAGTGCCGGCAGGGGGAGGGGGAGGAGTACCGGCAGGAGGAGTACCTGCGGGTGGGGGCACAGGAGAGCTCGCCGGTGGAGCAGGAGGAGCGGGAGGCTGGCTGCTCGGAGCGGGCTTGACGGTGCTGAAGGTGTGAGGAGGAACGCTCTCGGTGACCGGGCAGATGGTGGTTGACACAGGGATCGTCTCGGTGGTGACGTGAGTCTCGCCAGGGCAGTTGGGAGTTCCAGGAGGGCACTTGGTGATGGTGTGGACCTGGGTAGTGTAGACAGTCGACGTAGTCCACGTTGTCGGGGGAGGGGGAGGGGAAGCAGGCGTGGAAGTCTCAGTCACGGGGCAGATGGTGGTCGAGACGGGGACGGTGACCGTCGTGATGGTGCCGGGGCAGTGGGGGACGTGAGGTGGGCACTTGGTGATGGTCTCGACGTGGGTGGTGTAGATGGTCGAGGTGGTCAACTTGTCGGTAGTCTTTGTGTGGTGGGGCTTGCTCGTGGTGTTGGCCCAAGGGGTGGTCGTGGGAGGAGTGTAGGTAGGGACGGTGTGAGAGTGGTGGCTCTTGGTGCTGTGTCCCTTGGTGCTGCTGACCTCGGTGGAGGACTCGCAATCGGTAGAGGTAGAGGGGGTGTAGACGGGCTTCGAGCTGCTTACAGCAGTCGAAGTAGTGTCGCAGTCCTCAGTGGAGGTGGTGGTTGGGGTATGGACGGGCTTCGTGCTGGTGATGAAGGTTGTGGTGGTGCAACTCTCAGTGGACGTGGTCGTCGTGGTGCAGTCCTCAGTGGAGACGGTCGTGGAATTATAAGACTTGCTGGTGCTCCAGGTCTTTGTAGTCCAGGTGCTGTGACCCTTGGTGCTGCTCACTGCCGTAGAGGTGGTGCAGTCCTCGGATGAGGTTGTTGTCGGGGTGTGGACCGGCTTGGTGCTGCTCACGAAGGTGGAAGTGGTGTCACAATCCTCGGAAGAAGTCGTGGGAGTATGGACGGGCTTCGTGGAGCTGACCTCAGTGGAGGTAGTGCAGTCCTCTGTCGAAGTGGTGGTAGGAGTGTGAACAGGCTTGGTGCTGCTGACGGCGGTCGTCGAAGTCGTGCAGTCCTCGCTGGAAGTGGTCGGGGTGTGGACGGGCTTCGAGCTGCTCACCTCGGAAGAAGTCGTGGGAGTGTGAACGGGCTTGCTGCTGCTAACAGCGGTCGAAGAAGTGGTATCACAGTCCGAGGTGGAGGACGAGCTGTGGACGTAGGTGCTGCTGACCGGCGTCGTGGAGGTGGTGCAGTCCTCAGAGGAAGTGCTGGTGGAGTGCTCCTTGGTGCTGCTCGGAGTAGGAGTAGGAGTAGGCGTGGGGGTGACATAGACGCTGGTTGAGGTGGTGATGACGGGGGTGCTGGAGGTCGCGGGAGCGGAAGAGGTAGTGGCCGGGACGGTGTTGGTGATGCTGTAGGTAATGCAAGAGCACGCCGAGGAGACAGCCTTGATGTCACCGCCACAGTTGTTGAAGTCAGTTGGGATGGCTGACGGAGCAGTGGTGGTGCCGTGCAGGAAGTCGACGCAGAAGGTCTTGGCCTCCTCCTCAAAGCGTTGGTCGATCAGGTTGCGATAGCAGCCATCGTGCTCCTGGATTGTGTTAGTGGGTGTCACTGGATACGGAGGTCCTCACGTGACGGGGGAGAGACATACGCAAAAGGGGTACTCCCAAGCGTTGACGGACGCCAGGGCCATGGCGCCCAGTCCCACGTAGAGGCCGCGCATCTTGAGTTGGTTTCGGGTGTTGTTGGAAGCGAATGACGGTGACTCTGAAAGTCTACCAGTTGAAAGCGAAAGTAGTATTGCCAAAAGGCTTGAAGCGACCGTGGGTGAGGAGGAAAGGGGGCAAGAACCAGAGTGCCGGAGCAGCGATGCGGCCTTTATGAGAAGTCATGACTCCGGGGTGAGGTGGATGGGATGGGCCAAGTCGGGGTTGCGGCGGGCGGAAGCGATCCCATGCTTGATGCACCCATGGCCCCTTCATCCGCTCCATCCACGGTGACGGAGAGGCTAAGAATACGAGCTTGGTGCTGGAGCCGCAGTCGCCTCGTGGTTGATGTCCCGTTGCCCATGGACCCAGCCAGCTGTGCAGCCTAACCCAGCCATCCATTGATATACATGCATGCAGAATTAGGGTAGGGCACCTTGGGTTGCAGGCTGGGCCGCTGCATCATGGCATTGGTGGTGGAGGTAGGCGATGGTGGGTGTGGTGATGTTGCTTAGCTTCGGACCACTCACACCACAACGGCGGCACCTCATCGGCCAGTCGACGGGCAGCAGTCGGCCCTTGGAGTACATGGTGAGTTGGCGATGGCGCGCTCCATCAGCTCGTACCGAGGGCTAGCGTGATGGGCTGTCATGGCCGCCATGGAGACGGGACAGACGGCGGAAGACGGGTTGGGATGGGCTGGTTGCTGTTAGTGATCTCACCGGTGGAGACAGACGTGAAGGGGGATAGAGGCCGTACTTTGGATTGTAACGATGGGTCGACGCTAGAAGTGCGGAGGATCTTCAAGTGAGGAGTTGGGGTCCTCTTTTCACGAGTCTATTGAAGGTGGCCCTGGTGGTTTTTCTCGTGTTGCTGCGATGATTGGACTGATGTTTCGACGTTTCTTGACGGATGGTGGCGCCGGGTGTTGCTAGGTCCGTAGAAGCTCCCACCGATGCGGGCCCGTAAGGATGAGTCTAAGTTTCTTTCAATGTGTCCGGCCGTTTCTTTCTTTTCGCCGGGCTTCTTCCCTCTGCATGAATGAATGGGTTTGCACGTTGAGAAAAAAAATCGGAAAGAGCCTAGAAGACCAGATGCCTCCTTCCCCCTGCCTTTGGGCGTTCCTTAGCGTGGTTTAGCCAGGGGTTGCCCAGCCGTCGAATGACAGTGACGGTCCAGCAGAGCCAATAAGCGGCAGCCAGAATCAGATTTAGGCAGGTGGATGTGAGCGGGCAGTTGCTGCCTCGCTGGGCAAATGCTACTGCAACTGCAACTGCAACTGCCCTGCACCTTCTTCCACTGTGGAGAGTGGGAACATTCGGCTAAGGCGGAAGGGACGAACGAGGTGACGGGGTGACGGTCCTTCCTGACAGCCATCGCGATCCTGTATCTCTCTGCACTTGTGGAAGGAACCTCTTGCCTTCCCTCTGCCTCTCCTTCTACTACCAGCTGCTGTCTCGCTGCCTCTTGCCGTGTATGAAAGGGTACGTACATGCAAGCGCAGATACCTACCTGAGTACGTATCGTCAAATTTTCTCTCTCTCCAATGGGAGCCGCAGGAATTACCGCTGGTGATGTGGGTGAGAGGCAGGCGCTCCTTTGAAGGTTCCTGCCCAGCCTTCGTACGTCTTCTCTCAAGCTTCCATCTCCACGGCCGACTTTCTCTGCTGACGGCTTTCCTTCAATCTGACTTTGCACGACCACCAAGACTGACAAGATTCCATCATATCGTACCCAACGAACGCCTGGTTCGATGCCAAGTCATCCTTCCCGTTTTGCAGAAACGGTGCTGACGAACGGGCAACGACCACCGCCAGCACCAATGGTTCGCCCAGTCAGCGAATGTCTACCATCATCCTTCAACACCATCAGGTGGCAGACGGCCTTCACCTCCGCCGCTAACACCAACCTGGACACGACAAAGACACACTCGCTTGCCTAAGAAAAGAAACAGAGCTTGAGGCTTTTTGGCACCCCTGTCGACCCATCTTCCCGTCGCCTGCTTTTCCTGTTCTAATCCAACCTGCAGCTCGCCGCCGCTTAGCTTCTCTTCCCCTCACGATGCATGATGCTGTCGCTGCCCGCCTCATCCCAGCAAGGCAGCAAGCTTGCGCGAGAAAAAGATCCCTTCGTACAGGGAAATGATGACCTACACCAATGAGGTAATGCCTGCGGATTTCCGCACACCCTCTCGATCCCTCACCAACCACCGGAACGCTTCACCACACAGTCGGCTCTCGCTGATTTCCCACACGCGGATTCTATCGGACTCACATCGTCGGCCACTTTTGCTGCTGGTCTGCCACGCTGACTCATGAGGCCAACGCAGAACGCGACATGGCCGCATCGTCACATCGTCGTTTGATCTAAATCTCACGATGGATACGAGTACCGCTACGCCCCCCCGCCGGGGGCCGCGGCCGCGGGGTTTCCGCCCCATCGGAGGGCCTCACGTCGCATTGGCGCTGACCTTGTTATTGTGGGCGCGAAAACAAGCTTCTTGACCTTAGACACACTGTCCCACGCAGATCAACCGAGACAATTGTCACCGACTCTGACTACAGAATTCTGCACAGGACTGGGTGATTTTGACCTTTTACGTCAGATCGTTGTCCGATCTTACCCATGCCACGGGTATCCATCCAGTTTTGAGATAAACGGCTCGCGCCTGGTGTTTTCAGCAATAACATTCTGATCTGAGCGCATCATCGAGGACTTTCATCAAATGCTTTACGAGCTCCGGTGCAGCGTTCGATCAAAAGATGCACGTGAGAAACCCTCATGTTATCCGTCAACACAACCCTTGCTAGCTATCGCCTGCAGAGTCTGACCTGATTACCCGAGTGGTCAGCTTGAGTGGCAGCTGGGCGAACAAGCCACTCCCACGCGCCGCCACCCCTCGCAACGTTGCTTCTCGCGCCCGACCACAGTGATGCGATGGGCGGTCCAAGACAACAACCATCGCTCTCAAACACCATCTCATCGCAAGAAGCTTCTGCCAGAAGCTGGCATCTTCTACGACATCAAGCATATTCAAAACTCTGATCTTCTTAGTCCCCCATCCAGTTCATCCCGCCGTCTCTTCTGGAGGTCTTGCCTTCCGTCCTCTACACCACCAACCCGGGCTCGCCGGCAAATACGAGGCACAGCTGGGAAGCGACTCCTTCACGACAGCCATTGGTCAACAAAACCGGCCATGACGGCTAACTCGCGCCGAGGATCTTCTTCCTCGGATTGACTTTTCAATTGGCGACCAGAACAGCGCCGTCCAAGTCAGACCACGCGCTTGGGATTAGCACATGACGTCAAAACCACTTATCCGCTGCCCCGTCCCCGCTTCACTGCGGTCTTTTCGCCAGGTCGGCTTGGGTTCCGGGGCCTGTTGTCCCTGACCCAAGTCGGCCAATGATCGCCGAACCTTTCCATAGCAGGATCTTTCCCACGGCACGCTTGTGAGGGCAGATAAACAAACAGACGGTGCGTTCCTTAGCACGACCCGACTGTTTGGGCTCCACAAGGCTAGTCAACCGCCTTTCTTTGTTCGCCCTCATAGGCGATTTTCTTATCTGATTCGTGTTGAGCTAGTCAAATTTTGCTCGTTGTCTAGGCGTCGTGCGATACGATACTCCAAGCCTGAGCCCCAAGAGAAGGGTCTTGGATCGTGGTTTCGCATGAACTGATCCATCGCCCACCATTTGCAATGTCGAAGCCAGTGATATAAAACCTTGCTATCAAAACATACAGAGAGCGCTCACAAGCGGACATATGAATCTGCCGAAGAAGTTGTAGCGGTCGATACCGATGTCCACTCACGCAAGCGTCACACTGCTGGATGCAGATGATATCAACCGAAGTCGCTGCTCCACTCCCAAGCAGTCATTTGTAATCCGCATCTTCTCATGTTTTTTCCCTTCCGAATACCCCAGAACTGCCAAGTGCCAATAAATCCTCAGCTGAAGGACTATGAATGTTCAAAATATGTCGATAGTCCTGGTTGACAACCGGCTCATGTTCTAAAAGCTTTCAAACCAAGACCATAGACACACTACCACACACATTGTCTACACCACCTCTGTACTCGAAGGTATATGCCATCTCGATTATATTTAATGAAAAACCCTCATACGTGATCTGAAATGCTTTTGCTTTCCCCTATCAACAAGGTCCTTGGTTTTTCAAGTGATTCTACTATTTATAGCATGCTCTGCCTGTTCTGGAACTTCAAACAACAAATCCAGTTTGTTCTCTTCACAACGGCTGTTCCCTTTGAACCAAATAATCGAAGTCTTGACAAGGCGAGGGAACCAATAATTCCCAGAAGTCGCGACTGAGATACAGCTGTGAGTCGACATGTCTGGTGGCGGTGTCCGTTAGGGCCACCACCTCGAGCGTATTCAGATTATTAGGTTCGCAGTCCTGGACTGCTTTCATATAACCTTCACAAAGGGCTGACACATAACATGGTCATCTATCATTTTGCCCAGGCCGATCATCGTTCTTAATAGAGCGACATCACTACATGTATCAACAGCGAGACCATTTGCTGCACAAGATGACAGTCAGTGCTAATTGGAGTTTATATACGTCCCGGTCGCCTTGAAGAAGTCCCTAATGCTTTTACAGAGATGGAGTTGCGGCTGGAGGACAGCTGGTACGATTCATTGTACTGAAGAACTGGAATATGATGACTACCTATGTCGGGTAAATGGTATTTAAACGACTGCGATGTCTTCGCTTTGCTATGAGATAAAGAATTTAGCGTGGAGAGCAGTATTTCAATTAGTTGATGGTCGGTGATCCCTTTCATATTGGACCCAGAGATGGCGGTAGTATGATGATGGGGGTGCGCCACAGGCATGATGACACACAAGCTTCACATCGCCCCAGTCCGTCGTCCTCTCCAGCGGCTACACGTATAATATCCACGAGGATTCAAAAGTTGTTTCATTACCTCATCATACGTTTGATCTGTATCTCCTGCTGTTGTAATATGCTCTTCTTCCATGGATCAACTCGGCAGAAGCATCATTCGATTGAAGGACGGCGGCCACCATGCAAATATTGTGGTTTGCCACAAGACCATCTCGGCATCCCTCTACTTTATACTTGCAATTTTGCCTGTACTCCAACCTGACGGCTTGTAGTCTGCGCTATCTTCATCGATGTTGCTTGAATCATCGGGTTCCTTTTGACGTTATTGTAGCAGTACAGAAAGAGCTTCTATTTAAGTAGACTGAATCACTCATTGATAGAAAGCAAGATGAATGGTCTGGATTCCTTGGTTCAAGCGTGAAGACTATGAAGGGTTGATCTGTGAAATTTGGCACGAATTCGGATAACAGATTTACATGAGACCAGGCACATTCAACTGAGGGCTTTTGGCTGTTGTCTGTCACAAGGATCCCCGGATAATCCTGAGCGAATACGCACCGAATGGGGAAAATGCTTCGCAGGCCGACAGCGTGTATTTTCTGGACGAAGTTAAAGCGCAATCGTCTGGTTCGTTGTGAACTTGACTTATTCCCGTCTTATGGTTGTAAGCTGGAAAAGACAGCTGGGGCCATTTGCTTGCTCAAAAGCATACCTCTCCGTCACACCTTTTTAAGTTCCTCGCCCACGTTCTGCGCGATCCCACTGGAAAAGCCATGGACACATCTCCAAGCTTTCAGCGTGCACCCACGCGTCAACATAAAGCTATCGGATGAATAAAAATGTGTGAGGCTCCATAATTGTATATGAACGTCGCGTCGTCTTTTAGGAACGATCCAGGCACTGCTGCGACAATGTGGCCAAGGACCTCAAAGTGTGAATTGAGAATATGAAAGCTCGCTGGAGCCAGACTGGCGGTGCTCCCTGTATTCTCTGAGTTATTGCATAGGTCAATACGCATGATTCTCCCCGGGCAACGGAGGGCGAGCCGGGAGGCATCAAGACTTACTGGACATAACAGGTTGAGTCTATGTCTGAGCTGACTAGCACTTGGCTGTATGGCAACGTTGATGCAATAACCTGAAGAATCATCTCGTTGTCGAAGAAGCTGATTTCCGTTCTCATGGAAGACAAAAGACATGGGACCGCAGTGGCATGTTTTAGATATTGCATCATTTCCCGCCGTCAATTATAAAAGATTAAGCTGAGTTCATTTCTGATACATTAGTGCGATGTGCCTGTGTGCGCTTGCGGGGGGGCCCAGCAGCAATGCATCGCTGGTTGTAACAATCTCTCACCTTGAGTTGTGCAATCTGTTCTGAACTTCGCCTGGCTTTCTTCTATCTGCAGCTTATCCCTTCAGCTTGACTCCACTTGGATGGAAGCCTGCAATTTATGATGTCGGTAGTCATCTTCTTGCTGATGAAATGACAGAATAATCAGAGAACGAAGAGAGAAAACTTTCATGACTGTAATTGATCTGCGAATTGGCTCGTCGTGGAGGCTTTATGCCACGCATACCCTGCGAGTCGAGTACAAAGGAGGGTAAGCGATCATTGTCTCTCGATTCACCTGCGAACATGATTGGCTCTCCACCAAGGGCCATCTACAAACTGCTGATTTATACCAATAGGTGTGTGTTTCAGGCCTTATCAAGACTTTTTCATGACACATCGGTTGAGATGCGCGCAGCTCGAGAGGTTTCGTCTTCAACGTCACGGAGCGTATAAAGCTACAGGTATAAAATTGGCAACATTAGAAAGGAAGACATTGCTAAGAACCTGTGGGCAGTCTGTACCTTTGATTCTTGATCGACGCAGTGTGCACATATTCCCCACGAGAACCATTACTTGCAGTTCAGCAGCGAATATCACCGCCAAACTGAGGCTTCGAGTGACTCCCTCAGTCTTCCCTGCTATCTCCTGTTCATTCATCCTCGTTTTACCCAGGGAAATGAAATTATAGAGACGTAATGTTTAGCACTTCAAAAATCTCTCGTGCCATTGAGAAATTCACCTATTGAGCCTTGGTGGGTAGGGGCTTTCACAATGAATACTTCGGATTATTGTCTTGAGAAAGAGGTGAAATGAAAGCTACCAGTTGGTTTGAATATTGGCCTTTTGAAAGGCAGAAGTTTCAAGTACGGTCAACCATGTCTTGAATTATTTGCAGCTAAGAGCGTTTTACTACTTGCTGGGTTTTCCAATCAGAACTTGCTGCGTCGAGAATTTTGCTTGTCAGATACGACCCTCCATTTCTCACACGTCAACAATTGGCATACGAAGTCGATTCCCTCCGCACTAAAATCCTCCATGACGCTTCTCGGTTCGAATAAGCAGACCCTTAATCTTAGCCGTTGGTCCAGATGTTCAATCCCGTCTTGATGCCTCCTTCTGGAGGAAGCCCCGCATGAGTAGTTCTGTCATCAAGCTTTCCCGAGTTATCCCAGCTCTTCCAGAATAATGCATTCCCCGCCACAGCTTTAACAGTCAGGGCTTCGTTGTTGTCGCACTCAACATAATTGCACCAGCTTTTATCCTCCAGAGTCCAGTTGATGTTGAGGTTCGGAAACTGCGTGCCGCACTTCTCGCAAGTAGCCTCTACAATGGCGAAGATGGTTGTCAGCCGATGTGTCGTTGAGCCGTTGTGGTAATCGTCAAGGGGATCCAGGTGAGGGTTGAAGTGCTGCCCAGCGCTGTATCGAGTCAGCTGAAGAGACTCATGCATGTTCTCAGGCGTGTAACCCTGGATTTCCGACGCGCGCTTGATTATCCGCCGGACGATGGGGTCTTCGTCCGGGAGAAATGCGGTGCTGCTGGTTCGGTCCGAGTCGTATAGGTTCGAATTCTCCGCGTCTACGTAAACTGCCGACCGTTCAAATAGAGGCTGTCTGTAGACGTGATCAGATATGTGAGCGACAACTGATACGGACGCTACCTACCCCAGTTGCAGCAAATGGTTCCTCTCGGCCCATGAGAGGAAGCCTACGACGTATATGATCAGAGGGTCATAACTCAGAATCCGGATGGAGTAGGTCTTCGGCAGCGGCTGGATAGCCAGTACCGAAGACATATGAGGAGACACCCGCGGCCATAAAAGGACAATCGCTGGGATCAGTGTCCCAAAGAACAATAGACGGTTCCAAGAAAAGAGATTCGCCATTTTGTACGTGTTATGGGCCAAAAAGGCTTAACCAGCGACACCACGTCCTGACAAAGGAATGAAAGCCCGAGGGACGCTGACAATGCAGGCACTTTGCGGGGGTTCTTCAAGGATATCACAGGCTGATGCTGCTAACTTTCGGTCCGGTAGCCCATTTTAACAGCGGAGACCGACCATTGGGGTGGGTAAACACCGAAAATCAAAGTTTGAGGGGGAAAACAAAAGATATTGGCCGGCGGGATCTGCTGATTAACAGTGTCGGCTTTCTCCATTCAGTTACGTTAGCGCTGCCATCTTGGCCCCCAGGATCAGATGAATCTTGATAAATACCCATGCCGTCACGGTGCGGCAATGGCATTGCACTCGCTCATTAGAAGTCGCACCCACGGCAAGAGTAAAACAGTTCTCCTGCTATATCACGGCTGATCGACGAACCAACCATGAAGATCATCTTGAGGTAGATTGGCAGCACTCATCTCAGGCGAACAGCGTTGCACGGCTGATCTTTCCGATACGTGTTATGTCAGTGCGGATATCCATTTCGTTTGGCCTCATCACGCCACTCCCCCTTGGCCAGCTCAGGTCCCGGGAAACTTTAATATGCGCCGACTAGAAGGTGCAAAGTTCTGGCCTGGCGTCTGTGCGTCTGGGGTTTGTACAGGACAAGTTCGGACCTGCATTTACTTCCGGTGGGATATCAAGATCTTGCCAAAAACCAGGCTTGGTGCAACATGCGCGGAAGCCGTGGACACTGGCGCGCCAGTTGCCAAATTCGATGTGTCTGCATGATACTGCGATGAGGTTGAGGTTAGATTGATGTGGAGGTTGCCACGGCTATGAGGATCGCCCCAACACGACCCGGACCGTCCCAAACTTGTTGGAAAGCTTCAACGGGAGCGTCTCCCATAAACACACTCGGGCGGGGGATCTACATTGAGACCCTGAAAGTCAAGGAGAAGTTTGCTTCGAGATTACTGATTAGCTGGGCTGGATCCATGCCATTTTCAGGTTAAAGTTGGCGACGGCTGTCTGGAGATACCCCTGGCGATTCATCTCTGAACTCTGTTGGGTGACGGACCGAGCTCCTCTCACGAAAGGATAGCCTGGAGAATAACTCCCAGAAGGGCTGCGATGGAAATTATTGCCGGCAGCTAGATCTTGGTGTCTTGATCCCTGGGTGAATCCTTGGCAGATCCGCGGGATGTTGCACGAGGTGGGAGTTTTTCTGCATCATATCCGATGTTTATACTACGCATGGACTACCAGACTAGATTGTTGGTATAATTACTACTCTTGAAGTGTAAGACTGTTGACGACAACATTCTCGGCGAAAGAGCCCAGACCCAAATGAGAACGTCGTGATCGTGGTATCCGATTGCATGTTATCCAGGTGTTCCAAGCGGTGAACAACGATGTGAAACATCATCGGCAGGCCTTGCCAATTTTCATGTCGGTTCATTTGAGCTGGGTTGACAAGCTAGGTCTCGGTATTTCTAGCAAAGGATGACTCAAGATTCAACCACCCCTCCGCCTGGACGAATTGAAAATGACCTGGGTCTGATGATTGCGCGTTTTATCAACTTTCGAGCTCCTCCAAGAAGCTTGGGTCTCGGGGCAATCCGACTTGGCTTCGTCTGACAGGCAGGCTCTGAACTATGACCAGTTGCCGGCTACCGATAGGAGTGTAGGATGCGATACTCATGGACGGTAGTTCCTTTGGTGTACGGCCTAGAACGCTCATAGACACCTTTACGCACAGCTTTTAAGCTTATCCTTGCCTGCATACTCAAATAGTGTCGCCTGATGGATCTGATGTCGTCGGAGGCGTTCATATGCAAGGCTGGATCGGTCCGAAGTACACCTGATGATAAGAATATTCAGCTAGTATCATTTAAGTCTCCGTGATCTCCCCGGAAGTCCGTCAGAGAGTCCATCCCCATTTCTCCAGTTTCGATCTCATTTTAGATTATACTCTATTAACAACATATCAACATGAAATTTGAAGTTGCCTTCGTCTTGTTCCTAGGTGCCATCGCCCAAGCGGTCCCTCGGGCGATAGTGGTTAGTGAGGGCAACACCTATTTACGGGACCTTGAGGTAAGACCGATGACGTCCTGTTTAACTACGTGTATCTGTGAGACTGTAATAACTCTTATCATAAACTTCAGATAAAGGACGAAATTGCCGCTGGCACGGAGAGCTCAGCTCCTGAATGGGTCGCTCGACCTAAAGGAGTGAAAATACCTCCATCCGGCCCCAGTAAGAAGCACAATTGAGGTATGTGGATACTACAGCGCCCAATCCCTTACTATATACTGAAGTTCTTTGAACGCAGATTCCGTTCTTTTCATTCGACGTAACGAGAGATGAACGACTAAGGACTCTGATTTCACTCAACATTCATTTTAAGCATCGGAATCGCTAGGTATTTATCGACAGGAAATTGCCAGTCCAAGCCGTCACCTTGCTTCTCGAACCCCGAACCTCAGACAAGACCAAACTCCATACTTTGGTCTTACTACCCATCGGCCAAAATCTAGGGTGGGACAATGAAGATGAGTTCTCGGGCTTGTGTTGATGGGGGACGGTGTTTGGGAAGAGTTGCGGCAGTGTCTGTCTCGTCGGCGCGAACTTCCCTCTCCAAAGGAGATGGATATTGCTGCTGATGAGACTCCATTTCATCACAGTCATTCTCACATAAACGAGCTTGGTCCTCCCACCATTCGTTTGGGTTCAATGATGACAGCTCAACTCTTGTGCACGGAAGCCCTTCTGCTCGACACAGTCAGACGATAAAGTGCACAAAAAATCAAATGAGAACTATATCCATGCTTCTTAGCTACGATGATTCCATATTCGGCATTCTAAAGAAAACCGTCAACTGGCATCATGTTACATGTCGTCGGCCAGAAGGGTCAAAACCCCCTCGGCAACAAGTGGGGCCATACAGATTCAGAAGCGCAGTTGCAGGACCAAGAAGGAGACGGCACTCTGTCACTAGAACATATTCCAATAATGGTTGATGTGCTCCATTCTCCGGGGATCAACTCGGTTGCCGTGGTTCGCAACTCTAGGGCGTTGCCGGAAGGCGTGTTCGGAAGTTGTAGTCACAACAGAGACCGCGAGATGATTTCCGACTGGTTTATCCGCTCAGGTCGAATTAAACCCCCCTTCTCCGAACCAGATGAGACGACATGGAACCGTTTCCAACCAAGACGCCACAGCGCCATGGGTAGATTGCAAGGGCTTCCCATCTCTTTCACATGCGTCAGCAAATGCATCAAAAAGGCTCATCAACCTTTCGCTTGGAAGCACCAATTTTCTCTCTTGTGGCCAAGCAACGTTCATCTTTTCCAATAAGCGAGAAAGGCAGAAGGAAAATGAGGTTTGCCTCAAACGGATGACAGTTCGCTTGAGCTTGGGCATTTTTCGGATCCGCGTCTTGCCTTGGTGAAACGAAACACCTACCAGACCACTTCCCGGTGGGCGCTCGGCCGAGCGGGGGTGAGGAGGTCGACACCAAAACCGCTTGAGGTCCAGCCGCATCTTTCTATCCTTGAAACATTATTCTAGCAAGAAAACCGACAAAATGGAAAGGTCCAAGAGCACATGCGCCCCAAGATAGACTTAGTCCTGTCACACGATGACAGGGTGCACGGATGGATCAGCAATCTGCAGCGTGTGTCATGATATTTCCAGTCTGAAGAACTGATGTCTTGGATGTCGTGCCTGGCGGACCTGTCCGCCCGGATCCGAACCCCAACATCTCCGCTGCAGGCCAGCCATCAACCGTACATGAGAGTTTTGCGCGATTATTTCTTGCCTGTTTCGAACAAATTTAGAAAGAGACTACAAAGGGAAGCAGAAAATCATGAATCACATCAGGACTACGCCGTCCAATTGCGGAGGAAGATCGCCCGCACCGACATTCTCATGCGCATCCAGTGGTCCTCGGACGCGTGTGCTCGAGCCGACGGGACGGACACTACCCGTCACGTAATGGCCTACCTGCGACAGAAGAGCACAGCTATTAGGGAGACAAACTGCCTACTTGCTAATTTAGCCCCAGTACGTATGGCATGCATGGCATGACGGGCACTCGATCCCAGATTTGGTCCGTGTCATTACATGTCATGTTAGATTTTCGCCAAGGCCCTCTCGACCTTCACCGGCTCTTAATAACCCCTCCCCTCGAGGTCGACAAGCTCGAAAGCTTGCTCGAGTCAGCTCCTGAATGGCAGGGACTGCCCTTCAAATATCTTGAGTGTTCAGCCCATATTCCAGTACTAACCATCCCGCTGGAACCCGTCCTTCTCGTTTCGTTTCTGCCAAACGCAACAACACTTCTGCTGCTTATTTCCAGACCACAGCTGGCATCTTGAAAATAATGGTTTACACAGGGAAGCCCTCCGGGGGGTGCAAGCTGTGCAGGATAAGGAAGGTGAAATGCGACGAGGCGAAGCCATTTTGCCAAAGATGCACCAAGTCGAAACGCCACTGTCCCGGCTACGGCGCCGTTGTCCGCGACCAGAGCAAGTCGGCCGACAAGCTCAAGAAGATGAGGTCCGGGAGCTCCGACAGCAACAGTGCTATCGATCCATCAATACCGATCAAGAGCGTTGAAGTGGATGACTGGTACTTGGATACGACGGCCATTACCACAAGGAGAGGTTCTACACCAAACTTCAGATTGGGCGACAAGCAAGGCGACCTGATGAGTGTGTTTGAGAAGGTACCAGGAGGGTTGATGGACTCGTTGGATGAACAAGCTTCATGTCTTTTCTTGTCTGAATTCGTCAATGTGCCCTTAACACCGACTGCACGCGGGTATTACGCCTTTTTACCACGATTCCTAGGCAGCGGGACGGTATCGGTATGCCTTTCGCAGGCGTTCAAGGCCACATCCATGGCGGCGTTAGCTATGAGGCAATCGAAGGGTATGAGAGGTACAGCACTGCTGCGCGCTCAGGAGCATCACATCAAAGCATTGAGGGCGGTCGGGCAGGCTATCGCGGACCCCAAGGAGATGAGAAGCGATCAGACGTTGGGCGCCGTGATTATGCTGGCATTCTATGAGGTAACCGCTTGTCCGTGTCTCGAAGGTGAACGTCACTAACTTCTCAATCTGAATAGACATTGATGTCCCAAGACTCTATGAAAGAGTACATCAGTCATCTCAAGGGCGCCGCACGTATCGTGCAGATGCGCGGGCAGCAGTGCCTGGAAACAGTTGAAGGGAAAGAACTCTTTGCAATGACGAGGAACCAATGCCTCTCCGTGTCGAACATATTCAAAGAGGCTGAGATGTCCAGTTACTCGTGGCTTCTTTACAACGAAGCCATTCAGCAGAGCAACAAGCCGACTGTTGACATCAGTCTCATGGCCAGTCAGATTCAGCAGGCTGTCGACGGCATCATTGCCAAGGCCAGCTCACCGAGTCCCGAAGCGATTGAGAAAATGATGGAGCTGGTTGTAAAGGCACGACGATTGGAGGCAGAGTTTCGCAAAATCAACGACAACAACCCGAGTCCTACGTGGAAGGTCGAGACGGCGGAATACGTGTTCGACCGAACCGACGAAGAGCTCGATACGGAACCGACCTTCGAGGGACAAGTGTACAAGTTCTTCAACCTTCCGATGGCCGTGTTGCACCTCGTCACTTGGTGCACTCATCTCAATTTGATCACGACCATGATGCGAGCATCTTCATGGCTCGCCTCGGCTGAGAAGGAAATGTTCGAGGACGATGACGAGTATGATGAGCTAAATCGGATAGCCACCACCCGGGTTGAGGATATTGTTGGGGCAGTTCCGTACTTCTGCAGTTGGAACGGGTACGGAGTGATCGTTTCACAGTTTCCTTGTGGTACCACCAAGCCTGATGATCCTCTCAAGGGAGAGGCTGGGCTCATCGTTATGTGGCCGGTGGCCATGGCGATGAAGAGCGAATGGGCAACAGCACGACAGAGACGATACCTCAGAGGAAGGCTCCGGTACATCGCAGACGTGTCCGGCATCAACCAGGCGCGGTTCTTTGTCAACGAAGTTTAATCAGTTTTCTTTTGGCCGGGATGCATCATTTGGGTTGGCATTTGGGTTGTTTTTCAGGGGCGCTAGACGAGATACCACTCAGCAAACGGCGCTGGGGTGACGGCTAATGTGAGCTTACGATCTCGAGTTCGACGGTCACGAGTGTTACATGATTTAATGGACCATTTGCGGTTAGGATAATTCATACAATTGACGAGCGCATACCCACCAAACGTGCCTACTCATCCATGAAGACATCGCCAAATCGACGTCAGTTTCAGCGCAATCATCACGCAGGCGATTCCAAATGTGACGTCTACATATTCCGACATTCGCACTCGCATTGGCTGGGCTTTTCATACGCCATGCAGTTTCTGACAGCTGCATCAAGACATAAATTTAGCATCTTCGCCCAGAACGACGAAGTCTGCATTCTGCAGTGTCCAGGCTTTCGCTGTCGGCGTTAGGACGTCCTGCAATACCTAGTCCCCCTTGGGCTAGCCGGCTTGGTCGATAGTTTCATCCCATCATCCCCCGAACCAGCTTGCGTTTCGGCCGTTCATTAGCTGCAGGGCTCCGAGGCTGTCCAAACTGTGATAGATTCTGACTGAAAGGGGTCGGCAGCTCGTGAGTTGTGGCTGTGCAACGATGCTGCTGACAGCATTACGGCTGCGGGAAGAGGGTACCTTGGTTTTCCGGATGTGATTAACGTGTTTATTTTCTTACCACGGGCAAAATGATGATATTCAATCGGTTTCGAACAGCTATTTGGATGCATACGTAGCGTTCCTGCTTTCGAAATTCCGGGTTTTACAATGTGCGAGAAATTAAACGGATACGAACCACCTCCGGTTTCGCTTTCGCGAAGCAATAGCTTCGGACAGTGAAGCTACGTTATCGTTCAAAGATGCTTCCAGTGGGCATCGATAGAATGCTTAAGTGAGCTGCTTCTACAGTTGTGCCTGCACTTCCATTCCAGACGAACCAAAGCACACCTCATCGTCAGACCACTCTCCCAGCACGGGCCGTTGGAAGGGCGGCACATCGCCGTTCGAGCCCGACGGCGGGTCTTTTCATCCCGCAAAATCCGTGCGGCAGCAAGATCTATGTGACCTGGTAAATCGGAAAATTCATCCGTGGTCTCGTCTCCGGTCTTCAGCTATTCGAAGATGACGAGATCGGGCCTGGTCGCTAAGGAGAGATGCTTTCAGGAAGTCGCATGGTTTGCCAGGGATACTAAGCGAGGCAATGCTAATTCAACCTATATGCGATCTGATGTATATCACCCACAAATGGCAGCCTGGCTTGAACTTGTGACGTGATCTGATCCGAACGTCGGCTAGGACGTGGAGCGAACGCGATAGCGAGGAGCACCCCAGGAGTGAATATCAACATTCTCGATGATTTCAACTTAGTGACATCGTCATTGAGATGCACGAAGAAGTATTTTACCCGACGTCTTGGAACCCGCGCTCAAGGCGCGGCCGGCGGGATATGCACAGATGGTTTCCAGCATTTTGCCAAGGGCTTTTGTTTGCGCCGAAGAGTTGCGATGAGCATTGCTTGGCTCTGAACCACCGAAACATGCTCGGATGCCGCTTGCGTTCGCAGAAGAATCCCGAGATTCTCACAAACAGTTTATTTGAAATGTTTTGTGAAGATTGGATATATCATATCTCTCAGAGTCAAACGTGAGTCCTTCCATTACGGTACATAGGGCTTTGTCATGGTGGCATTCGTCGTCTTCGTTTGGAGATAATGATACAGACGTTGTAAAGCGCTTCGTACTATCAATTGATGCGTCTGGAGGAATAACATGCAGAGGTCGAAAATGGTCGGTTTATTAAGCTCTGGCTGTTTAGAGCGAGTTTGACGCAGTCTTGGATAACATTTCGCTGCTAGCGCTCGGGGTACATATCTCAGCTTCAGCCTCTGTCATTCACCTGCACCTTCATAATGACCCGTGATGATACTGATCATGCGCTGTGGTTCTCGAAAAGGTTCGAGAAGTTGCACTGAGGAAAGAAGACGAAGTTCACGATGATATTAGACGGATCACGCCCGAGATGCGACACATAATAATCTACGTTTACTCAAGGCAATGCTTCCCTATATCATGTTCTATGAGATATTCTGTGCATTTGAGACATTTCTTGAATTCAATTTAAGTCAGACGATTGTTATTTGATCCGTCGTTGAATTAGCGAAGAGTGATTCAAGAACTTCTTTGTCTTCCCGGCCCCATACGTCAAAACACCCAAACCGCTCATATTTGCCTTTTTCCTCCAGCGACTCAACCAAGACTAGATACGAGGACCACCTTGCAAAGTCTAGATCTTGGCAGAACACATTGGAGAGCTCATGAGGAATTGACCTGGCGATATTCAAAGCTTGAACCTCAGCTTCCAACATGTCTACCTCGGCTTCTTGCTTGCGTCTGGATATTTCCGTGGGCTTGCTTACGCCAATGACTCTCCATCATCCAGTTTGAAGTCTTTTGTTCCAAGAAGAAACACCAAGACGTTAGTCAAGTTGTAGCCGCGCCTCCTAGTCAGTCCGGCAACGTCGTCAGGCTCAAATTCGATAGACCAGCGATAGCCATGCTTCTCTAGAGATAAAAAGCAGATATCCTGGACCGTTCCATCTTCGTATATGCCTTGCGCAGAATCGAAGTCTAGTCCACCCACCATGTGACCATGTAAGGTGATAGATCCAGAGCACAGTTGACCCGTAGGTTCGTCTGGGATGACAGGCACCGTTTGAGCTTCGATGACGTTAGCATAAGATACGAATGGTGTGCTCGGACGACAGGTGAGATAGGAGATTGGTCCTCTCAAGTGTGCCCAACTCCAAGTCGGAGCGACATAAGCCCCAGATTCAATCCAATCTCCTTGCCTGTTGCGCGCCTTCAGCACGGCCATCCAGGCTTCCATGTCTTCCGTGCTTGTATCTCCTATATTTTCAACGTTTCTTCGATTAGTAGCTTTCATGAAAGCTTCCAGATCTGATGGTGACGGGGGCTTCCACGCCAGCTGAGCCACCAAGTCTCCTCTCCAGAGTCCGGCGAGGTACTCGTCCGGATCAGCGTCTGAAGCTTGAGCCATCAAACGGTGGAATCTATCCACAAGGCCTCGAAGAGCCGGCATTTTATCCGACTCATGTGCTAACGATCGCTTTGCGTATGCCCTAACAATAAGACGCCACTTGTCGTAGATGCTTTGCATGTCTTGTTCACGCCCCAGCGATAGTTCTCGTTTGGATGGACCAGATTCTCGACGGCACTCACACTCCGTAAGGGTATCGCACTCCCATGCCATTTCGTCACTAGTGAAATGCAGCACGCGTCGGCTCATCAGTCTTTCCTGCATCGTCCACCTTCTCGAATCGATGGGTTGGCTCAAGTCCAGCGAGCGGCTCGACACCGTGGAGTGAAATTGCGGCTTGATGAGCACCATCGGGGTGGCATCTCCGTCGGGGTCGCTGTAGGTACGATAATCAAGCTTCGACAGCGCTTGATCAGTTTGGAAGAGACCCTGAGTTGCAGAGTTGCTTGCATCAGCACTGAGAGTGAGAGTAGCACCAGAGTAGACAGCACACATGAGCGCCGCTTCATGGGCCCAGTCTTCCGCAGAGTCCTGTATGATACAAAGACGGTCTACCCAAAGATACCGCAGATCGAGTTTCTTAGCTGCATGAATTGCATCTCGGATTGTCTTCGGCAGGCTTTGAATTTTGATGCCTTCGAGATGAGAGTGGTAATTCTTTGTCGTGGTAATGAGTCCAGGTGCCCCGGAACCCCAGCAATAGCTGAGAGCCGCGTACTCACCGCTCTCATCTTGGGCTTCTCGGAGGAAACTCGGTCTTGATCAGGCCCATGAAGGTCGATTACTCGTGTTGGCAAGAGAGCTGGCCAAGGTATGTTGCACGTTGTATGCCGTTCGCGGCAGTTATCTAGCCACTTCTTTGCCAGAAGCAGCGCCTCATCTGAACCTGAACTAGGTTGGACCTTTGCAAGGCTCGCGGGTTTGAATCTCTGCTCATCTGAAGTGAGGGGGTTGATGCCCATCTCATGAGACCATTCTTGGTCAAGTTGTCAGTCAATTCGGCAGCACTTCCCATGTCAAGATAGACCTTACCCATTGGCGGCCCGACCTGCAGCTCTCGTTCCATGTTGCCAACATTCTGGCTTTTCCTGGTGAACTGTTCCCCTTGAAGCTCAAAGCCGCTTTCCTCTGTACCAACGTCCACAACGACTGCAATTTCCAACCAACTCGACCACGGCTGTCTCACCCGAATGGTTACTCTTGTATCTTCATCCGGGGGCCACTGAATGTCGTCCAAGGGATGTTGTAGCAGGGCAGTCCACACAAACGAGCAGAAGCCACAGGCCCTAGCTTCCCCGACCCGCTTGAGAGTCGCGCCCGATGCCGAATACTCTCTGTATGGACCCCGGAAGTTGTCGCCTGGGTGCAACTCGAGCGGTGTCACCCCCTTACAAACCGCACATATTGTCGGCAAGATCTGAACTAATCGATGGTCTTGGTTATGAGCGATTCCTTGACCTAGAAGCACGATACATTCTGAGCAGAAGTCGATTTGTTCCGAGACGCAGTCCAGACAGGAGTATCGAGGTCCAGAAATTCTATCGTCCTCGTTGTCTGTGGCGGGACACGTTGGATTGTCGCAGCAGGCGTCGTCGTGTCTCAACGGATCTAAAACAAGGCGATCCTCGAGGCCATTTGTGAGTTGATAGACTGGGTTCGTTATCCCGTCGGGGATGTCATCGAGTCGTTTTAATGGCCTTTCGCAGAAGAGTAGGATGTGCGACTTTTCAATAATGGGTAAGATATCCATGATGATGATGTAAACCCTTTACGCTATGTGAGGCGCATTTGAATTGACCGGTTTCAATCCTGATGTGGAAAGCAGCACCACTTCATGTGTTTTCTTGCAGCACGAGCTTCAGGCTCCAGCATTTCGAGCGACTGAGAATTAGGCATCTGGTTGGTGGTTCCGCTTACGTTGTGTAGCGCCCTAGCATAGCCCACCAACTGAACCCATGCTATGCAAGGGTCATTCACAATGGAATATCACGTTTTTTGAGGCACCATGGTCGAGACCGTAAGCACCAGCGAAATGTCTACACAATCTGGAGCCTATGCTTCACTGTACTTTACCACCGAAATTTAACCCAGTTTCTTTGAATGCGGTCATGTCAACCTTATGGTGGAAATGGAGACCTCAGTTGCGTCATCTTCCATTAGGTATTATATCGATTCGCGCCCATCGCGGTCAAGTCACCTTTTCTACAAGCAGCACCACTAATCCTGACAACTTCGTGACGATGTTTTCTGTCCCCATGAATGGATATCCTCCTTGGTTTTGATTGTGGGCATAAGTGCGCTGCATTTGCCCCTTTCCTACGTCTCCTTCTTCCTAGAGCATGTTATCTAGTAACCGTAGCCACCACCGCCACCACCACCGGTGGACGGGGGAGAAGAGTTGCCTTTGGGAGGTGCACCACCGCCGCCACCGCCGCCGCCGCCGCCATACAGTCCACCGGGTGAGTTACCCTTGGGAGGGGCAGATGGACCATTGCCGCCCGGGGGAGAGTTGCCCTTCGGAGGAGCAGATGGGCCGTTGCCTGTCGGGGGAGAGTTGTCCTTCGGAGGCGCACCGCCCCCACCGTACTGTCCACCGGGTGCATTGCCCTTGGGCGGGGCGGCCGGACCGTTGCCTTTCGGCGCAGCAGGGGCGTTGCCTTTAGGCGGGGAAGACGGACCGTTTCCGTACTGCCCGCCAGGAGCACCACCCTTCGGCGTAGGAGGAGCAGGACTGTTGCCTGATGCTCCGGGGCCTGATGGACGCGGGGGAGGTCCGATGGGCTTGCCTCCTCTAATCTCATCGGGAATGTTGGGGACTGGACCCTTGCTGGCGACCCAAGTGTCGACGTTGCCCTGGTCGGAGGCAGTGAAACCGGACGGAGCCCAGCGTGCGGGAAGTGACTTTGTGCATTCCGTCAAGTCGTTGATGTTGTAAACGCCCAGAAGAGAAAGACGGACGTATTCGTGAGCGTAGGCCTGATGCAAAGTTAGGACGTCCATGAGAGAAGTATCAGCAGATGAACTTACCGCGTTCCACGCAGCTTGGCCACCAGGACCGGCGAAAGCAGCGAACTGGGCGCTTGTGCTAGGGTACTTGGATAGTGCAACGTCGCTGTTGAACTTGAACACGCGCGGAGGAGCGTTACCGATGGTTTCGGAGTAGAACTTGACATCCCACACACCAGGGGTGCTGTCCTGGGGGTCGCCAGAACGCGAAGGGTCGACAAAGCGTTGTTGACTGGTCGTGTGCGCACCAATGAGCGAAATGAGGCCGTACGAGCTGATAGTTTTGTTGTTGAAAAGATCGATTAGGGCATCAGCTGGGCTGTTGACGTCGGGAAGGAGGTTGGGAGGAGCAGCAACTGATGAATCCTTTCGTCCAATAAAGGTCCTGACGCGAGGACCTAGGGGACACACAACGGTAGCAGCGTTTGCGGAGAACTGGATGAGATCCGCCATGCTGATTCCGTATTGCTTGTACTTATTGTACCATGTCTTGGTTTGCTCGATGATTTCTTCCAAACCCTTGTTCTCGACGCGGGTTGCTTCAGAAGAGGACAACACAATCGAGCCGTCAGCGCCACCGAGGTTGCCGGTTCCCTTAGACCAACCAGCAGCATCGTGGAAACCAAGGCGAATCGCTGCGCGAGCGAAGTCGGTGCAACGGCCAGATTCACCTCTGAAAGTGGTTGCGAGGTCGTCAGCGATGTACTTCCAGATGCAGCAGGTGTCGGCAGCGCAAGCTGGTGTATCTTTGGCTGGGAGTGCGCCATTGTTGGGAGCAGGAGGACTACCGGCTCCTGGAGCTGACGGCTTGCCACCGGGAGTAGAAGGACTACCGCCTGGAGCAGGCGGCTTGCCTCCTGCAGGGGCCGGAGGAGCACCGCCATATGACCCACCTCCCGGGACCGAAGGTGGGGCGCCACCGGGAGCAGGAGGCTTGCCACCGCCAGGAGCTGGAGGAGCGCGACCTCCGGAAGCTGGAGGCGGACCACCTCCACCAGAGGGAGGAGCGCCGCCTCCACCACCTCCAGAAGGCGCACCACCTCCGCCGCCGCCACCACCCCCGTAACCGTAGTCTCTGGGATGGACAGGAGCGGATCTCTTCTTGCCGGAAGGGTAAGCCTCGTCGCTCTCGGCATTGCCGGCACCAGACAGGAGCTGCTTGATGTTCTTGCCAACGGGCGTGAGCTTCGAGTCGTCGAGCGTCGCGAGATCGCCAATGATCTCGGTCGACTTGCCGCCGCTGGAACTGCCCTGGCGGGCCGCAATCTCGGCGAAGGTGTTCTTCATGCCGGGGTAGCCCAAGACGGGAGCTGCCACGAGGGCTGCGGTGAGGATGGAAACGCGCATGATGAGACGGCGAGACCAGCTGGCGGATTATTAAGCAACGAACGTGTGATTAAAAGCGAAGGTGTAAGAGAGAGAACTTCTCTTGGGTATTATGAACGAATGTAGAGAGACGCAAGCTCGAAGCCGATGTGATCTGAAGAGAACCAAGACTCATGATTGCGGGAGTTGCTGGTCCCTTATATGTTGAGTTGTAGTTCGGAGGACTTCACCTTTCAGACCCGATCGCAAGATGCGAAACCGCTCCGTCTCCTCAAAATTGAGCTGGGGAGCCGTGAACCGGTGCTAACATCGAATTGCTTCAAAAGGTCCTGAAGCACGTTGACGCCGGCCTTGACCATGGCGCCGGTGTGGTGGTCGACTAGTTGCACTACGGCTACATTGAGCCGGACGCAATCCTGGAATCCCGGGTATCGGATGCGATCTTGCTCAGCCTCGCCTTTTGGGTAATACGTGAAACTCGATCGGGCTCGTGGCTGCTAGCTACCGTGGTCTCGTAGTCTGCGGGGCGTCGTCGAGAACCGTGGGTGGCTTGCACCAACCTATGGAAAGCTTGACATTGTCATGCTTGTGTATGCGTCGGTTCTTTGGTCTTCAGACCATCTTGTAGCTTATGTATTGACTGGCCATAGCATCGGCAATTGTAACTGAATCTTCTGGCCTTGATGAGGTGTTGAGCTGCTCAGATACTCGTGCATGATGCGTGACACCTGCCATTGAAGCTCACATCACGTCTGCGCACCTGCCAACCCCATCCGAGTGACTGAATGACTGTTGACAGACATCCCCAGACTTGCCATGAAAATAGACATGCGCCTAGAAAGGTTCCGGACTAGCAGATCGATGAAGAAAAGGGGCAACCGTCTTAGCGCAATGAACCGTTCGCACATTAGCCGTTTGTGGCTGATCCGATGTTCTGTTTAATACGAATTGGCTTTGCCTAGTAGCAAAACGCCCAGATTAATTCGAATTCACCTGAAACAAGATGGTCATCAGCGAAGACGCCATAGGCCTAGGTAAACAGCGCTAATAAGCTTGTTTCTTTCCAAGAGCTCTTGACGTTGGAATAACACATCGCGGTGGAATAACTACGACTGCATCCTGACGTGTGCAATTCGTGATTTCCTGGATTGAATGTTCACAGCTATACCCGGATGTCATAAGAGACTTTAGTGCCATAGAACATTGTGGGGTCACCTTTCCGACCGAGGAAAATACCAGACAATGCGCGACCTGCAAACTATACGAGGGGCATATACAATCTGCGACTTCATACCAGAAACAAGTAGTGAAACTCGTGAATCTCGTATTACCCCAGGTATTCCCAAGCTACTGTGCGACTCGAGGACTTGTCCGTCCTAAAGGAAATGTTCGTGCTCCAGCAGCTGCGAGCGACGGTCGTCTGCCGGCTCGTTACCGAAACTGTTCGGCCAACAGACCAGCAAACCGTCCGTTGAGGTTCGGCATGTCACGCATGTAGCAACGTTCTGCGTCGTCGACCGTCAGAACGAGCCTCAAACTCTCTGCGCAGATGCCTTCTCCACGGCATCAGCGACGATCGCCGCGCCCGCAGCTGTCACGATTTGTTTCCGAGCAGGCTGCAACCCCATGCCGCCGTGTCTGACTTCTGCTGCCGACGGAACACAGATCCGGTTTCGTTTCGGCGATATTTTTGGGATCGCGGCCGTCGTTCGGCATGCCACCCATGACAAGGACCTTAGTCAGGTAATCCCCTCATCATGACTAAACCACATACCTTTCCACGTCGTGCCTACTTAGTTGCCTTGACGAGTTAGACCGGTTCCTGATTCGCACAAGCAATCCCGGCCAACGTGAGAGTTCACCTAGCTTGGGCTATAAACACAGTTGATGATTCACAATGCGGGGAGTTGTTGAGCTGTTGTTTTCTAGTTGCTTGAGTGTATGTGTATGGAAAGGTAGTAGTTCTCACCACGGCCTGTGGTTTTGGGGAGGGTATCAAATTATGCTGGCTGGCGGCTGTCTTTTGTCTATTACATGCAAACGCTCATACGCCGACATGTCCTTCCTCGCTTCTCCATGCAGTCTATGAAGCAGACGCTTGTCACTGATATGTGAGGCCGAGCAGGATATTATGGGTGCAAAGGCTGTGTGCCTGCGGAAGGCGTGAGACCATGATAGGCCATTGTATTACGGTGGTTTGGTGTCCTGCACCTGGCGTCGTAGAGTCGGCGAACCCGTACTGCGTCGAACCTGCAGTGCAGCTTCGAGTGAGCTCGGGTGTTGAGTGGAGTGAACTTGTGTCGATGTCCATTATCTGTACCCTGATGGAGCGTTGTCAGATATCTGGCTAGGTTAAATATGAGACGGTTGTGTCGGACTTACATTGACCCTCGCTGTAGTTCTTCATTTCCTGTTGATCCAGTAGATGAAGCCCCCAACCCCAAAGATGCACGTCGCAGCTATCACCGTGTTAGTCTGCATCATAGGAGACCCGACAGAGTGTCACGTCGACTTACCAACTGCTAACGTCTCGAGCACCGTGTGATCAACACTCCTCTTCATCAACATCGTTCCAACCTCAACAGCTCCCTCCTGGAGGAGCCTCGCATCGATGACGGGCATGGCGGCTTGTGAGAAGAAGAAAACGTAATAATACTGTTCAACGATGGACAAGAAAAGAACTGGCCGGGTATGTAATGTCGATCACCGGGATCAAGAAATGATGGGTTGGCGTTTTGTTCCTCCGTGGACGACACTAAAAACAGATCAAGAGCCGCCTCGTCTTACACGGGAGAGCAGCAGCGCGGCATCCATACATATAAAAAACCACAAAAGCAAGTCTTGGGGAACCATCGAAATTGGGGCCCCCCGGTTCCGCCATCACCCCGGTCACAATCATAACCTGTGTCTGTCTAGGTCCCCCGAGGTCTCCGCCCCGTCGCAACAAATGAACTGCGCAATCACCTTATCGTGGGGACCACCGCGCCGTCCGCCTCAGCGTCCCGGGGGATATGCTGTCGAGGAAAGGCAAGGCAAGGCAAGGCCAAGGAACCACCCCTTTCCCCCTCCCCCTCCCTTAGCATGAAGCGCGCGTCTGGGTTCGCACAAAACTGCCGTTGGGGTGGCCGTCTTCGACACGCGTGGGCTTGGGAATGGGCTCATGTCATCTCATTTCGGGTTTCAGTAGGGGGCAGCTCATGCAAGGTCCCACGTTATCTTGGCTTTTGCCCAAATACCACGAACGGGGAGATAGGTAGTTGTGTGGCCATGGGCAAATCACCAATTAGAGCCCCCCCCCCCCCCCCCCCCGTTCCGCAACTTTTTGGATGTGGTCTGGGTTCCTGGGTCCCGGTACCCATTGAGTAAGGTAAAAGAAAAAAGGTGTGGTTTCGGCGCCGCGTTCCTTAAAACGGGCTGGACCCGACCGGGGTGCGCAATTTGATGGATGGGTTTGGGCGGGCGGTTTCTGTTACCGTACGGAACACCGCCACATACGACGACGAGTTTTGAAGCAAGTCGACGCGGCCGATTTACGGATCTGCGAACGACTCGGCTGATGATGGAAATCATAAAAGATACTCTGGATTCTTTTTGGTTCTGCGAGGTTTGAACTTTGAGCAGGCCCGGCTGTGTGGTTCGCCATTTGCATATGCAGTGTTGGTCTGTGATGCGCAGTGTGATATGTTGCTGCCGCCGCTTTCGTCCTGTCCAACATCCCACCTCACGCCCATCCTATCCTCTTCACAAGCCTGAAAAATCACCAGACATACCTGGCTTCGTGCTCCCATCGGCATCACTTCAGAATGTCACAAAACCGCGTGGTCCTGCCGCGAGTCCTGCGGCGGAAGCACATCACCTCGGTGGGGGGATCTCACCACCAGCGCACCCAACGACCCGTTTCAGCCTCCTGAAACAAGGAGGATCTGCGGGTAAAAAGGTCGCATGAACCCCTACTTTACAGCACGCTTAGTGGACGTCTTCCCCCCTGAGCCCTGGCGCATCTGCCCATAATGCCACAACCCGGCGACACGGGGACATTTATTAGACGACGACGACTGCCTACCAAGTACCAGACGCAGACGCCGCTTGCTGTCTCGTCGGGACACATGCGTGTGAGTATGTGCGGCGCTTTCAAACTGGTTCCGCAATCCACATGCCTTATTGTTTAAAAACCGGGCTTGTGGTTGGAAACACGTGGGGGTGGAAGGGGGCCTTTTTCTCCCTTCTCTTACTTTGGTGTTGGTGGTGTGTGTGACTTGGTTGTCGGAGAATATGCATGTCTTGTGCCAGACGACTGGATAACGTCGTCACCCATCTCGAACGAAAAAAAAAAAAAAGCCAAGATGAACAAGCCCGAAAGGCAAAATGGATCTTGGCAGCTGCCCACCACCACTACCGTCCCTTTTCCCCGTGACAGGCTTCGCGACAGCTTGGCTGCGTGGCTTTGGCCTTGGCCGTGGTCTTTTCTTCTTCAAAGCTGCCATTCAGAGTTTAGATGATCAAACCTGGTGTCAGCAATTTTCGAGGCTTGGAGGCTGAACAGCGTAAGTTGCTACCCTTCTGGCAGATTCGGGCGGTAAATTGGAGGGTCCACTGGGTAAGAGTGCCCAGGGAATTCTAGATCTGGCTGTTGAATTTCAAAAGTGGCGCTGGTGTGTGTTCCTTGTCCGGGTTCCACCGCTGACTCCGGCTTCCGGTGTGGAAGTCGCTGAAGATGACTGGAATTAATTATCAGAGGGCTTGGCTTTGCTAGAGTACTTAAATGTCTCGGTTCTCGCTGCTGCAGGGCCGATGCTAGGTGTTGCAAGCCATGGAGGACCTTCCTGGGGATGGCACGGTTACCATGCCGCGTCGTCTGGTTACACGCATCTCAGATTTCGTACTCCCTACTTCGGAGTCCGTGGTGTTCATCAGCCGGTGACTTGGTAGGCGCCGTGAGTGTGAATACAAACTTTCCAGATGTTGATGACTGAAATTTGAAGATCGAATCTGCCGTCGTCGAATTCTCCGTTGTCTCCGTGCTCCGGTATGTCACAGAATCGCTCCCATGGTTGCCAAAACCACCATGGCTCATATTTCACAGGATAGACGGAAGGATCTGGGTTGACCGTTGAAATCTGAAGCCCAATCCCCCAGAATCCTCCAAAGTCATGGCCCGAGTGACTAAGGCATACTCTATCCCAACGACGGCCTCTCTTGGTCCTCCCGCCTCGGACCGTATTCAACTCTTTCTTCCCGTTCTCCATCGCCTTCCAAGCCATGTCCCTGAACTTGTTCGTCGATGCCCTCTTTTTACACATAAGCGTGGCTTTCAAGCATGACAACGCAGTTACACGAGACCACGGCATAGTGCAGAAGCCAGCCGAGACTTGCATTACCGCCTCTCTTGGCGACGAAGAGAGTGGGCGGGGATGGCTGGACCGCGGGCCGCCGCCCCACACACTCACCCGCATCTTGAGATCTCGGGATCCCGTATCGCCCCGGTTGCATATCGAGGCAACAAGAAAAAGAAAGCAACGACGCATCTTGCAGCAGTCGCATGTTCTAGTCCAGCCTTGTTGACGTGTCCTCGCATCAAGCCTCTGCTAGCATTTTCGCGCCGGCGTGGGTGCATGCCTCCTCCGCATGTGACCCATGTGGGGTTAGCTTTTCCAGAGACACACATCCGACATCAAGATGGTGCTAAAAGGCAGTCTAACACCCGCATAGCTGCATTGCCAACACTCCTCTATGCCGTTCGCCTTCCGGCTCTGATAAACCACGAGTCCATCTCATTTTCAACCATTCGCCTTTGCCACTAGATATTTATGAAGGCAGGCGACCCTCTTTGCAGCGAACATTGGGAGGGGAACTTCATGCGGGAAAACGGGATCCTCGATTTCCCCGAACCCGTGTTATTCGTCTGAGCCTGATGTTTTTTCCGCGACGCATCAAAGCCGAAAGAAGAATCGCGTTTTGTCACAGGCCAAGAAGCGTCTGAGCACCATCGCCCTTCTACACACCTGTGGGTGGGAGACTGTCGCCTCCCCGGGAAACCCGGCCTAATTGAATGAAAAGAGAGGAGATCCAGATACAGAAACAGAGCAGTCCAGGAAATCCCAAGGAAGCGAATCTGCATCTCTCATTGACGCGAAAATGAAGCCTTGGAGGATATCAGCCCTCCTCACAGCCCTTTCGGCGTTATCCACGACAGCAACATCAGCGGAACGATGCGCCCCGGAAACGTTCGCCCTCCCGCAGCAGCCCCTCCCGAACGCTGTCCTGGTGAGGGTCCTCGCGACGCCCGTCCGTGGGCTGCGCTTCACGCCCACGTCGCCCGAGGGCCGCGCAGCCATCCCGAGTTCGGGCGTCAGCTTCTGCAACGTCACGGTCGAGTACGTCCACGCGGGGTTCGAGGACCTGACGCGGGTGCAGGTGTGGCTGCCGCTGGCTGGTGCTGGTGAAGGGACAGGCAGTTGGAACGGAAGGTTTGTCGGGGTCGGCGGGGGAGGGTACTCGGCGGGGCAGTTTGGCAGCGAGGCGTTTGGGGCGAGGGTCGCGCAGGGGTATGCGGGTGAGTCTCTTTTCTTATCTGGGTGTTCGGGTTTCCATTCCTATGAATTTGGCATGTCTCTGCGGTTTACACGTGGGTTGGTTTGCGAGGAATGCCGAGGGCTGACTGGAATGCGTAGCCGCCGCGACGGATGCGGGGCACGACACCACGAGCTGGGAAGAGGCGCCGTGGGCGCTGAACGCCGACGGCACGGTCAACTCGCGGCTGCTGGAGAACTACGCGCACGTCGCGGTGCACGACATGACGGTGATCGCCAAAGCGGTCACCACCCAATACTACGGCCGGGCGCCCGCGTACGCGTACTGGGCGGGCTGCTCGACGGGCGGGCGGCAGGGCATCATCGAGGCGCAGCGGTACCCGGAAGACTACGACGGGATCCTGTCGGGCGCACCGGCGGTCAACCAGCCGAGCCTGATCGTGAGCACGTACTGGCCGCAGTTCGTGATGAACCGGATGGGCGTGTACCCGCACGTGTGCGAGATGGTGCTCATGACGCAGTTCGCGGTGGAGGCGTGCGATGAGATTGACGGGGTGAAGGATAATGTGATTGCGGACCCGGATAAGTGCGACTTTGACCCGGCGAGCGTGGTTGGGCGGGAGCTGGACTGTGGTGGCGGGAGGGTAATGGAGATGTCGGCGGCGGCGGCGGAGATTGCGCGGGAGATTTGGAGAGGGCCGCACGACGAAGATGGGAAGCCGCTGTGGCTGGAGAAGGGGTACCCGATCGGAGCGCCGTTTACGGGGCGGTTCGGGCTCGGGAACGTGAACTGCAGCGTGCCGGGGGCGCCGTGTACGGGGCACCCGTTCCGGATGTCGGTGGAGTGGATCCGGAACCTGGTGCACAAGGACCCCGGGTACGACGTGGCGGGGATGAACTACGCGGAGCTGGAGGCGGCGTACGCGCAGAGCCGGCGGGAGTACGAGGTGCTGATCGGGGCGAACGACCCGGACCTGAGCGGGTTCAAGCGGCGCGGGGGCAAGATGATTAGCTGGCACGGACTGGCGGACGAGTGCGTGACGATGCGGACGTCGCGGGACTACTACGACAAGGTGCTCAAGAGGGACGGCCGGGCGGGGCGGTACTACCGGCACTTTGAGGCGCCCGGGGTGTATCACTGCTACGGGCTCAACGGGACGTTTTACCCGCTCAAGGGGCTGGAGACGCTGCGAGCGTGGGTGGAGGAGGGGGCGTTTCCCGAGGTGCTGGATGGGTTTAGGCTGAGCGGGGGCAACGAGAGCGAGGCGCCGACGAGGCCTTTGTGTGCGTACCCAGCGGCGGCGAAGTTCAAGGGGGGCGATCCGGCGAAGAGGGAGTCGTGGGGTTGCGAGAGGAAGGGCGGGTGGTATAGCACTTGGGGGCGGGATGAGTTGTAGAAGGACACGGGGAGACGTTAGAAGTGGATATAATTCATTATCAAAAGTAGTTACATCGCATAATACATATTGGTTTAGATGAGGTCCTGAACTATGTGTTAATTAGCTGGTAGAGAGTATGACCGAATAATGCTCCCCGAGGAGACTACAGTTGCAAAGAAAAGAGGGATTAAACTTCTGATAGCGCCAGCGGAATTGCCGTAGCGCAACGTGATAGTGCCGTGGCTTGGGCTGAAGGGCCACGTCTTTTCTGAGGCTAGTTGCGAGTCACCAAGACTCCTCCAGCTACGAGTATCACATTTGACATTTGCCGGTGACAAACAGCAACAGCAAAACATGCAATTGCTACAGCCACAATCAGGTGAAGTTGACAAACGGGAAACAGCATCGGGGAATGAAAAGACGGGAAGCAGCAGGTGGAGCCTTTCCTCCGGAATTCGCTCCGCCAATGGCACCCGTCGAGAGAAGGAGCATCCCCGCCGGTTAGCCGTTATCTTGCCTTGGGCTGCTTGGGCGGGGCTTGGCTTAACCCGAAGCGGAGAATCAGGGTCTCAAGCGAAGGGCGCTAGTTCGTGATTACATAAGCTCCGGGCCACCTGCAACTGCCCGAACCTGCAGAAAAACGTGACTCTGAAGGAGGATTCGCTCCACTGGCGGGAAGCCGACGGGCCCCGTTGGCCTCAATCAGAGACACGATTGGACGATTGGGGGTGTCGCCACCTGTGGCTTTCTGTGGTGCCTTCCCACAGTTCACAGTTTTCAGGGTCCAGAGCATGCCGCTCCCCGCTTCTGTGCTGATGTTCGCATTTCCCGTGCCTGCCCTGCCATCCATGGGCAAGTGGGATTCATGGATGCCCATAGCTCCTCCCTCCTGATAGTGGCCTCTGGACCTGCGTGTGCCGTTGCTTCCATTTCTGCCTGCATTTTGGCTGCAGCTGTTGCATTTCTTCGTGGCTTGCTCTAACAGAGGCAATTACCGGCCTGAGTAAGTGGACAGGTCCTTCCTAGCTTTTGAGGCCCGGCCGGTCCCTTCCCTGGCACCTGCCGCCATGTCCGTCATTTTGGCAAAGGAAAAGAACAGGCAGGAAGTCGCCCCCTCCCCCTCGCCCCTCCCCCTCGCCCCTCCCCCTCCTGCCACACACAGAGTTCAGGTACTTTCCCGTTCCCGTTCCCAGCCCGTTTAAAGAAAAGAGCGCTCGCTCGAAGAAACCTCGATCTCGATCTCCTGCTTCACGTCCGAAGATCGAGCACCACTCCCACTCACCCTCCACCGGCCGCATTCAATCTCTGGCCACCGTGTGCGCCTGTGCAGCACCCCAAGAAAACCGCCGAGAGGGCCGCTGCATCACTTTATTCGTTTGCTTCATTTATCCTCCGGCGCTATCGCCGTCCAACCTCTGATCTGCTGCCGCCGTTCGATCGATCGTCTCGCTCCGCCCACCGCGAGCGGTCGCAGCGTCGCGCAGCGCAGCCCACCCCCCGTGAGTGAGTGACGGACGCCGGGCCTGGCCGCTGCCGGAATCGATCAGATTCAGATACAGACATTTCGACTTTCCCATCATTTCCCCCATCCAATTCTTCAAAATTCCGTCCCACGCCATTACCGTGCGGCCCCACGTGCGAAGCCTCTGCTTTCGACCCGCCCGTGGGCCCCCGGCTCGATTGATGCCTTCCGGCCCCAAGAGTTCACGATCCGCTTCACCCTCGAGATCTGAGTCGTCGCGCAGAGGCCGCGATGCCGCCTCCGCCGCCGCCGCCGGTATCCCCAAACCCAACCCGGCATCATCGGCGGCATCCGGCTCCCGCGACGACCTCAGTAGCGATGGAAAAGCAGACTCTGCCACCCCTCCTCGCCTCTCCTTCAATCACCTGAAGCAGGGCGAGAGCCATCAACGCGTGAGTCCTTTCTACTTCCTGTACTGCTGCCTTATCTGCTTATCATCCTTATCTACCCTGCCCACCTCCACCATCATCCTACAACATCCCCATTTCCCATCAATCCATCAACCCCATTCTAACATTTTAATCATCCCACAGATTCGCCATGGCGCAAAGCAGCTGCTTCGCCTGACGGAAAACTTCGCCGGCTACAATGGCCCCGGCCCCGACGGTGGTTATGACACCACCAACGACCAGGCTCTGCCCAGCGATAGCGACATACGCGCCATGACCAGGCTGTCACATGGCATCGCTCGCGACATCAGCCAGATCATGGCCCTCCGGAAGGATGATCCGGGCCAACACAAGCGAAAGAGCGTGGAGGAGCAGTTCGGCGCAGTCGGCCCTTCCACCAGCCAGGCCGGCATGGCCATGCCCGACTACGCGAGCACCGCCGGCCGCACCAAGAACCGCCGCAAGGTTGAATTCTCGTGCCACAAGTGCCACCGCGTCGATACCCCCGAGTGGCGGCCCGGCCCGGACGGCCCCAGCACCCTCTGCAACGTCTGCGGCTTGATTTACGCAAAGAGAGAGCGCAAGAAAGAAGGTTCCACCATGCCGACCTTTGGTTCTCCCAACTTTTCTTGAATACCCATCGCCCAAGTGGGCGTGTGAGACGTTTGCGGTACGATTTCTTTTTTACATATTGTGATGGCTGCGGGAGGCCTTGTGGATTATGAGATTTACATGTAAGATACCCCCCGCGATGAGGGACCCGAGAGGACCGTTCGTGTGTTCGTTTGTGTTGGAAAAAGGCTTTGCAAAGGGATTTGGGAATGCTGGCGCAATCGGCGCAACTGGGACGACGGAACGTGAATATACCCGACAAGAGCTTGATCTTTCTACCTTCTAATACGAATTTTGTTTGTACCCCAATGTACCACCGCAACGTTACCTGGAGTGGTACGATGCTTGGCGTCCACGCTAAGCTCCTGGACGAACCCCGCCCAGCTCACCACTTCTCGTCGAGATGTGTTGGGGGCCATATTTCGTCCCTTGCCCAACAGCAGAAAGCTCAGCTGAAGCAAGGGCTAAACCGTCCCATGCATGTCTGACTTTCAACGTCAAGTGTCTCTAATATTGTCAAGTACCGTGTTCAGCTGAAAGCTGAGAAGATGCTATTTCGGACACGACAAAGGAAGAGTTGCCCATCCCGCCCGGCGCTAGCTTCGTCCGCCCCTCCCCTCCCGCAGTCGTCGGGTACGAATAAGCATGATGAGGCACAGCTTGCAGATGCCTCCGAGAGCCGCGCCGGAGATGCGGGGAAAGGCGCGGCAGATCTGACCCATCTTGTCAGCCCACTGGGAAGAGAGGAGGGGAAAATCAAGCGCGCCCACAAACGGCAATGCCAATGCTGAGCGGCTCCGCAGCCGACGTTGCATGCAGGCGCAGAATCTCGTATTCCGCTCGTCACGCGGTTATGATGATTTTGGTGATGGCGATCCCACACCGTCATTTTTCATCTACTAAGCCTCGTGTTCGTCCTGAGTGTCGTGACATCGTGGGTGGTTTGTTTGGGGGGGTGGGATTGTCTTGGTTCGGCGATTTTGAGAGGGTGATCGTCTGGATCGCTGGAGACAAGTGGTGTTGTCGGTGTGCGTTGGAGTGATGCTTGTCAGCCTGTTTGGGAAATGTCATGACAGTACGGATCAACCGCTCGTATTTTGTCTTGGGTCTGGGGCTGTAGGGCATATCGCCCGAGGAAGCCGACGATGTCTTGAAGTCTCTTCCGTCGTCATTGCTACCACGATCCAGGTATTTAAGTCAACGGAGCTTTCAACAACCCACCTCTCGTTCTCATCATCATCCTATCAACCTCAATCACCACAGTCTCGAACTCTCAAAATCACCAAACCAACACAAACCACCAAAAATGCAGCTCCCTTCCCTCCTCCTCCCCCTCACCCTCGCCCTCGGCGCCAACGCCCTCGGCCGCGCCGTCGTCGTCAATCGCTGCCCGACCGAAGTCACCCTCTGGTCCGTCGGCGGCTCCGTCTCCGCGGCCAACACGCTCTCCCCCAACGGCGGCTCCTACGGCGAGACCTTCGTGCGGGACGCGACCACCGGCGGCAAGTCGCTCAAAGTCACGAACGCGAGGGACGGGCTGTACACCGGCGCCGCGCAGCTGAATTTCGCGTATAACCTGGACGGGAGCCAGGTGTGGTATGATCTGAGCACGGTGTTCGGGGACGCGTTCGCGGGGAAGAAGATCACGGTCAAGGGGAAGGCTGGGTGTGGCGAGATTGTGTGGGCGGCGGGCACGAATCCGGGGGGCAGCCAGGTGAAGGTTTGTGGGAGCGATGGGGATGTGACGTTGACGCTTTGTGCGGCTTAGATGATGGGTCAGAGGGACTAGATGGACGATGTGAGGGTGGAGGAGATGAAGAATGAGGATTAAGGAGGGATTTGGGAATAGTAATGCATAATGTTTGAATGCTTCGCGAGATGTCTCCTCTAGCTTGGAGTTGTGAAATGAAGAAGCCACCGTCCCGCGCCCCAGATGTCCGAATCGGGCAGGAGCCGGACGGAGATGGACCCGTAGGTGGGGGGCCGGGGCCGGGGCCGGTGCTGTGGTGGAGACGAGAAGCTGTGAAAAGGGAGGAATGTCGATTTAGATCCTTTCCACCGGCAGTCATGGACAGTGAGCCGGCTGTGATATAAATAACACCAAGGCCCCATTAACATGTACTCGTCAAACGAAATTGTCATGGTTAAACAACCCGTTTCTATGCAAGATGGAATACTCTCCAGCAACCAGCTGCGGCGTAGAGGTGATCTTATTGTAAGTCGACATGGTGAGGTTATGTCTTTGGACATTTTTGGCGTGTGCCTTTTGAATAATTGAGAGATGATGAATGGGGATGATCCCAGACGATATGTCAGCCACAACAAGTCAAATTATTAAAACATGCGGCAGGAAAGGTACCTACCTATTGTATGTGCAAACCCATCCCAGCTGTTTAGGCGAAAAAGGCAAAACGCAAGGATTGAATGATGAATGCGTATGCCACGGGTCGACTGACATTTATACCCCAAGGCGTTGCCGAAAGTGATGCGTACTGAGTGCGCAGAGCGGAAGTAGCATTACGTTGCAGCGAATGGCTTTTGGTATTATTTTTTGGATGATTCAGACCTATAAATTGGAACTAATTGATTTATGTGTTACTCGTATACACATAAATATAGGCGTTGTAGGTACCTACTCCATGTGGGATTGAGTAGACACGCTCCGCCGCTGCAGCTGTTCAGACAATAATGTACTATATCGTTATGCTGAGAGATAACTTCTGAAATCCTTTGGATGGCGTCTATTCAATGCTGTATAGACGGGAAAGGACGACACAGGACGATAACCGGTACAGGAGTGTCTATCAGCCATATCGTGATTCCTGCCGGCGCTTAGGAGGACGCCGGGGCGCGCTCGCGGCCAGGTTTGAGAACTTTTCAATGATACCTAATTATTGAAGAGTCTGATTTGCCGTTGATACAAGGCGATGGGAGAGGTGAACTCGTATTTATGTGCCTAACATACAGGGCTACCAAAGTCAGAAACTGCTAAAGGTATAAATAACATAGGAGTATCCCTACTTGTTATGATTCTTTACACAAAACAATGCAGCGAGCACAGGGAGTAGTACTATTAGCTAACAGCATCAAAACGAATTCATTCGCCTTGTGATCTACGCCGATGTCAATGGATCGAGATGACCTCAAGCCTCGTTTACAAATAAGTCATCTGGAATATATACTGACTGGAATAAGTCAAGGCCGACGCCAATGACGGACAGGATGAACTGGGACGTTGATGCATCAAGGCGCATCTCGTTTGCTTAAGAATCATGTGCGTCTGATCATGGTCTAGCGCCTGCGTTTGGCACCTTAGCTTGAAGACCTATGTCGAATACAGACTTTCAAGCGGATTATTGGTTCTGGAAGTTTTCAGAAAAATATTCTGATGCTGTCTTTATAGTAGAGACTACCACGATCGTGTGTTGAAAAGGCTTACGGCTTATGAAGTGCCCTGAATTGAGGTAGTATATCATATAAAGACGCGTCAGTTTTAGTAGAAGTCTTGAAGCAATGGCAATTGTACCACACCTGCGCTTGATACAGCAAGGAAGCCGAATTCAAAGTCTTTCCCCGGCATCCCTGCGCAGAATCAGTCAGTTTTTCTAGAGAGTTTTGCTATCCGGGCTATGTATCTAGCTGTTACGGTCAGCTATCCGACAGTAGGGTCTGCTAACAGAAGTTGGGGATTGACGTTTAAACAGTACACTGGGGTCGTGGTCGTAGGTCGTAGGTCGTAGGCTGTAGTAGATCAAGTCTTCAGAGGCTAAGGTGATCAG